TTTTGTGTAAAAGAAAAAATATAGTTTTACATAAGTAATAACAATAGATAATGCATACGAATATACTCGTAAATATGTAGTAAAATAAGTATAATATTATATATTATTTTATTATTCCTAAAAGTAGAAATATAAAATCCATGTGCACCCTAATACGCCCACACAAAATATTTAAAATTTAACATTCCCTCTATAGGTACACTGCTGTTATTGAGCATGATTGAAAAATTTTAAATACTTATTACAATATTAATTACAACATAGTTATCGTGATTTTTTTGTTCACTTACAAATAATTGAAAATATTTAATTTGTTAAGATTTTGCATTTTTATAACCCTACATTATGTAATTAAAATCAAATTACGAGTAAAGGTTTTATACTAAATTGGTATAATCACTACTAACAATAATATAATGTGCATTGCATATTTTAAAATGTTCCTATATTTTCTACAAATGAACAAACTTCACGAGTAACATAGTGATGCCTATCGACAATAAATATAACTGTACCCAAATCGATTTCAAGTATGTACTTTCAACTGTAAACAGACCGGAAATAGATTAAATTGAATTGAATTCAACCTATATTGGGCCTCTAACAGCGTCGTCTTCTAATCACTTGAATAACATATCAAACATCCTAATGCTCTTAAAAAGATTATTTATTTTTATTTTTTCTCGATCAAATATTGAAGCGTCGTCAACATTTAATCGCGTTTAATTAATGGTATCAATAATTATAATTAGATTTTCGATATCTGTATTTTTAATGAATAAACTATAAAATAACTAGGTATTTGATAATTCTAATTAAATTCCCCTTAGTCCAAGTATAATCTGATATATTATGTTATATATTTATAATGTACTGATTATAGACGATAGTCTATACTATACTACGGAACGACTTACGGAATGGTTTTTAATTCTTATATTTCATAACTCATAAACCATTAAAAAATACTTCAAAAACATACTACAAATAAGTTAGTTAAGAGTGTTCAAATAATTTAGATACATAGCTATTTTTGAAAAGTTTTACATTGGTAGATTGTTGGTAAAAATATAATGGCAAAAAAAATGTTAGGTATTATTTATGAGTTGCAAAACGTAATTTTTATTGTAAAATATAGATAAATATACCTTAACCTCACTCGTAGTATTAAAAATAGAATTTGTGCAACTTTTTAACAAAATCGGGTTCTTAACTGCTGATACTTTTTTATTTGAAAAGTTCTCATTTATTTAAACGAATTTTAAGACATTGACAGTTCCATTTAAAACTATTACATAACGTATTAAGGTATAAAAAATTATATTTTTATTTTATAACTTTTTATTACTACACCTAATTTAAATATAAAAAAAATGTATAATTCAACGATTGACCAAATACGTGATATACCTAAGGTTGAAAGAAAATACTATTCAATATTTCAATAATTACTCAATTAGTACCTACTTTACAGAACACATCCTTAAGGCGCCAACTAAGAATCAGCTATACTCGCACGACATATTTATCGACGGAAATTCCACCGACATCTGCTAGTTGAAGGCCTTGAAAAAATTATTGTAGGTAGTTAAGTCAAACCAAATAATATATGACTTTATTAAATAAACTAAACATAAGAACAATAATAATAATGATTATACTATACATAAATGTATGTCTTAAGAGCAACTAGATAAAGGACCGTAATGGCTTAAACAGCATCAGTGATGAGGTATAAAATACGATTAAAGTCTGTCTAGTTCTAGAATACACCAGTAACCATATAGATATACTCAGTGGTGGATCCAGGATTCATTTAACGGGGATGTTTTAAAATGTATTCAAGTCATGGTAATTGGGAGGCTCTTCCCAGCCACCGTATTACATTGATAAATACCATGTATTTATATAAATGATTAAATTAAGACAATACCTATATGTAAAATCTACAAGTTGTATACAATGTTTATTCAAATTATACTGTAAGTAAGTTCGCAATTTTGTGAAACCTAACCATAACCTAACCTAACCTAACCATAAAATACGGTCGATGGGGGGGGGGGGTGTTCTAAGATCCACATCACTCCCCTAAATACGCCCCTGGATATACTCGTATATAAATAAAGAAAACCATATATAAATAACAAAGGTTTGTTTATATGTAACGTGGAAAGGCTTACTTCATTCCTCTCTCATCAGAATAGTCCCTGATCAGAGACATCATTTGAGGGAGGGGGCAACTTATGCAACTTATACATTTACCACAGTTTAAAATTAATTCGGTACATTATTAAAATATTAATACGTTTTTTATAAAGCTATTGGTATGTTTTAAATTAGAAAAATGAGACGTAAAACTGTACGGGTACTTATGTACAAAGTACAAATCATTATATTTTTGGACTGGTATAACGTACCCTTCCACCCACGTTAATCGGCACTTTGGTAAAATGAGCCGCTGAGTCAGCAGTTTAATAAATGCACGCCCTACTCTAGAAAAAAAAACTGAAATTATGCCTCTGTCCCTGATCCCTAGACCTCAGATATCTCTCATGATTTATAATAACATCTTCCAGTTCTATTGTTCGGTTTGTCGATTCTGTAATTTTTATTTTTTTTTTTTTGTTGGTTCCTTCTATTTGATGCTGCTGCGTGCATCGACTGGTTCTACGTACTTTTCAATCGAGTTAGGACTCATCTTATGATAACGGAGTTGGTGTATCTTATGACAAATACGGTCAGACCCACAAAAAGGATAGAACTGATCACATATAATAAGTAGAAGCTGTGACATTGACCATGCTCTAGCTGTTTGACCGTGTAGTCGTTTATCAGTTGTATGTAGGTACTGGGGATGGACATGAAATCTAAATTTGCCAAATTATGGCAAGTTATGAATTTGCTTTTTATGTGACTTATAAATATTTTTAATTTCTAATAAAATTAATTATTTTATTTTATTGTACAAATAATTAAAATTTAACATTAATTATTTACTAAAACAAGTTATTAAATCGTTTAGTTTATTTTATATCTCTATGACTTATAGTGATATGACTCAATAACCAATTAACTTATCTTTAATGCATAACCTTAATTAAGCTTGTGTGAATTTAAAATTGAATCATTGAACAGCAAAATTGAATTGGATAATCCATAAAATCCGTATTTTCTAAATCCAGATATGTCCACTACTAATAGGTACTAAGAGGATGCAAAACAGGGTTACTTTAACCGTTAATTTTTGGTTCAGTTTGTTTTTGAACTTTATTTGTGATAAACGTTAAATCAAGCTATGTTCAATAAACGGTTTTTGATTGTAACGTTACAAACTAAATGGTTCACCGAACATTTCACTAGAAAACGTTAAAATTCCTTATGTTTTTTGAAATATTCGCCAGAAAAACGAAAAAAAATTTAAAATTCTTGAATGATTTACCTAATAAAAGTTGTTAAGATATTCATTCTTGTAAATTTAATTAGAAAAACGTTTTAAAACAATACGTTCTTGAACATTTTATCAGAAGAATGTTTTACAGTCATATGTTCTTGAATGCCTTAAAGTTATACGTTCTTGAATAACGTTTCTGTTTATTGAACATATATGAGTAGCTAGGATTCGACACTATAACTCATATGGTCACCCATCCAGGAACTAGTGACACCAGCCAGAAGTCCAGAACACGTTTGTGACTATAGCCATACACCGCGTTACACTAGGCCACTTATACATTTTTGTTTTACGTTTTGGATATTATATATATATATATATATATATATATATTATTATAGCTATAGGTACCTATCGGCTCATCTTATATTGTCAAAAATAAATGATCAGCTATTGTATTTATTTTGGCTGAAGCTTTTTTAGTTCTTTCAAAGTCACATTATGCTGTTGGGGTATATTTGTAATCCTTATCTTAGTTATTAGTAAAGATAGGACTAGATGTAATTCAAGTTTTAGATTTTGATATTAAAGTACTAATTATTCTTAAATAATTTTAAATTCAAAATAGTCGAAAGATAATTTTGATTCACGTCATTTTAAAAATTCAAAAAACAGTTTAATTTGTGTTGTTCTATGTATTAAAAGTTTGAAGAAAGTATTAGCTTATTACGTCCTTCATGTAATTGTTCAAAGAACTTAATAAGTTGTAACGTTTTTCTATTAATTGTTTAAAGAACTTAATAAGTTATAACGTTTTTCTTGTAATTGTTAAAAGAACTTAATAAGTTATAACGTTTTTCCATTAATTGTTCAAAGAACTTAATAGGTTATGACGCTCCTCATGTCAATTTTTTAAAAAACTTTTAAGTTTATAACGTTTTTCGTGAAAAAGGTCAGTAAACTTAATAGTTTATATTGTTATTTCATATGAAGGACCAATAAATAAAATTAAATAATTGATTTCGTTCCATTATAGGTATATTGGTTTATGAACAACAATAATGTTCTTTAACTGCTTTTTTACGTTCCATTCAGAAACCCTGATGCAAAGGAACATTGTTTCGAAGTAATTTTTAATGTACGTATTATTGCATACCGGTTAACAAAAATCAATTACTTAAAGAATGAGTTTACTTACATTATGAATAACTTTTCTTTTTCGCATTACATTTAGATACTTAGAAATTAAACAATTTAATAGGTAAGGAAACATGGGGTAAGATAGATACATGAGGTAAGATGGGAAAACTGGATTCCTCCATAATCAGTGATAATTTTATAAATATAACATCTTTGAATGATTTTGTGGAGGTTTTTCAGGCGATTTATAATAAGAAATAAATGTTAACTGATTGAAATTACTTATTATCAGTGTTTTTCAATTTTTGCTTTCTAGCCAGTTAATGTGTGCAAAAGTTAACATCATTCTAAGGTAAGTAAAGTTAATTATTTCTTAATAATTTTTTTTTGATAGATTTATACACTTCTGTAGTTTAATATTATGTAATAATATTTAAAATATATAAAGAATTTTATTGTATAGGTTTAATTGAAAATTATTGATTATCGGGGGCATAATGAAACAAATTAATGGAGGCATGACGGGACATACCAATTCCACAAAGGTCAAATGAAGAAGCATATATTCCTAAACGAAAATAATCGTAATAGTATCACTTGATGATGTGTCAATGGTGTTCTGTTATCAATTAATATCCCAAAACGTTCTAACAAAAAAAAATGTAGATATTCTTATCTAAGTAACCGTTATCTAAAACTCCACTTGTTGAAACCGGCTCAATTCTTCCACTCGTCAAAATCATATTGATTACTTTAATTTTATTCGTCGTCGGATCTACATCGGTCGCATACTTATCAACGGAACTCTCGAAAATAAAACATGAAGTACAATGTAAAAGTATGTAAATAGAGGATTTTAAAAAAAAAACCATTTTTATGAATTCTGTTTCAATGTATTTTGGTAGATTGGTATAATTGGAGGATCAGGGCTTGACAATCCAAGTTTCTTTAAAGATTCAACTGAACAAAAAGTGAGCACTCCTTATGGAGATCCATCAGATTCGCTTATCTGTGGCAAACTTAATGGTGTTGACTGTGTTCTATTGGCCAGGTAAGCACACTAATTTATACCCATAATTAATAATTATGAATATGTACTGATTATCTAAACATTTTTGTTTTAGACATGGGCGAAAGCACTCAATAAGCCCTACTAATATCAATTACCGAGCCAATATTTGGGCTTTGAAACACGTAGGATGTACACACATTATAGCATCATCAGCAACTGGTTCTTTAAAAGAAGAAATCAAGCCTGGTGATTTAGTTATTTTGGACTCTTTTATTGATTTGTAAGTGACTTAGTTATTTCAATTTTCATATTAATATTTATAAATTATTTGTAGAACCAAAAAACGAGACTATACTATGTTCACTAAGAGTGATAAAGTATTACATATTCCTATTGAGCCTCCATTTTGTCCTGTCACTCGATCAATTATTATTGAAACTGCTCAAAGCCTTGGTATACAAGTGCACCAAACAGGCACAGCAGTAGTTATTGAAGGTCCTAGATTTTCAACAAAAGCTGAAAGCAATTTATATCGTATGTGGAATGCTGATTTGGTCAATATGACACTTACTCCAGAAGTAATTCATAATATTTTTACATTTATTACTTACTCAAGTATAATTTTAATTTTAGGTGGTACTTGCAAAAGAAGCAGGCTTGTTATATGCTACAGTAGCCATGGCTACAGACTATGATTGCTGGAGAGAAGCTACAGAAAAAGTCAATGTTACTCATGTTGTCAAAGTTTTTCAAGAAAATGTTGTAAAATTAACAAAGTTATTTATTGAAGTTGTACCGAAAATTGCAGAAAAGAATTGGGATGTGGAAATTGATGAATTAAATGTAAGAAAACTTATTTTCAACTATATAATTGTGTAAATACATGGTATTTAGTTTGATCCTCAATCAAATGAATTACATAATAACATATTTAATAAATTGTCTTATACATTTTAGCAATATAAAAAGATAAACATTTTAATTAAAAGATTAAGACTTATAAAATATAGCATATAACTTATATACTTAGCATATAACAAAAATTTTTTATCATTAAATTTAATTCTTCAGTATTTAAAATACACTTGATTTGAGTTAACTATTATCCATACCTAACATTCTAGATTAAAATAAATGTTTTTAAATGAAATATTTAATTATTGACCATGTACCATCAAATTTAACTTAACTTTAATGTGTTAAATGAAAAATACTCAACAAAAAAATGTACATCTTCAATAATTAAAACCAACAAAAAAAACTTCTATTTTGTTTATAAAAAACTAAATTAAAACTTGGAAGTATGATATTTTATTAAGTTTATTTCATATTTTTAAGTAAAATATTTTTTTATGGAAATCTGAAAATTACCCTTAATTATCACATTATCTTACCAAACTACTGTAGTCATCAAATATTTTAAAAACATGATTATTATTCTTATTTCTAATAATGTTCTATATTTAATATATTTATTGTTAATAATGTGTTATGTTAAAATTATAGTGTCTTATTCAAGAAAGTGTACAAAGTAACTGAACCAAGAACATAATGAAGATTTGGCAACAAAATAATTTGCTCAATTACTTGAACTACTATCAAATCAAAGAATTTGTATTTTATTAAATAAACTTTAAATGTTTTTAATTACATTTTATTACTTATAATTGTAACATGTGAAATACTAATTGACAGTTGTAAAAGTGAGCATGCTAAACTTTTACCAAACAAATAACCCAATAATAATATTAACTTCATCCATCTTAAAAAAGTTTTTTTTAATATATTTTTATTATACACAATTCAACAAAAACAATTTATCATGATGTACACATGTTAGTATACTTGATTATTTAAGTACTCTACTAATAAGTTGTAACTAGTAGGAATGTTTTTGTAACATATTATTGTTTAATGAACCCAAAACTAAATATTAAAATTTACAAAATTGTCATTATTATATAAATATAATAATAATAAAAACAATCACTTGCACTCAATAATAACACAAGAAGGATTCAGAAGCAGACTCGCCGTTTTTAAATTATGATTAACTCAAAATAATCATTCGATAAATTATGAAAATTTCAAAACAATTATATAAATATCTAATTTTACAAATCAAGTTTGGTTAAGGTTTTAACTTATAAACACTAATAAATAATAAAATTAATATGTTTAAATGTTATGTGCGAAGTAATGTGATGAACTAACATTAATAATTATATTCAATGGTAATATATACTTAGAGATAAATTTTGTATAAAATATAAAACTGCAGAAAACACAATACTGGTAAATATTTCTAGATTTCTAAAAATAATACATGTATAGAAATCTGAAAAATTATTAAAATCTTACTTTTAAATATTTAACAATCATAATCATTTATATATTCAGATGGTTACTCAATTTTTTTTAATTCTAAATATAATATCCAAAAATATCAACAGTTTAATCAATTATAAACACATAAAACACATAATTAATTGTATATATAATGTACATAAAACGTACATTTTTGTTTATTTCTTTAAATTTTTAATGGATAAAAACAAATTATCTGGTTAAGTTTTAATAAATTCTAAATAAAATCAGATAATAACTCATTCGGTCAATTATGCCTCTGAAGCCCTCAATATATCTTATTCTAAATATAATTTTAAGTTAAAAAGAGTGTACAATCTTCAAAAAATATCAGAGTAACATCTACAATTTCTAAAGGATCATAAATGGAGTATTTACAATACAATTCCAAATTATATTTATTTTTTAGGTATAATAATTAAAATATTTAAGTTCTATCAACCTATTTATACTTATTAAAATAAATAATATTTTTTTTTTTTTTAATTCAATAAAATAAAATATTATTTTCCAACAACTCAAAAACAATCAACAACATAACGGTATTAAAACATGTGTAGAAAATATTGCTTTCAAAAACAATAATTAAAAGTTTAATAGCATGGTAAAAGGAATGTATAGGCTAATATATAATAATGATAGCAAATGGATGGAAAATTCCACCAGCAAAATGATTCAATTATATGGTTATTTCAATGTTGTGCAAATTAAAAAAAAAAAAAAATTATATTAAAACATAAAACGATGGGGTGATTTTGATTCATAACTAAATTTTACGCTTTTGAATCAACCATATCTATATTAATTTTGTAATAAACATATGGGAAGTATTCAGCTTGACCAAACCCAAGTCCAGGTATATCCACACTCTAAAATAAATAATATATTAGAACAATACCCAAAAACATTTTTTTTTTTCAACATACATCATGTGCACCGGATGCGCCACCTTGTTGAGCACTACTATCCAAATGACCATATAATTGATGCAGAACATCTCTCAGCCGTTTAGTATTTTTTTTATTCGGATGCAATAACATGGCTTGAAAATTTACAGGTAGGCCATATCTAATAAAATAAAAAATAAAAATTATAGTGTTAAAGACATCTTCATACTAAATCTTACCGTAACACAGATTCAACAAATACACGAAGAGCTTTCACATGTATCCAAGCACAGAAGCATTCACTAAAATTGACTTTTAACCATCGTACCAAAGGACCCTTTAAATATGACAAATAATTACAGCTCAGTAAATCTTTTTTTTTGAATTTATAAAAAATTACTTACAAATTGCTTTTTCTTGTCTGTTACTAACTTAGAGATTTCATTTTTCCCAGCAGCGAGTTCAACCTCATTGTAAGTAAATTCACGTACAATAAATCTTTTATAAAAAAAAAAAAATTAATCAAATCAACATTCCATAAAACATTTGTTTTATCAATATATAAGTTTAATTTTAAAAGTAATCTCTAAAAATTAAAATAATTTTTTTCCAATTTATATCAAATTATATAAAATAATGTAATTTGAAATAATAACAAATTAGTATATACAACATTTTAACAAACATAACTTTATCAAAATGTTGATTAATATTAGTTGGTTAAAATCTCTATTTATATATTAAATACTAATTTCTGACTGAGAAATTACATTGTACACTCGATTATACATGGAATAGAGTGGGGTAGCATCCACAAATAAGCGAACTTCAAAAATAATCCGCTAAATTCTTACAATTTCAAAATTGAAATAAAAATTAAGTAATAGTATTATTAAAAAAATTAAATCTTGTGATTTTATATAATATTTAATGGAAATTAAACTACTTTTATTTTTATTTCAAAATTCATATAATACGACGTATATTTATACTATTTATTTTTTGACAAAATTTAACAAGTTGTTGTCTTTTAATTTAAAAACACTTTTTTTTAACTTGCAATGGACATTTCTTCAATTAACTTAACCATAATGATGTATATATATATATATATATATATATATATTATGCAAAGAAACATTTTTTCTTTTGTATATACATATGTACATGGTTCAAACTGCATAAAACCGTTAATAATCAAGAATACACTATATTTAAGTATAAATGATAATTATAGTGTTGAAAATACTTTGGTTAACCAAAAAATTACATTTTTGTTCTCCAAAATTATTACTTAAAATGCTCAAACTAACAATAGTAATTTAAAATAAAAAAATTTTAATTTGTCTTGCTTTCAAAATATTAATATGAAATTATATAAAAATTAATATATATATATATATATGTTATAATTTTATTAAAAATACTATTTTTCTTAGAATGTTAAAGATGTTCCAAGTAACATCAACTCAAAAATAATTTTCATTGTGAAATATGTAAGAAAATATTTATATATTGTTAAATTATACAATTTTATGGTAAAAATAATTTAAAAAACAGTTATATATTCTGTTTTAAAATGTTTTTCTTAAAATAATCAATGTATAGGTACAACTACTATTAATTAATATATTAAAAATATCATACTTTTTTTCCCTTGCATGGTGCTTAAATTCTTCAGCAACTTTCTTGAATAATGTAACTGTAAACAAACCATAATCATTGTCTTGGCTAACTAATTGGCTAGAACGAGGCACTATCATATCGGTCAATTTCTCATAATTTTGATTCCAATCAGAAAATCCTGACCTAAAAAAAAAAGTAGTAAATTAAATTAATTAAAAATAATTAAAATTCACAGAATTACTTGGGTACTACAACAAGCAATGTGGTAAGGTACTCAGAATCTTGTATAAAATGTTCTTTGCGTACTAAATCAGCCAAGTTTCTGGTTAACAAACTACCAGTCTGTTTTTTTTCCATGTTTTGTAAGCTGCTCTTAAGATTATTGTACACCGACGATTTTGTTTTAAGATCAGCATCGATTTGGCCTACCTGTTTACTAATTATGTCAGCTATATTACGCAACGACTGCTTAATTGGATACTTTGCCATGTCCCACTGGAAATGAGTTAAGTAGACGGCGAGGTCTCCTAAAACAATGATAATTTGTACTCAACTGTAAGTGATATTCACTATACATTATTTAGTAAACAATAATCAACTGATGCAGAGCATGAAACAGACACAAATCGTAACAATGAAAAAAAAAAATTAAAACAATGTAGCGTTTTGATTATCATTTAATCTTTTAATAATGTCAAATTACAATATTTTAACAAACAATTTTACATATATTAACTAATTTATTTAGCGTATATACATATATATTTCTAAAAATATAATTATAATTAAATTATAAATCAACACACAGTGATAATTTAATCTTCATTTAAATTAAACAATATTTTGGCAATTGATGAACAACTAAGTATTTGAATTAAATCATAAATTTCTAATGATTAAAAATATGAAACTTTCAACAGTTAAATGTTGAATAATTATGATTTAATTTTAATTTTTATAAAATTAGATTTAAAATTATAAATGGACAGTAAGTTCAAAATTAATGCAAAAAAAACTGTTCCATGCCCTGATTCAGATACACCAAAGTGTTACAATGTTTTATATTATACAGTTAAATTTTTAATTTAATTTTTTTAAACAAAATGTTAACTATATTATTTATACATATAAAAATATTTAATCTTAAAAATATTACTATGGCTCTCAGAAAATTGACATGATATTACCATTTAATAAAATATTATATAATAATATAAATTATATAAATGCTATGAACAGCAATGGATATTATTTATTATATTAAAAAGGAATTTGAATAACAATATTTTTAATAAAACACAATTTAAATTAAATTAAACAACTATATTTACTTATAATTAAAACAAGGCAAAAAAATAAGTGTCAAAATATATTTTAAAAACAAACCTTTGTGAAATACAAACAATTATGTGCAAAAGCCTATTGTGGTGCATATTAAAATATGATGTAGACTCCTACTAAGAGATTGTAGCAATAAAGCTGCTTATTTAAAAAAATATAAATTTGAAAATTAATTAACTTAAACGCAGTTATAAATACATCTCAAGAATTATTACATTTTATTTTAAAAAACAAAATTGTATTATAAGTACCACATTACACCAAAATTTGTTATCATAGTTTTGCACAAAAATAATTTGTATAAGTTTCAGAATATATTAATCTATTCTTAAAATACTAATAAATAACTCCGATTTTCAAATTGCTTTTTTCAGAATTATTAAGTAATATATGGGAATCACAAAATGACACTAGTTCATTAAAATTATGTACTAAATCAGTAAATATACTAGGCCATAAATTAATAACCAAATTTAATTTATAACAGTAATTTATAAATTAACAGTAATTTAACAGTAATTTATAAATTACTGTTTTACAAAGGTTTTCATCAACCTTTTGTGGAAAACAATAACAACAAATTTTAAAGTGACATTTACTTATTAAAAAATAAAAAAAATTAAAGATGTATTTTAATAAATATCACAACTTAAATAATTTTAGTTTCAGATTGAATGTAACAAATATTATATATACTACCAAATATGTTATAAGAATAAAATCAAACTATTTCAAATTGTTCTAAAAACAAAAAATATTCCAATTAAATTTTGATTACAATATATAATAAATGCAGATTGTTTAAGATATTTGGATTGGATATTTTTTTAATATTAATAAAATGAACAAAATAAGCCTAAAAGTCTTATTTTTATATAGGTTAAATAATAATTTTATATTCAATATTTTAGTGATTGGTTTAAATGAATAACTTGTAAACTTATACATATATATTATTGAATAAATATATGTTAAAAATTATACACATCAGTTAATTTTAAACATATTTAGCACATATTTAATTAACTACTTTGAAAATTTAAAAATACAAATAAATATTAGTTTTTCTCATATATTATTAGAAATACAAAAATATTACACCAAAAATAATTATCTCAATAATAAATTTACATGAATTTCAGCTGCTACAACATACATTTGAAACACACAATATAAATATTTCTTTGCAGATAATAATTTAAATATAAATAAATTATTTTTATTTATTAATTTTTAAAATTATGATTGAAAATTATTCTTATTAGTTTTAATAATAAAAATGTAAATCATTTAGGAGTCTCTATTTCACGTATATCTTTATACAAGAAAATACATGTTTTTATGGAAACGATGTCAAAGTTCGTGTAATTAAAATACACGTGTACAAGTGTATTTAGAGTCCATGAACCCGATACCCGTGAATTAAATTAACATGTATCCGTGTGACGTGTATTTAAAGTCCATACACCCTGTTTAGATATCACAGGGGCACGTGACTCTCTCTATTTTCTTTTAAGAAAAACCAATACATAATACTACAATTTTATTTATTTTTTTTTTTTTTTTTTATATATATACAAATAATTGGCATATAATATATTTAACATTTATTTTATAGTAATAATGGTTATTTAATTTTACTTAAAATAATTAAAATTTCGATATCCACTTAATTTAATTTCATCATCATATCAAAATTTGAATAAATTAATTTAAGAACAATCAACATGTAAAACAAAACTAATTTTTTGAAAAATATGGCAAAACCAAAACATTTAAAAGTTTAAGTATTAATTTAAAATGTTGACCGTCATGCCGCACGAGTTCACCTATATCTGTAAATGCCAATTTCGTACGATAACCAAAGACAATAACTCAATAAAAAAAACCATGAACATTTTATAATGTACCTACGTCAAAAATACATTACGATATTATAAATTCTTAAAATAAATATTATGAAAACTTCTAGACCTTACATACACGTATAATTGTAATACAAGAATATATTCATTCTTTATACACGTGTATACGAACTTCTAAAACATGTGTAATTAAATAGACGGGTATTAATAAATTGTATTATTTAAAGAATGGACTACATGTACACGTGTATATGAATACACGTACCAAATCGAGAGCACAAAATAAATACTGTGTTAAATTTCAGAAATTATAAAGAACCAATACAAAGTATTAATTTGTTAAAATCATAATATTAAGTATAATATATTTTAAAATTATAATACTTCCTTAAACACTTATTTAAAGCAATGTATTGAATAGATTTTATTTTAAACAATAATTAAATATATGTTGTACATTTTTAAAAACTATTTATTCTTTTAATATTGCTTATATTTTTAAGCAAATTTATTTAAATAGTTATAATAGTTAATAATTACATCCAAACTGTAGGTTTAATTAATTGTCATTAAACAAACTAGACAAATTGAGCAGAGCTTTTAAATTAAGTTAACTAATAGTGTATGCTTATTGTACACAATAATCAAATATAAAATGTAACAATGCTAACTTCAGTAGAAATACATTCAAAAACAATAAAGAAACTACAATTTGAAAAATGAAACCACAAGCCAACACTGCATGAAGCATCCTACTAAAAGCAGCCGCTTACCTTGGGACGTTAGACACACGCCTGTCGGCCATCTGGACTTTGAATAGCTCAAGGCGGGCTCTTCCCAGCACACGGCCCACGACTCTCAAGACAATGCTGTGTCCAACGCCACACACAACAAACCCATAACAAAGCTTTTACTTTTTGCAATCGCCAACAGAAAAAAAGTCATAGGCCTATCTCACTAACTTAATGGCTACATGGCACTATGAGTAGACCAATTTATTATAATATAAATGGGCCATCTCTTAATTTCTATCTAGGATTACTCACTAGGATCATATTTAATACATGATTGTTAAACAGAAAATTAAGAAGTTAAGGTTATAAGATTCTAAACTAAGCAACATTTCTATCCAACATTTAACGTTTAATAAAATACCTAGTGTATTCATAATAGTAATTTTTAGTCACTAACTGTAGTAATGTATGAACTATTCAATTTCATAAATCTAATTTTTTAAAATAGCCGTGCTCAGTGATATCAATGACAGTCATTTGGATAAAATACTATTTCACCAATGAATTGTAATAAAGTTTGATGCTAAAATAATAAATTATTAGTTTTGTAAAATCAAATTGAATTAAAATTTTTAATCAACTAATATATAATAAAAAATGTATATAAATGTGTTATAACTTTTCAATAGATAATTATAATCTATAATTTAAGATATTAATTAATATCTCTCTCTTAATAAAACAACTTATAAATTACATATTCAAATAAGAATTAAAATATAGTTAACCCATAATGGAAATTTAAGAAATCAAGCAAACACTTTGGTGTAATTGTAATAAATGAAAAAATTATTCTAACAAAAGAAAAGTTGTATTAACAATAATATTCCAAAAATTGATCATTTATCTAATAAAATAATTTAGAAAACAGAATTATTTGAATATTTACTATTATTTTAGTATTGTGCTCTAAAAATGTACATCTAATATGATCACAATATAGGAAAAATAAACTGTGAACACGCACACACGCAACCACATATAGGATGCATTAGTTCTTCATTTGACATATCGTTAAAAATAAAATGTACTTATACCACATTGTCAATAAATGTAGCTTCCATTAAAGTAATAGAAACAAAATTTCTAATAAAGTGCATATTTTTATTTAAGTATTTATTTATATATATATTTTTATTTTTATTTATTTATTTTTTTTTTTTTTTTTTGGCCTTTTTAGCTTATAATGTTTTTCCATAGTTAATAAAAGATAAAATTATTGTAAAAGTTAAATATATGTTTAAATTGACACATGGATGCAAGGGTATAGGAAAAACTTAACTAAAATGACCAATAAAAATCAAGGATATAAATAATATTTCAAAAAAGTAAGTAGGACAGGTAAGTACACTACAGAGACAAGTCACTTGAGCTACATTGGATTTTCGTCATTGTTATTCAATGGGTTGAAAAAAAACCATTCAAGATAATACATACCATTATTGGCCATTAAGTTCTCTTGCAGTTTGTCTCGCTGATCTTCCAGTACCTCACCCAAGTAAGATGCCACTTTATGGGTGACCTGATCAACAAAGCTATCCAACTTTCCCAAATCATCAGATAGCCCAACTAATTGATCCAATGTACCCACTTTCAGATCGGGTATATGAAATTTGTAATTGATAGACAAACTATTTTGCTTGCTGGTTACATTGTTAAGGGTTTCCCATGTCTGTTGGCAAGTCTTATCCCCAGGAGCAGATATCAACCAGTATTCCGACATCTTGCTAAGTTATAAAAAAATTAATAATATTAACATTAAATAAGGCAATTCATAGAATAGAGTAGCAACAAAAAGGGCAGGGCCAATTTTGAGACTATAAGATGGAATAATTCATAACTCAGGTAAAAACAACGAGATTAAAAGTAATAGGTAAAGGATATTGAAATCAATCATTCATACTTACTTTTAAGCGAAAAAAACAACTTTAAATATTAAAATTTTATTAATTAAAATTGCCACTTTCTGGACTGGAACACGCCTTAACCGAAAGAGACCTTGTTAACAGTATGATCATTTGTTTTCGATATCATCTGAACTGATATGAGACGGACACACCCAAAAGTTAATTTTTAAAAGATAGATAAAAATTTGTTGGAACGAGTATTAACACCGAAAGTTATGGATAATAAATTAAAAATTCGTAGTCCTAATTCAAATATAATTTGCCCCAATAACGTTTGTAAATATGTTTTATATACCTACATAATTATATACGTGAGAAAGTGTGAAATTCAATCAATAAACGAATATTACCAACATGGCGATCGCGTTTAGTTTTCGATAAAGGGAAATTCCATTTTGTTGACAAGACATCAACGTGGTTGATAGTATAACTTAATTTGTCGTTTCAATATATCAATAGCAATATCACTTACGCCGCAAATCTTCTCCTGTACATTACACACACTTATTACTTAATACTTGGTACACATAATTTTCAACTTAACTGTTAATTTCTTTAATATTCCTATTGTTTTGATTAATTATTGGTGAATTAAACTGAGTAGAATAATTACATTTCTTTCATATACAGTACATACATTTTCTTATCATTATGGTGGCAGCCTCCAAAAAAACCATCAACAGTATAGGTACAGTTTTGGCAAACGCAAAATTGCCAATGAAAGAACGTTTCCGTGCATTGTTTACTTTAAAAAACCTTGGTGGTAATCTGGCTATTGAAAATATTTCTAAATGTTTTACCGACAAATCGGTTTTGTTGAAGCACGAGTTGGCATATTGCTTAGGACAAATGAGAGATGAATATGCTATTCCATATTTAATCGAAGTACTTAAAGATGTCAAACAAGAGCCTATGGTTCGTCATGAAGCTGGTATTTTGAAATAATAAATAGTTTTTATTTTGTTTGTTAGAAAATAATAAGTTTTCAATCTAATGTTTACATGTAAATATATTTTTAGCTGAAGCACTTGGAGCAATCGGTAAAAAAGATGTTGTACCAATTTTAGAAGAATATAGAAATGATCCTGTTGTAGAGTTAGCTGAAACATGTCAATTAGCTTTAGGAAGGCTTTTGCTTTCAAAAAGTGAAGCAAATATTGAAAATATTTATGGATCTGTTGATCCTGCTCCTCCTTCAGAAATAAAAAGTTTAGAAGAACTTGAAAGAATTCTTAATGATGACAACGAAAACCTTTTTAATAGATACAAAGCAATGTTTTCACTGCGAGATATTGCATCGCCTGAAAGTATTGTTATACTTTCTAAAGGTTTGTAATATTGTTAATGTATTTATATAAATGTAAATACCTTATAGATACTTGATATTTTATTATAGCATTATCCCGTGGAAGTGCATTATTTAAACATGAAATTGCATTTGTTTTGGGACAATTACAATCGCCTCTTAGTGTACCATATTTAAAAGAATCATTAACAGATGAATCTCAAAATGATATGGTCCGACATGAATGTGCTGAAGCATTAGGTGCAATTGCAACTGATGACTGCTATGATATATTAAAAAAATATCTAAATGACCAAAAAGTAGTTGTCAAAGAAAGTTGTGAAGTAGCATTAGATATGTGTGATTATGAAAACTGTTCTGATTTTCAGTATGCTGACACTCTTGAAAAAGTTACTTCATAGGTTTTTAATTTATGAATGTATTTAAATATATGATGTTATTATTTTACATTTTTAATAAAGTATACATTGCTATTGGTAATTATTGTGTATAAATATTATGTTTATGAATAATTGTATAAAATTTTCAATAATGTAATCAGTTAACTAAGTATGTATAGAAAAAATTGACAGAAATTATATGACTGGTTATTCAATCAATATTATAAAAACAACTAAAATTGAAATTCCATTTATCAACTGCCTTCTTTGATTTTCCATCATTAAGACCATACCTCAAAACAATACACATAAAGTTTCTTTTTTTCACAATCTCATTAGTTTAATCTTCCTAGTGGTCATTGATAAGTTTTTCCTCAATAGTTGTCCTTTATATTGATCCCTGTTTCACAATACATATTCTGCCTACTTCAAGCATTGCCTTGGAGATTTATTTTATAAAATCCAATCATTGGATTTAAAAATTGAAGTTGATATTTGAAATTAAAATACATTATCATTATAACTAAATTGCAACAAAACTATTTTATTGATATTGAATATGACATACCGTTTTTTATTCATCATTATTATGAGACTTGTAAAGCAACTGTAAATGGTGATCAGCATCTCTATAATTAAGGTAAACTTAATTAATAGAAGGTAAATTTTAGGATTTATTTTTCACATTTACTAAATCTTCTATAATTTATTTATGAATATTTTCAATGCAAATTAGTTGATAAATGAGACCTTCCAAAAGTATTATTTAACAATTTAATAAATGTAAAATGTAATTTTAAATCAATAACTAGTACTTCTAAGATTCAAAAGTGTACACATTGTTAGAATAATAAATATTTTTAAATTTTTTCTAATAAATTAAAAATTACCATTATGATTTATTAATGAGTTAATTAAATAAAAACATCTCTGTTATCATAATAGAAAGAAAATCATTTAGTCTGAAGGCAATAGTTGAAAATGATTCAATACTATATAATTAATTTCAGAAATAGAAATCAGTTACATGTATACATAACCTATGTACATTAAAATAATCAATGTATAGACTAATTAATACCTACATGAAATATATTGGAATTAATTACAATACGTTTGATACTTTAAATAGTAATTAATATGTCTTCGAAAAGTCATGATAGTATTGCAATAGTGAAAATAACAACAGAGAAAAAAAACGTTAATACTTTTTAGTAGCATTCGTAACGATTTTACAAATAACAATCAATATACCTATATGCTCAAGCAGGTATACGAGGGCTACAATATTCATGAAAATTTAATTTGCGGGCCGCCCGAACATTTTCGTTGCCGCGCCTTTACTATTGTTGTGGACCGGCGCTCAAAAGTCTAGAAATATTAAACAATAATATATAATAGTTAATAATTAATTAATCGTTCGATCGATACCACTTACGCGGCGCTGTCACTCTTTCCGCATTGCGGGTAATCAAACCGAATTTAAGTTCAAGTATAGCCACTGATAGCTTTGTTTGACCGCAAAAATTGTACTACAGCAACCACTATTATTCATTAGTTCGTTACTATTAGTTTTAAAATGTCGTACACATTTGTACATTATCTATGAGGACTGTAATAAACGCAACATGGGGAGGTGTGGTTATGTTGAACACCAAATATCGTTTACATAGCCCTTCTGAAAGAATTTTATCGTATTTTTAAGTTGTAGCTACTGGTATATGGCAATTATAGCATTTAGATGACATTTTAGACTTGATTGTGTCATCGATTTATATTCCAAGCCGTTCTAAGTCATTTCCGGGGCCGGAGGAAAAGTTTCAAAGTCCATAACAATATTAATTTAACGACATACAGATAAGTATATTTTATTTTAAAAATAAATATTTCTAGTCTGTAGCTGGGCCGTATTTAAACTTTCTTCTAAGGGGGGTGACTTAAATATTTTCTTTCATTCAAACTCAAAATTTACAAATAAAATTTTTGGTAATATTTAAATCGGATGAATCCTTAATATTTGTGTTTTCTTTTTTTTTTTTTAATCTAATACCAGATCCACTTAGAATCGACTTTTGTGTAATTCTTTTTAAAATCTATCTGTGATTTGAAAGTTACGCTTGTGTTCTAATCTAACCTAACGAAACGCTCTTGTTGTAAATTAATATACACCTAATTAAAAAAAATATAAAAATAAAAACTTATAAAATATAAATTATAGTTAATTTTTAATATTTAAGGTAAAATAAATTTTACTCTACATATTTTAGTGTTTTTTTTTTTTTTAAGCTAAAATGCATAGGTAGTTTATGTTTTTGAGCATATTTGGTAAATTCTTAGAGTATAAATGCATACAAATTACATTAATTTAACATGAGCGTCCTCAGGAGGGAAAAGCGAGTGGGTAGTGGATCCCCCATGGTCTTTTTTTTTTCAAATTTTTGTTATTTATTATTTATACCGCATTAGGAAAATACACAAATGTATTTATGAATACATGAATAAAGTTCATCTACTCTCCTATTAAAAAGTCGAGGGACGCCTCTGATTTTAAGTGCATAAAAATCCAAACTCTATTAATAAAATATATAAGTAATAACTGAGAAATACACTAAGAATATAACTTGTCACGTAAACAAATAAAAGAGGTGAATATTAGAATAAAAATAGTTGATAAATTAATTCAGCGACGATAAGTTGGATAATGAAGTGAATCGATTTTTGTAGATGATGTTTTTAGATAAAGTAATTCGGTACCTAAATTATAATATCGAAAAGAAACATAAATTACAGCAAAATTCTTGCACATTTTTGAACAGTAAATGTTGACAATATGCAATCCATACCAATATCACGACTATAGATTCAACAACCTAAGTGAAAAAAATAATTGTTTGTAAATTATTAAACTTAAAAATAATATAATACAAAACATGTCCATTAATTAATAACTAGCAGTCCAGCACACTGCATACCCAGATACAGTACCGGATCTAGAGGGGCAAGTGGGTATGCTTGCCCCAGATGCTGTTGCAGGAGCGTACCCAGGAATTTTTTATGGGTTGGGGGTCCAAAATTTTTATTTTATCTGATAATGGGAAATTAAAATACACTATATACTATTATTATACTATTTACTATTAAGTCGTTGAGTAGGTATGTAGAAATTTTAACGGGAGGTCCGGACCCGAAAACCCCTCTCTGGGTACGTCTTTGTGCTGTTAGTATAAGGGCGAATGAAAAATCAACAAGTTACAAACACACCCTTATTTCCAACTACGTGAGGGTGCTACATTTTTATTAGCCAGCACTAACCAAGGGATTGATTAAAAATACTACCATTTTACTATGAACTATATAAAATAATCTGTCAGCAGTAGCGCCGAACTCAGGGTATAAGTCTGATCATGACCAGACCATATTTTAGGGTGTTTGGTGGTATCGTGATGAATCAGTATACGACTAATAAGTAAATTAATTCAACTCACTTTAAATTATAATATTGCCCATTTCATTATCTCTATTTAAGATATTTAAGTTCCTAAATGCTATCATAAATGCTGAAATAGGTTAAACACTTTTGGAAGAGGGTAAATTCCCAGCCCTCTAAAATACGTCCTTATTTGGGTCTGTTATAAGTTGTTAATTGGGTGGCTATTGACCAAAATATTCAAAATTTTGTTCAGTGCCACTGTCTATCAAAGATACCTAGTGGTTTTTAATACTATTATTACATTTTGTTAATATTATTACTATAGTTTAGATTAAATAGTATTTAAATATGTTACATATTTTTACCAGTCATCGTTATTCCAGGAATTATTTTTAGAAAAAATATTGATACCTTCAATAAATTATCTAATGTCTTATAATGTTTGCTTTTTCATTCAATTAGTGAAACCAAAAATTATTTTTTATATTATTTTCAATATTTTATAAATTATTTTGAATAAGTTGATGAATTAATCAATGTACTTTTAAATAAATGTATTCAATACATATGATCACTACTTAATAGTTATTGTAATAAAATTATATATTTTCACATGGACATGGACATAATCAGTAGCTTCATAATTATTTATTTATATAAGTATGAAATAATAATAATCAACTATCTAATTATTAAATGTTAATCATCCATCTTCTTAACAGTCTTATAGTATCTCACCGTATCCTTAATCAGAAAAATGTATATTTCTGATAGACTTTGCATCCCTAGAATTTCGCTTTTCTCACTAAACCACCAGTTATCTAAACCTAGATCAATTCTGATCACTTAATATTAAAAACTAGTGTATACTGATAAATATTATAATTATTCTAAATATTTGAGGAAAAAAAATCAAGTATTAAAGTGTGTCACTACAATACTTACAATACATACGTATTAACAGATACATAACAGATAAGTTTTATTAATATTTTTATAGATATAATTTTTATTTTTATTTGTTTTATCTTCGATTATAGAAGCCTTGTGCCATATATAAAGCTTTTATGACAATAAAACAGTCACTAATCATTGCATAAATTAAATAATAATATTTAAGAAAATTAAAATATTTTCAATATATATATATTTTTAATAAAAGTAAAAAATATTTGAGAATAATTGAAAAAAGTTTTATTAAAAATGTTTATAAAGTTTACCTTTGTGTTTTATTAACACAATAATATATATAGTATGATAAATATAATCTTACAATATATTCTAAAACTGTTACAAATTTAACTATACTAAAATGGACGGAAAGTTTTTGGATAATGCGCAATTAGAGCATTTGAAATAGCATTCACCAAATGTTTGGATTCATTATCATCAAACTTAACTTTCACGGCCCACAACAAGCAATTTTCTATGTCTTTGACGTATTTCTCATCCAGCATCTTCAAAAGGATTTTCATTACACGACCATAATTCTGATATACAGCTGCATGCCAAATATTAAAGTAATTAAAGCTCTAAAAGAAATAATTAATTTAAATTAAAAATTTAATATTATAGCAATATTTTAAGCAAACCTTTGAATCAGAATCTGGAGAAATATAACTAGTAACCTGCAGCCAAATGTCATCAATGATCTGAAGATCATTTTCATTTGTTTTTTTGGTGTTGACATAATTATAATAATATAATTGACTCAATGCAGCACCTTTGCGATTAAGAGCTTCAATAAGATTATTTTTTAGGCGATCGTTAGTCCTGAAATATTTAAACAGTAATGATTTAATTTTAAAAACATAAAAATATTATTACGTTTTAAGTTTAGAAGCTTCAGGTCTTTGATCAGACTTAATTCCATAAAATGCGAGGAGATCATTTTGATTAATAATAGATAGAACACTATCGGCAGCAGCAATTATTAGAGATAATTTTTCTAAGTCCAAGTCTTTAATTGAACAATTTGGGAATTTTCTTTTATCATCAGGTTCAATACATTGTATCCATGATATATGAACGGAAGAGTTTTTATCTCCAAATTCTTCCAATAATTTGTCATATAAACTTATAGAATCAGGACCATAATCTAAAAAATGTACATGAATATATTTCATGAATATAATAATTATATTATACAATAAATGTTTGAATTCATATAAATATTTAACACAAAAGTATACCCAATTTTGTTAGCCAATTTGTTTTGGCTTCACATATTGCTTCATTAAATTCTTCAAGCTTTGTTTTACTTTCATCAACTGATTTCGGTCCATTTTTCGATTTTAATGAATCTGTTATAAAGTATTTGAAATCATAGGTATCCTAAAAAATATAAAAATCAATTCAATAAAATTTAAATATAATAAGTAAACATTTATTGTATATTTTGTAAACGATATGGCACTTTAAAAAAATGATAATGACATATTGAAATAAAAATACAATATTGATAAATATTATAAACATCTAATGCATAAATATCTCTTAATTATAATTTTTTTAAAAATACAATTATTATTTATGGAAAATATAAATAAATGCATTAATATATAAAATTAAATAAATAAATGCTTAGTTTGGTGTATTATTATATTTGTAATCTACGCCCGCTTTCAAATTAAAAATTCATTATCAAGTAAACAGTATCATTCTTTTTAAGGGTAACACCACAGATTATACGAATTATATTGTTCTATCATTGTTCTGTGGTAACACTAAATAATTGTCCAGTAACAACGGATTGATATAAGGTTTTCGGGAGGAGATAAGAAATGCCTAAATACACATTTTTTTTATGGTTTTCAAATGTTATTTAAGTTTAACATTGAGATAATATAATTTTAATAAATATGCATTAAGTTTAAGATTAATAATATAGATATAATCAATATTATTAGCTACTTTCTTTTTTAGAAATTAAATATATATAAATATATATATATATATATTTCTTTATCATTAATTGATAAAAAATAAAAAAATAAAATTATAATAAAAAACTCCGAGAGGAAAAAGTTGATGTTGGTTAAATTAAATCTATATATTGGAGAATTGGAAGATATATGATGGAGTAAAGGGAACATTGTTGGCAAGCCATTTAGTGGAAAGAAGATAGTAGCCATTTTAACACCTACTTAACAACAAATTAATCATATTTCAAGGGCGTATTTAGACTAACTTCTAGAGAGGGGGGGGGGACTCAAACTTTTTTTCTTTAATTCAGGCTCAAAATTCAAGTCAAATTTTGGTATATTTAAATCGGGTAAATCCTTAATATTTGTGGGTTTTTTTTAATCTAATGTCGGATCCACTTAGAATTCACTTTTGTGTAACTATTATTTAACACTTGTCTGTGTTTTGAAAATTACGCTTGTGTCTTATTTGATTTTTCACTAAGTATGGACCCGACAAAAACCCAATTCAGTATTCACAGCCACGCGTAATTTGATTTCGTTATAAAATGATCCACATTAAAAAAATTTGAAATGTGTATCTCACAAACTCGTATAATCGATTCCTTAAACACGAATTCAGGGGAGGGCGATCGCCACCTTTACCCCCCTCTCTATAATACGCCCCTGTCATATTTTAAATACAATTTATTCAAAACTGTATTAACTACCTTTTAATAACAAAACAATTAAGTAAATACACTTACAACTTTTTTCCCTTGTTCGTCTTTAGCATATACTATATTACCAGATAAGCAATGACCAGCAGTTAATTTCAATGATGTTATTCTGAGAAATAATTAAATAAATATTTTTATTATATACAATTGACTACAAGCATAGGCGGATATTTGGTTAAATTTTTGGGGGGCTATAATAATTCAATGTAAAATAACCCTCAGGAGCTTCGCTCCCCCTTCCCTTACACAAGTAAAACTTATTACAATTAAAAACATAGATATGTTTAAATTGTATTAAAAAACACTAAATAATGCATATTTAAAAATAATCAATATTTTATTTTAATAACAAATATCTATTTGTATCAGCAAAGATATTCAAAATATCATCGCTTTTTATATTTTTCGATACCTATATCTTTTTCAATATACAGTATTGAAGATCACTGAACCTATCTTGAACCTTAGCCAAGTTTTTATTTTTTTCATTGTACTGAAACTCCTTTCGTAAGTAGCCGAACTAATTGGTATTGTTAATGCTATTGTAAATAGTTTTTTATTATTTCTTATTTTACGATTTTCAAAAAAACGAATAGATAATTATAAAAACAACGAATAACATTTCTAACAAAGTTTCGATTTTGGGGGGCTTTTCAAATATTTCGGGGGCTAAGCCCCCCATGTCCGCCTATGGCTACAAGAAAACTGAAGTCATTGTTATACATATACTAAGTAATTATATACATACTTATCATTGGGTAGTGATCCAATACTCAGTGTAACAACTTCACTATTAGGGGTGATGACAAGACTTGATGATTTCTTTCCAAAAATTGTAGCTTGGTGATGACTACTATAAACATCCAAACTTATTTGATTTTGTAACTTTTGAACCAATTGTATAGGTATCTCTATAATTTTTTCTAGTAACTCTCGCCGTTCATGTCGTATATGCATTTTAATAGTATAATCTCCTTTGTCTAGTTTATACACATGCTATAAAATAATAACAATAAATAATTAAATATAGACAATTGTGTTACACTCTTTATTTAGAGATATATAATTAATATTCATACTCTACTAGAATATGCATCACCAGCACTAATGTACTGTTTATTAGAATCAAACAACATCCATAATTGAGATTCATATTCACACTCATATAAAAGTTCACCAAATAATCCACAAGTTGCATATGCTTCAGTTGATTTTGACAAAGAGAATGTATAAGACAAAATTAGTTGATAAATTGGTCTGTGTGGTGGAATAATGTCACGTTTACTTAAAGCAATAATTTTTCCTTCATTTGGTCTGAAAATATGAATAAACATAGAAAATAAATAAATTATAAAATGTTCTAATATATGACTTATTCATGATTTCTAACGTGGGAATAGACAAGTGATGTTCCTTGATCATTGAAAGAAGTTACTTGATAAAAGGCTAATTCAAAATTATATAACATAAATAATAATATTTATTTTATATTTATTTAATTATTTAAATTAGTAAAAAAAAATTATTTGAGATTAAAAATATTTGGTTTTTGAGACTAAAAGACTGAACCTGATTACTTATACTGATACTTTAATCTACTTTAAAGTATTAAATTATATACAAATTTTCTAATGTTAAATCATCCATATTTTATTTCCCGATTCCCGTTCATTCCTAATTTAAATATATAATATACATACTTAAGAACGGTAATAAGATGTTTTAACGAAACGGCAGGAAGGATTTCTTCATTTTTTATACCAGGTTTCAATGTTACAGTCTGTAAACCCATTCCGTGATACATTGCAATACTTCTATTTAAGGGTGTAACACCATGGAATTGTAATTTATATGAAATTTTTATATTTGAAGAACTTGACCAATACTTCGCCAATGCAATCTCTAATACCACATTTTCCTGTGAAAAACATTTAAACATATATTTTTCATAAACATTTCAACAATTTTTTTTATCATATAAATTAAATAGCAATATAGCATTAAATCATTAATCTTGTTTTGACATTAAAATATATGGTTAACACTTCAGTGGTTTTTAACCACTAGCTACTGAGAGATTTAAATCAGGCGCGTATCCAGGGGGAGTTACAGGTGTAGTAACACCCTCCCCTTTAATTGTAGTATACTGAAGTCTTATAAAGGTAAAAATTCATTATAAACCGTGATAAAAACATATTTATCATAACGAAATATATACATAACAATAATGTAAAGCTGAGATCCGACTTCTCATTACACCGTTTTGTCTAATAAGCCAAAACCGTGGTTCTATGTTGTATCATGTGTGATTTGAAATAGGTACGTAAAGCAAAAATGTGCATTTAAAATTTTAATAAAATATTTAAATACTTTCTAATGGTATATTTCACAGACATATATATTCATGTGCAATGTACTAATATATTTGTATGCTTAAACAATAAAATATACATAAAGTAATTATTTTGTTGCATATAATTTTAAATAACACCCCCCATATAAAATACTTACGCGCCTGATTTAAATATAAATATAATAATCATACTAAAAACTTTAGATTATTATACTATTCGTACTTGTTAAATCTTAGTGTTAGAGTACTTTATAGAAGCATATTGTTAATTTTAATTTCTATTGTTAAATAAATACAGTGGAGCATCGATTATTCACACAAATTGGGACCGAGGGGGTGCGGATAATCAAATAATCATTAAAATAAAGTTAAAAACTGATTTACTAGGTATAATACAAAATATAATATTCATACATAATATAAAAAATACAATAAAAAAAATATATAAAACAAAAATATAACGAATTTCATGATATTCACACGATAAAAGGAAATTAACGAATGATGAAAATAAATTAAACTAAAAATAAATTTGTACACAAAAATTTTGTTGTACGGGTAATTGACGGGGCGGATAATCGACGTTCCACTGAATAATAAATTATATTTAGACAGGCCAAATATAAAAATAATGAAAAATAAAACGTTTCGTACCATAAAAAAAATTTTATGCTCGGAGAGAGTAATAATAAAAAAAGGTGTGAACGAACTACGAATTTAATGATGAAATTATGAAAATAGCATAACAAAAAATTTCATATGAAGAAATTATCGATGAATTTGCCAGTCATAAAGTGAGAAAAGCAAATTTTCAAAGTTTAAAATTAACACTGTAATAATAAATTATAAACATAAATTGTATACTTAAAAATATTAGTAAAATTAAGGGTTAAAATAAATATAACAATAAATTTTAATTGGTTAAAAAAACGTTTTTTCTAAGTTTGTCATGGGCGCTAGCGACTTTTCCTACGCCAATGAATAAAATATATTATACATGAAAAATAATAATAGGTAGTCCAATAATATTATAAGAATGCACTCATGTTACGTATTGACATATGTGTTAAGGCTGCCGTGGACCCCCGGAGGCCACGAACCACTGATGTAGCATATTGAATTGAATTATATATTTCTTTAATATTTTGATCAGGTTCTAAGTTTATGAAAAATAGAGGTAGTGGTAATGTTGTTATTTTATTTTTTACTATGACAACTTGTCTAACCTACCAAGTTATGACTCAATTATTCAGAGGTAAATATAACATTCTTACAAATATACTGATAGTTGATATTCGATATCTTATAAAAACTTCGACGAATTCGATTTTGATATCGGTGAGTAGTGACATTATTTTCGGAGAAAAATAATTGGTGGTCCCTATGTACAGGTATGGCCTATAATATGGTATTTTCTTATTCTTCTAGTTCCATTAAAGCAAATAACTTGGAAATTATTATGATCAAAATTTATTTCAAATAATGTTCGTAATGGATATTTCACAAAACAAAAATAATCTCTTTAATAGTAAACTGTGAACTGCTACTATCACTTCTATCTATTCATGATAATGATTAAAAATTATTCTTCGAATATTTAAGAAAACGATGTATAGGATAAAGTATAAACTATAAGTTCGAAGAATCTGCAATAAAATTACATTAAGAATTTACGAAGTATCAATCACGAAGACCACGAGATATAAAGTACTTTAAATTAATCAAAAAATTGATACGCAAGTACTACACAGTAACTATAAAATAATATCGGGTTCTCGGACATATTAACATTTTGTTAATTTTGTGACTTTAATTTGAAAAACATAGTCATTAGTACATTAAGTACATTAAATACAATATAATGGTAGAGTATGACATGTGTAAAATGATTCCATAATATGATGCAAATTATGATAAATGTGAGAAATATAATATGGTTTTAAAATTAAATTATTCTATTTTATATATTTCCTCATGCATACTTATTGTAAAATAACTTACCCCTTAAAATAAAAATTAAAAAAAAAATAATCATTTTTATTTTTCTATGATAACACTTAAGGAGGGTAAATCTATTTTTTATTTTTATTTTTAATCATTTATTATAAATTTCTACGATCTGCACTGAGGTGCACATTAAGTAATATTTTTAGCTATACATTTACAATTTAAAAGTTTTAACTCAATGGAGAAACACTCAGTATTATTGTAATGAAAGAGAGGAAAAGTTATTATTTTATTTTCCAACATAATATATTAATTTATTAAATTTTTAACAAATACAAATAACTATAAATAAAAATTTTATTATAAAATATTAGTTTGTAAAGCACCATAAATATATATTTATTTATTTATCGTATAGCAATCATTTATAATAATCTAAGTTTTTTAATGTGTAACATACATTTTTTTAATTTTTCAAACAGTTTTTCTAGGTTGTCATCAATATAGTAATAGATATTGTTGATAGCAACGTTTCATTACATTTAAATAAAATAAGCATGGAAAAATTAAAAATCAGTATAACACTATAAATCAGGCGTGCCCAACTTTTTTCAACTTGCGGGCCACATTCCAAATTTATATTTGTATTCCGGACCGTATATACTTCACGGTTTTTTTTTTTCATTTCGATAAAATATACAATAGTGAATAGATATATTAAAACATTACAGATAAAAACACATATTTAAAACATTTTTATAAGACCTTTACAGATGATTTCCCGAAAATAAAAAAATTATCAATGCGTATATTTACATTATTTGGTTCTACTTATATTGGCAAACAAAAGTTTTCACACATGAATTACGCAAAATGTTCAGAAAAATCGCATTGACCGATGAACACTTACACTTCTTATTAAAAAATGGCGTTACACATTTCACTCCGAATATTGAAATATTGGTTAAAGAAAAACAAGCCCAAATTTTACACTAATTTATTTCTATTAATATTCTAAAGTCTAACACATTTCTTTTATATTAAAATTAATAATTATAAGATATTTTGTAATTCTTAAAAGCTTAATAAAATAAAAATGTTTTAAATAATAATTTTTTTTATAACCATACAAATTTTTAATTTTTATAAAATAGTTACGAGCCGGTTGGAACACTTTCACGGGCCACGGGTCAGACATGCCTGCTATAAATCATACTATAACATTATGTAAAAATTAATTATGAAGGCCTCAAAGGAGCACAATACCTCGACTACCTACCAAGGCGGGACATCCGAAAATTGATATAAGAATACTAATTTTAATATTATTCTTATAAAATTTCGTGTAAAATGATAAAAGTAAAAATATAGTAAAACACAGTAAATTAAAAAAAAAAATAGTCAAAATAAATGAAATTATACCAAATTCGTACTAAGGATCAGTTCAAGTTTTTTATCCCAGTTCAAATTTCAGACTGCACTACTGATAATTAGAAATATTACTTTATTTTTAACCACTGAATAATCAAATATAAACATTGTATTAAACATAATAAATAACAATCAAAAATTAGAGACTAAGTTAGAACGTACCTCAATAGCAAAATGTGCTTGAAATTCATTGGCTTTCAATTTGAACATTTTGCAATACTCCATAAATTTACATGATTTTTGAGGTAGTAATTGTACAGTGTGTAGACAGAAATTAGCGCATACATCTGGTTCAAAATGTTGTATATGAAGAGCTGTAAATTAAAAAAATATTTACAAATTTTAATTTATTTTAAATTAAACACTAATTAGTAAGTAGAAATTACTTACTAGCCCACGTTACTTTTTCGGGTACTAATACAAAATGTCTCTTTATCAATGAATTTGGTTCGAACACAATGTTATCAAAAGACAAAAAACTAGAATTATTTGCGAACAGAGGTCGAACAACTGTCACTTCAAATGTAAATACAGGGCCTTTTGCAGAATTTTTTGTGTCGTAAGCTCTCACGCTGTCCAAAATGAATAATAATAATAACAAATACATTAAAATTTAATAATTTATACATTCAGTTATTAGACTGCTTACGTAGAAGTATGCACTCCGGAATGTAATCCACTAGGATCAATTTTTATAACAAAATTTCGTGCCATATACATTAGTTCTAAATACTTGGGTACGCTTATCCAAGAATCATCGCTAATTAAGCATAAGCTCATTTGGAATTCGATTTTATGTTTTGCATCTGTAAGTATGATATAATATTTTACTTAATCATTAAAACCACAACATTAGCTCTCTTATTATTATAAAAATATATTTATCAATTAAGGGGATTGCAACAGAGGCGTCATTGGAAAGGACAACTCATGCATTTGCTACAGTCTAGAGCAGGCGTGACCGACTCGCGGCCCGCGAGTGTTCCAACCGGCTCGTACCCATTTTATATAAAAATTAGAAATTTGTATGGTTATAAAAGAAATTATTATTTAAAACATTTTTATTTTATTAACCGTGAAGTATATACGGCCCTGAGTATAAATATAAATTTCAAATGTGGCCCGCAAGTTGAAAAAGGTTAGGTACGCCTGGTCTAGAGAGTTTAGCTATGGTAAATATAAATACATCTTATACAAAGCCATTTGACATGATGTAAATCAGAAAAATGAAACATGTACCGTACGGGTACGTATGTACAATGTACAAATCATTACAAAATTGGACTGGTATATCGTCCTTTCCTCTATACGTCAATGATTACTTAGGTAAAATGAGTCGCCGAGTCGGTAATTTAATAAGTGTGTGTTACTGCCTAATTTAATGATCTCTTTAATTAATAAAATGAAAATTAAGGTAATATTTTAAATATTTTAAATTCTTAAGACCTAGGAGGGGGAAGACTTTAACCTCCATAAACTCCCCATTGTATCCATGGCTGTGTACAACATAGGTATTTTGAAAACTGATTTTAAACAGTAATAGTATTACTCTACATCAATTATCACATATTTTTAAAATTTTTAACCTTACATACTAAGAAATAAACTTTTTTTGAACTTTATGTATACGATTATTTAAATTAAATTTTATGAAATTTTGGAAACAAAATCGAAAAAGTAAAAAAGTCAATCCAAATCAGACTAAATTAATTATTTATAATTATCAGTTTTCAAAATTCTTATCACATCAATTAATCGTTCGGTACGTTGGAAATAAAAAACGTCTAAATCCCTATATTGTGTGTATGATAGATAAAAAGTTATGCCATTCCTTTAAACTTATAAAGTTATTACCTTTCTCAGAAGTAATATTATTTCAATATAATTTTATTATATTTCAATTAATGAGAACAATATAAATTTAAAATCCGAATATAATAAGCAAATATTACGAAGTATACTAGCTAATTAAAATATTACATGAAGATATTAATAATGGAAGTATTAATTTCATGATTTAAAATCATTAAACAATGTTAGCATATTATCTGAATATTTTGTATTACATAACACAAGTGTGACCATTTTTATTTGAGAAACAAGAGTTCTAAGAATGTATTAGAGGTGAAAATCAATTTCTGAGAACCGTTTAAACATAGGTTGTTTAGGAAATCCCGGAATATTTTTCAGATTTCAACACAGATTTTCAAAACAGATGATTTTTTAAATACAAATACAATTCATTTTCAAGATTCAAATTATAAATTGTATTAATGCAATCATAAATCAAAAAAAAATTGGTTAAAAACTTACATTCTAATAATTTCATTCAGATTTTAAATTTACAAAAGGAATTAAAAAAAGTACTATGAAAAATATAATAATTTTTAAATGTACCCATATAATGTCTTATAAAACGTTATAATTATAATATATGAATCAACATAAGAAATAATGTGTAAGAAGAATATCTTGGAATTAAATTTTACATCCACTGAAGAAAATTGAATTTTATATTTAAAACCTAGTTATAAATAGGCACATATAACACTATAAACACAGATAATTAATATATATTTTCCTATAACTTACTATCCCTACAACGTGAACCGATGTTCATTGGGTTTAACCAACTCGCAAGGAAAATTAATTTAAATTATATACATCTTCTGATGCAACTACAGATTTTTTTTATGATTGTATACAATATTATGTATAAATAACCAATTTGTCAATTAAATCATTGAATTAAATATTTTAAAAATATCTAAAAGCTTTAGCAACTATTCAATCGCGTAATACATTTCTGAGACTATTTCAAATTGCTTTTAATAATGAGTAATCTCCATCATGAAATATACTCGTGGTTATTGAATATTATTAAAACTATAAATAAATAAACGATACTCGGAGTGGATAACTTTACATTAGTGCGATTCAACATAATACCAAAAATAAAAATCCTCCGAGACGTTGGATAAATAAATCATGATAATAAGAGAAAAAAAGATTTTATACATATAAAAAAAAATTCGATTAACAACGAAACGACAAACACAAACCCGATTATCTATCCCCTACGTCCCTCCCCTGTAATTCATTACAGTATACCAATATTATTTTCAAGTGAAACAACGAATAAATGTCGTTGTTTTCAATAGTTCGTGGAAAATCGCTATCGAAACTAAAACGTATACACACACACACACACACACATCGTATGTTTTTAAGTTTTATGTGTTATTAAGGACCATGTGAGCCGCGGAGTGGTGGATATACTGTTTAGAGCCCTGTCGCGCAACGGCGTAATTGTTAAATGCGTTTTGTTTGTCCGACACACCGGGCAGAAAGAACTTTTTTTCGCTTGTTCGATACCGTTCGGTTGAAATTCGAATCTCAAAATTTTTTCATCATCAGTAGTTCTAATTATATTTACCACGTGCTCACGGTAAACAACAGCTACATATTAACACGAATCGAAAACGTAAGTGACATTTTAAAAATGATTTATTCTTCGTCCGTATTGGTTAAATCTAATAATTTATCGGAACTAAATGAATGAGTCGTACCGCCGATTGAACTGTGTTTTATCTATGGAATTGGGTGGCTTCTACAAATTGTCATAATTTATTCATTGAATATATGTATAATATAGAAATTAATTTAAATTATGTTTATGTAGTTATTAACATAGTTCCATGTATAATGAATTTATGTCTAATTTTTTATTAATGACTAAATCGATATATTCAATGCCGAATAAAATTATTTTAGTTATTAATTTTTCTTATAATTTTGCCCAATGTTTTTGTAATATAAATAATTATTATTACAAATTCTTAGTACAATTCGAATGTTTTATCCTATTTTACTTTATTCAATTAAATATGTCCTTCTCTCAACCACACTATTTACCTATATTTATTTTTATATTCATTAAATTATAAAATCGTCTAATTCTTAATTGTGTTCGTCACTGTTTGATTACTATTAGCTGGGAATTTATACAACCACATAAAGTGTGTACAGGTAGAATGAGTTTCATTTTAATATTTAAATCTTAATAATGGAAACAAAATTTCGATAAAGGTAATTTTATATATGAATATAATAAAAAAATTGCTATAATCTTTTTTTCTTTTTAATAGTATGTTGTAATTAAATCCTCTAACATCCATATTTCGGTATTCGATACACGAATTTCTGCCGTTCTGTACACCTAATAGAATATTTATGTTAAGTGTCAATATTTACTATGTCTGTTTATTTTCATTTTATGATTATTAGACTACTTCTTAAATTTTAGGTGTTTTAATGAAGTAAGTATTAATAAAATTAATATTTTTAAATTAAAATCCTCAAGATTTCCAATAATCGTCAATTTTACGTATTCGCTCAACTAAAATATTGTAGAGTTATTGAATAGCTGTGTGTATTATTTTTCTATAGAAGGAAGTGTTAGGTTTAAAAAAAATTAAGAAAATTTGATTATATTAAAATGTTCGAAATTATCATTTACTATCTGTACATTTGTGTTCATATCTATGTATAGACTCAATATTTATGTAAAAGTACATGCTATTATTAAGAAATAATTTATATTTTTTTTTATTTTCTACCCGATGATTATAAATCAAATCTCTTTTATACTTAATAGATTACGTGAATTCTGTTATGCGCATATGATTCCAATTTGAGAAAAACATTTGACTTTATTAATTTACTTATCAACCTGGAACTAATTTAGGTATCGGTATTTCTATAAATATGTATTTTATAAACTGATTTATATTTCATTGATTCTATGCGAGTGTAAGTTATCCGTTATAGGAATTTTCGGTTTTTTTTTTTTTTTAGTTTATTCTTTATCTAATATTAACACTATTCCAATAATTATTGTTTAGGCATCAAACCAATTATTGTGTGCTTGACGGTGGTTTTTTTTAAATTTTTATTAATATAACTTATTTCAACAATTCTCATTTATTATTTCTCAAAAATTTTAAAATTAAGTATCTGGAGGACATAAAGTTATCAAATTCGCACTACAATAATCATGTTCCATGACATTTTGTGAAATGCGTGTGGCTTTTTGGCGGGTTGACGAAATTAAATTATATCATAAAATAATTTCATATTGTTTGGCTTTGCGTATGTTTTCGTTAGCTATTTATATTTTTGATAATAAATGAAATTAGATAGTAACTATATATATACCACGGACCAGGAAGACCATTATGTATACTATGGATGTTATCAACTATTTATTATCATGTGTAGAATCACATTACAAATTTAAATTGTCAATTAGTAATCATCATGGTAGCGTCCTAGTGGAATTTCATTTATCGACAAGTTTAAAAGTAATCTATATTTGTGAATTTATAAAAAATACTGCATGACGTTCATAGAATATAGTAACCTTAAAAGTGGCCCTTTCATAAAATTGTAGAACACAATGTGTTATGATGGACGATTATATTCTGTTATTTCCATTTAATTGTAATCCAATAAAATGATAACTAATATATTTAAAATAGAAATAGTAAAAAAAATTTATGAAAATAATTATTAAAAAAAAGTATATTTTATGTTCATATTTTAACGTCTTGAAATTTAACAAGACCCCCTGATTTATTGTTATTGTGTGACCTTAGCCAGAATTATGTATTATACTCAAAGATGGTAAATTATTATTTCTACATTTTACTCTTGAAATAAGTAAATTATCGGTCATCAATTGTTATTGTTTTAATAAAAGTAAGTGCAGCATTAGATCCTATTCAGGAATTGTTACTTAAAGTTTAATAAATGATTAACAGTTACGAAATATTTTTATTATTAATGTTTTGATATTTTTATTTCAGATTAGGTTTTGATTACATCTGAAAATTTAATTCTTTGCCAAAATGAATATGTATTGTACACCTCAAAACAACAATGTTTTATTCTGTGATTACATTTCGGTTTGTACTTTTAACTTTATCTAATGATTAATAAAAGTATATAATAATAAAATCCTATTTTGGCACTGATTTACAATTTATTAAGAATTTTAAACTTAACTTTTGCATGTACATTTTATATACGATGTATATACAATATTATTGCCAAAGAGAATTCATATTATTATTAACTAATGGTATATTATAATTGATTATCAATAATAAAGCTTTTTATACATTTTTTCAGCCTACACCTCATTATTCATTGTCATCATATTCTCAATCTTCATATATATCTAGTAATTCTAATTATTCACAATCATCTTTTTCACCACCCATGTCATCGCCTTATACACCTTCATCACAGACTTCAGAATCATTTGGAAATGATAACATTTTTAAATTTCCACCAATAATTCAAGATAAATATATTGTAAGTAACCATTAATTTCTTCCTTATTAAGTTATCACAAGTATAAAATATTTTTTATACATATGGTTAAAAATAGCGTACACGTGAAGACTTATTAGCTGCCGTTATTGCCAAGGCCAATAATTTAGCTGAAATAGAAGAAATCGGTCAACGTTTAATTTCAATAGACAAAAGACATGTTATTCAAAATAATGGCCAAAAGACATTGTTGCCAACTGTGAAGCAAGAACCTAAGCGTGGTAGTGAACTGTATGTTGCATTACCAAAAGCGTGTTTAGAAGGATTTCTCTATGCTATTTTTTCACAGGTAAATTTGCTAATACATTTTTTTTTATCACAACAAAAACAATTTAGTTCTATTTTTCAAGTATGGAACTGTCCATCAAATTCGATTAATGATGCATTTCTCTGGTTCAAATCGAGGATATGGTTATGTTATGATGAGTAATCCTATAGAAGCTGAGATGGTGCTTGTTAAACTTAATGAACTTACTCTTCCTGGCATTCGAGGTCACTTGTTAATAAGCATGTCAACTGATAATAGAACATTATTTGCTAGAAATATACCTATGGATTTATCAGAAGAACAATTACAAGTTGAGTTTGAAAGGCGCGTGGAAGGAGTTAAGAAAGTGCGAGTTTTTAATCATATAGATGATCCCAGCAAAAACCGAGAATTCTGTTTTGTAATATTCAAAGATCATAGAAGTGCTGCGTTAGCTCGCAGATCAATGGCTGAAAGTCCATTTTTCCTAAATGGGGTATCTATTAAGATCCAATGGGCAGAATCTGAACCTGTATTTCGATATTCAGTACTAAAAAGAGTAAGTATAGTAGTTCTGATACATGTATATTATTTAAACTAGCAGCATTTTTAAATCTTATACAATTTACCTAAAGCTAACTCAACCTTAACATTTTTTTCAAGATGAAACAATTACACATTAGAAACATGAATTCACAAACAACAGAAGAAGATATATGGAAACTCATATGCCAACATGTTACACCTAATAATATTGTATTCATTAAGAAAAATAATACATGTGCCAGAATCAAATTTACCAGACATGAATATGCAGATCTTGTACGAAAAAATCTTGATGGTAAAAATATATTTATAGTTTATTTATTTATTATTACAATTATTTAATTACTATTCATAATTATGGTAGTTCAATAAATTAATGAAAATTTCATCAAACTAGGTACACGAGTTCATGGAATAAATTGGATTGTTATGTGGGACAAAATAGAAGGAACAAAGTATGAAAGGTTATGCCCTTGATGCCTAGAATAATTATTAATTCTACTTATTATATACTACATTAATTAATATATATTTCTTATTTTGTAATTCCATTAAAATTATTAAATTAATACTGAAATAAGTCTCAAATGATTATTTATATTAAGTAATTTTTAATATCTATGAACTTCTTTTTGTATATAAATATAATATAACTGATAGAACAACTTACCAATATCTTCATTGTATAAAAATACAGGTTCCACGGTAACTACACTTTTTATTATGTGGTTTTCAGATGCATTTCTGATGTGTATTCCTTTTTCCCCTTTAATACCACAAGATATAATAAATTTGACGTATGATTCCTGCTCAGTGTGGTATTGAGTAAGATAATCAAATGCTTTTTCGACCTATGATAAGATTTACATATTAATTTAAATAAAGATTTGTAATTTATAATTTTTTTCTTTCTAATGTAAAATTGATTATTAATGTACTCATATTAATAACCATTTGATCTATTATTATTTTTAATTTATACATTCTATATGTTTTGAACAGATTTCAATAATCAATAAAAAAAGTTTTCTATTTATGTAAATATTTTTAAGGCCTATATTCTAAACCTATTTATACTATTTTAACTATATTTAATATTATTTTAATAGCATGTTTTTATATACTTGTAATAAACCGTGTCCTTGAGAAAAGTGATCAATTTTTTCTTGATATAATGCAGTGTTTTCCATTGATCTTTTTATTAAATATGGACATGTATCTATTTTATTTGCTTTAAGTCCGGATATTAGTAAAGCTAAAAAGAAAGGGATTAAGAGTGAGCGTTAAAGTATTAAGTGTGTTTCAAAACATCAATTGAAGTAATTTTCTATAAATTGACCTGCTGCTCCAGCTACATGAGGTGCTGACATGCTTGTGCCATTCATTAACTGAGATCCTCTTAACATATATCCCGGTACAGAAGCTATTGCACCCCCTGGTGCACATACACTAACTCCCCTAGCACCATCAATAGTTGGTCCTCTTGAAGACCATGTATAAGTAGTGGCTGGAAGTTTTTGTTCCATAGAATAATCAATTGCCATCATATCTGGTGATACGTAAGCTCCAACTCCTTAATTTATGTAATATTAGTTATAAAGTAATTATAAAATAAAATCAAAATATAAATTACCATTTAAGATATTATTTACCTATAATTGTTGTTTTAGATATATCTGGTGGTGCGCCAATTGTGCATAATGCTGGTCCATGATTACCAGCAGACGCAACCCAAGTTACTCCATACTTGTCAACAACATCATTCATAATATCACCAATCCTCCTAATTATTGGGAAAAATAAAATAACTAAAACTAATTAACTAATTTTTGCAATAATTTAAACAATACCCAGCATTGGACCAATTTGAATGTTCTCCGTAGCTCATATTGATAACATCTATATTAAACTTTTTTCTAAGTTCCATAACCTTAATCATTGCTCTGACTATTGCTGTTCCAGTTTCCATAGTCTCTAAGCGACTGTCTCCAATAGTTAAAGATATAATTTGGGCACCAGGAGCCACTCCATTTTTTTCTGGTTCATCAGGAAAACATCCAGCAGCAATAGCTGATACATGTGTACCATGGGATGCTAGGTAAAAAAAGAAGTATGAATCTGTACTAATGTTTAAAAATTAAAATATACTTACATCCAAGTGATACAATTTCCAATAAATTTCCATCATTATGTATATTAAATGAATAGCTCATACGATCTGATGCAGTTATGTAACTAAAATTATTTAATGGATCTACACTGAATTCTCCCATAAGTTTACACGAAGCCAGATTCCCTGTTTCAGACGTATCCAAACATGCCCTAAATAAAAATAGTGCAGTTAAATATTGGTAAATAAATATTTAAGTAAGACTTGCTAAATATTTATTACCTAAAAGTGTTAAAAAAATGTTATAATAATTAATATTAGTTATTATACAAACTGATAATGAATTTAATTTCAGATTGCAATTTATAAATTTATCGAGCATCTTATGAGTTTATTTTACATAAATTAAAAAAAAGCCCTTTATAATTTACTTACTGCCATTGAGTTCCATCATGAAAAACAACACAATCGTAAACAGGAGTAATAAACTTATATTTTTTTTCTAAGTTTTGTAAAGCATCAATAGTACTGTCTAGGTCATCTTTTATTAATTTTTGATTTCTTGTTAGTGTGATTTTGGTAGAATCATTTTCCTACATTTAAAAATAACACATTCAGTAAAAGTACCTAAGAGCATAGAGCATATTTTATAAATGAGTTACATTATTGAATTGCTGTTGTTCAAAAATTGATTTTGATAGTAAAGGTTTGTGTATTGGATCCCATTGTTTTTCTTTTTTTTCTTCTTCAATTCGCTTTTGAACATTTTTTGTATATAATTCATATGCGTTTTTTAGCCCAATATGATACTTTCCAGTAGGATTTTTCCAGTTACTTGGTATCTGTAACGATAGATATAGTAGTTGAATTGCTAAAAAATTGTTGACTAATATTTACCACAAGAGTGCGTCCACTTAATCCTTTAATTTCATTTCCTTCTATAGTTACTACTGTTGAAGTATCAACATCACCAGCACCACTGCAGTCATATCTTGCAATAACTTTAGGTTTTCCTTCACTTGTTACCTACAGTTTATAAATATTATTGTATATGTACTTTCCACCAACAAATAAAATATCTCACTTGTAGACCGGGAGCTCCAGGATCAACTCCGGAATCAAATATGGCTATTGTCACATTTCGGCCATCATAAGATGGATTTTTAACTAAGAAATTTGTGACTCCAGTCTCTTTTTTTGGTACCAATGCCCATATCGGAAACTCTTCTGTTTGAAAATTAGCACTCATTTTACCGATAATTTTCCCACTGTGAAAAATTATGTTACTTGAGTGTAACTCGAAAAATTATGACTAAAAATTATATATAATTTATAAAAGTTTTTCGTAATGATTCAACACAATATATTTTCATATTATTCATCAATATCGAATGCGATTAGAATTGCAAGTTATTATCGATAAGGAAAAGATGCTATTAGCAAGACACGTTTATCATAAATTACTATCAAAGAGTTTGTAAATGATCCCGATATAAGCATTGAACTACTGCTAGTGACATCTAGTTGTTAGTTAAATATTATCTCCATTATTTTTTACCAACATCTCAATTTATTTATAGCAAATGACAATACAGTAGAAGTTAGCATTGTCTTAGTTCTGAGCAGAGCAGGTCCGTACACTAAAAAATATTTTGATATTTAGGTTGTACATTTTAAAACATAATAATACTACTTCTACTCTATAAATCATTTAACGATTTTCCTAAATTTCGAAGGGATTTAACCCCTATAACCTGGAATATAACATTATTTTTTAAGTCTATGGTATACTATTAGACCTTTTTTTTTATATTCATTTTTGCATATTATAATTTATAATATTTTTACTAAATTTGGTGGTTCGTGGGCATCATCCATATTCAATAAAACAATTTATCACAATTATTAGTGCTGAGTCGTATTAATTATAATATGCAATTAACTAAACACTCAATTTCTTGTTCAATTATATTTATTAAAGCTAACGGAGTGGATCTAAGTTTATAGAACTTAACTAATAAAAGACTACATTAAAGACACGTATGAGTTATTATTCATATTAATACAACTCAACAAATTGGTTACGAAGAAAATAAATTTTATTTATATATTTTCTGTTAGTCCATTAAATCATTTTTACAATTTAAAATAAATACAGTGTTTTCATATTAATACATTATGGCGAACACAGACAACAAAATTAACTTCAATCAAATTATTAACTGTTTGGGGATATTCATAGGCGTGCGTACGGGTGCAGCGAATGCTGCTTTCGCTGCACCTGACAATTTATTTTGGATTAAGTGGGCTGGTAGATATTTATTTGAAAGGTATACATAGAATGAATAATTTTAAACATATTGAGTTTATAATTAAATTAAAACATAAATGTTCATCAATGTTATTCAAATGAAAAATTATAATATTATTTTATCAATACAAATCTAAAAATAGATGGATATTATTGGGAAAATTCGACGTGCCTACACACTAGATTATACAGTATACAAATACAGACACAACCACAATGACAATTAACTATTCAACCAGACGTGCAGCGATACGAAAACGGAATAGATGCCATAATTAGTAATCAGTAATCACATAACCCAATCGACTATTATGTTTGTAGTTGAATAACGATTTTTCACAGTTACTGCAGTCTGAGGAGTGTCATTTATTACATATGTGATGTTAAATATATTTATAAAAATATAAATGAATATACTAAATTTCATAAAAATATTATTACTCTTTATTTATTATTTACTATATTTCTTATAACTATAATAGGTTAGTCATAGATAAATGAATCTATATGGTAGGGAGGATATACCATATAATGATTTGAATACAAAAGTAATTATATGAAGTTATAAAATATTAAATTTTTACACAGTGGGGCTAAAAAGAATTCGAGGGGGGGGGTTAGGTTATATAAAGGAAATAAGTGGGCTGCTTATTGTTTTTTAGGGACGGTTAAAAATGTATACTGCACCCGACACAAAATCCTGCACACCCCTATAGGGATATTTGAAACAGGTTTAAACATCACCATTTTTGAATCAAAACTGGATAATTTCTTCGTGGCAAACGCAATTGTTAACGATGTTCAAAGAAGAGCCATATTGCTTCCTTTGGTCAGTGAAGATATACATAAATTCAGTTTGTGTCCCAAACAAACCCGATGACATATATCACACCTCAATGGAAAGTTTAAATAAATACTTCAAGCTAGTGAAATCATATTTTACGGCCAAGTAAACATTTTACCAAGGAAAAAATAAGACAAAATAAATCGGTGTGTCATAGGATGAACTAGTCATCTAATTACTTTCTTCCGGGCCCCTTTTTTGAAAATGATTTTATTATTTCAGCCTCATTTAGTTGTTTTTTTTTCTTTGGTTAATATTGACCAAACCCAATCTATTAAGTGGTTCTTCTGACATGGTTGACCGTAGATACGTTTTTAATCGCTTAAACAAATTAAACGTAGGTTCAAGTGTGATTGAGGTACATATGCGGTACTAGACCTCCTTGGCAGGGGGGACAGGAAATACTTTAAGTAAAATATTAACACTATTTCATCTAAATCTTTAAACTAGCAATACTATAAAAAAAAGTATTTTATTGATAACTATTTTAACTTATTTCAAATAAGATTATTATGTAAAATGAATAACACACTTACAAATATCTACATTTTTATTATTTTATCTTATAATATTTTAAAATAATAACTTACCACAATTTATCTGTGATGGTTCTCATAGGCGGACCCAGAGTGATACATTTAAGTGTGCCCAGTCATTTTTTGGTTATTTTTTCAAATAATAAAGGATGTGTAGACCGTGTTCTGATTTAAATTCTAAAAATAAAGGCCTCGTTAATGATGTAAAATAACAATTGATAAAATATACACGTAATTATTATTTCAGAATTATTCTGAACACTTGCAATATTACTTACAAAAAACTAAAATTTAATTAATGGGTATGCACATATATTCTCAATTGTAATTATTCAAATTTTTTCTTCGCATTATTCACATTAGGGTGTGCCAAGGCACACCCGGCACACTCCTTAGAACCGCCTATGATGGTTCTTGTATGAAAAAGTCATAAAGTTTTTATTTTTTTACTTTGGTTTGTGTTCATAATTTTTATTATAATTAGTATTATCCAAAAAACTCAAGAAAACTAAATAAAATACAAACTTTAAATCAAAGTATAAAATCATGCTAAATCATGTCTTACTGCAAATTATATTAACACAATACCATCAATGTTATTGAGATCTGAAGCCTCCAGTTCTGTTAATGTTTTCATTTGATACATTTTGGTTTTTATTGTATACATACTAATGAAATCAAATGACAGACACTTTTTTTCTATCGCTAGAGCTTGAATTTCAGTTTTTTGGTCTATGTTTTTGTCATTAATTTAAAATACATACGATTGAAGGGTTACGGGGAAAAATGATCAAAGTTGAAAAAAATAAATCAGATAATGTATTAAGTATATTGTTAGTTAAGAAGACTAATGAATTGACATGTGAATCGAGTTATGGAAAAAACATCACAGTCAATGACATTTTTTGAATTAGTTTGTTCTTAATCTCTTGGTTTTTTTTTAGTTCTGAAACTATAAAATTGCAATACTGAACATTTTAGGAATATTGACTATTTGCGTTTTTCCCCGTAACACTTCAATTATTTCATATGAAATGTAAACTGATTTAAGGGATTCGGCACATGTAGTCCTTCTGGTCTTTGATAAATTGCGAAGTTTTAATGACCTTTCAATCTCAAGCAACCTTTTCTGTAGATATCCACATCGCTTAGTAGTGCTTGAAGAAAAAATACATATAAGGATTTTAATGTGTTGAATAATTCAGCAACAATAACACTAGCATCACAACTATGTTTCAACGGTTTGTTTGACATGGAATATATGGTATATTATGACCAACTATTTAAGAAAGCATTGTTTGAGAAAATGTTTATCAGTTTATACTAACAGTTTTAAAAATAGACATTCTAAATGTACATATTTTATTTATATCAATATATAGATATAAATCAGTAGGCAAATGATTATAAACATTTGCCTACTGATATAGGAACTATTATATTTTAAAATTTAAATGTTTTTAGAAATGTTTATTTTTATTTGTAAATAAAACAAATAGGTTATTTTGTCAAAAAAATTCCGTTTGCCAAAAGTGCGGACTTTCATTACGATTATCCAATGGCGGGGTGTCACAACCCTTCATATCCCACTTCCCTCCGACCCTGATCGGAATATAACTACACTAATAAATATTAAAAATACCTATTGCGGCGAACGATGTATTAATATGGACGTATTAATTTAATGTTTTTTAATACCGCAAGATCAGCGCTAACAAAAAATTATTTTCATAGTTCACTATTTCGGTAATACAGTAATCATGGACCGTTTTCTTTTTTTTACGTAAGCACTTATTCTTTTTTTATAAAAAAGTAGTTGATTTTAATAAAATTCAATTTTTTTTGTCTATTAAGACCATAATGATACATTATTTTATTAATAATTGTCAAATAAAAAAATTTATTCTTAATCAAAATGATTTTTTTCCCCCCGTTTTGACTAGAAAAATATATGGTCACCTTAGGTATGACACCTGTGCAATGGGGTAACATATCAATAGCCGATTCTAGTTTGTTTTAATTTCATTGACATTTCCAAATACGCAACTCTGCTCTAAAAATAAAACTATTATTATTTGGAAGATCTTAAGCATAGATAAAAGCCATCTTCAAAATAATTTCATCTTGGTACATTCTATAATTTGATGAAATGAATCGCTGTAAAGGCATTATATAACTTAGTCGTTGATTAAATCATACATCCAATTCTTGAACAATGAAATCAAATAAAGGAAGAAACACTGATATTTTGAAGTATGTCTCTGGATATTTTGGGTTTAAATTTATTCTGTGTTTTTGTCTACCACATATACGAGACATGCATATTTCAACATTTGCTAAATTTGTTACATCTGAAACATCCTTAAATGTATTTTCTGCACCTACTCAAAGTTCTTTTAATACATTGTGAATAACCATGACGTTGGATAATGCATTAGAAAGATCTTGATGTTTTCTCTATAGTTGCAAAGTGTAGACAAAACAAGTTATTGTTGTGACTTCAAGTACAACGAGAAACTTACTTTTTGTCATTGAATTTAAAAATAATCAAATTTATAATCATCAAAACCGTTTTCAGAAATATCATGGTTAGCCTTTTGCCATTTATTATTTGAGATGTATACAATAACACAATCAATAAGTACCCATACACGAGAAGATTTTATGACAAATTTGGTGTGTGATGGACTAAATCCTCTTAAAGTTCTACCGTGTGTGCTGTTTAACTTATTCAATCCATTGCAAATTAAAATCTGGCATAATTATTCCTATGGATCAAGTCTCTTCACTAATTAGAAAGATCCAGTCCGCCAGATCTTAATAAGAAATTATAATTTATTGTCATACATTATTTGGTTCATTTTTTCTCAATTCATGTAATAATGGCACAAGTATGACTAAACAAGTCCCTTCAAGCGAGATAGATTTTAATCCACTTATGCCTCTTTTTCTATTTGTGATATAATGGTTAATCCGGCTTCGTTTTTTTTGTCAAAGGCAAATTATTATGTTTATCCATTATGTATTTAAAATGTTCAAGTATAACATATATTAACACAAATTGATAACATAACAATAATAAGTCAGAAATAATCAATCGTATAAATCCGCAGATTTTTCAGAATAGTTTTTCTTCCACTAACCAGATTTAGTCTGCTGGTGGATTTGATCCATGAAAAGTAGTACTTTAAGTTTCATGTTATTGGACACAATTGAGGACTGAATCCATCACAAAATCTTCTCATGTATGGTTTGAAGGGTGCAGAAACTCTCTTCTAGATATGGTAACAGCATATGGGTCTCATTAATATTTCTAAGGATAAGATAAAATGCTCTTAAATCATAATCATTATTCTTATTACCAAGTTATATATTTAAATGTATTATATAGGTATATTAAAATAAGGTTTGTATTTTCTTATTATTTATAAACAAATAGTAAATAATTTAAATTATTTTTAAATAGTATATTTCAAATGTAAAATAAAGAAAAGTTCAAATTATAAAATAAATAAATACTAAATAGTGTAATTGATTTACATACTCAAGATTTACAAAGCATGTATTTAATAAAAATTACTTAAGCTAAAATGATTCAAACTGAATTTTACAAAATAATAAATTTTGGTATAAATATGAAAGCCATACACAAGGATTGATGACCCTTGATTCAATAAAAGGAAACAATTTAAAGACAATATATTTATACTGAGGATGGTAAGGAATAGCAGCATGTTTTATTAGTAAAACTTTAGTTGTGTTAAAAAGAAATTTTTCAGTCTAATATCTGTAAATAATTAAATATTTCTTTAATTAGGAATAATTCATGAACACCCACAAATTTTTTTTTTTCTGTTCAAGATGAATGCTAACATAATTTCAATACGATCTGGCTTTCGTTCAATGTAGTAAAATTATAAATTAAGAGTGTTCAAATAATTGTTACTGTATACAATGATAAAATATCAAAAAACACTTATAAAATATAACAAACTAAACATATTAATAAATTTACAAGCATATTTGTTTTGTTTAATAATAAAACATTAAAATGTACAAGCATGATTAATGCGCAAAAATGTATTTAAAAATAGTATTGTTAGTATGATATTTAAATAAAAACTTAATTGAAAAAATGTGGCATTACCACTCACGATAAAACAAATATATAAAAATAAGTTTATAATAGTTAGGTTTGAGAAAAAAATAAAATTAACATTTATGTGCAATAAACTTCATAGCTGGGGAACTCAGTAAGGAGCTGGAGGTGATTCTTCCCATTTTAGCACTAAGGTACTTTTTGTAAACAGCCTGGGTAAAAAAAAAAAAAAAAAAATATTAAATAATTCGTCTTAACATAATAATATAAATGTAATGTAAACCATTTTACTGAAGATTGAAAGTGCTATAAATATGTCTATTATAATGGATAAAAAAATGATTTATATTAAATAATTTATTAATGCACTGAATATTTGTAAAAAGAAAAGAACTTACGGTTCTTTGAAAAATATATTTAAATATAACATACTTTATACTTCCATTCTGGTGCAATGAGTACTAAATTAGCAAGGGCTTGAACAGTAGATATCAAATCATCCATTTTATATGTTGAGTGTTTTTGTAGTAGATCTGTCCAGTATAAAGATAACAATGATTTGACATCTTCAGGTCTATCATCTAATTCAGGGTCGTTTGTTATAACAATTGCCAACAATAGGCCAGATGCAGCCATCTCGGATGGTTTAATGTGTGATACATTATAGTCAATTAATGCCAATTCTAAAAAGTATTTAGCCAAAGAATGTTGAGATGATCGAGCCTATAAAAAAATAAAAAAAATAATAAACCATAAACTAAATATTATACACGTGACCCTAATATAATATACAAGTATTTTTGTGTGACTTACACCAGATACTTTACTAAATCTTCTTAAAAAAGTTAATGAGAATGGTCTGGATAGTGAATAATTTATTGTTCGGAACACATCTACTAAACTAGATTTAACTTCATCTTTCGTGAAAGCATTGTCAGATAAATAGATAAAGTCAGTGATTTCAGGTACATATATTTCTTCATATTTACAGCCAAGTAGTAAACTTGTTGCTCCTAGTAATTGAAGTTTATTCCGTGCAACATTTTTATTTTCCTATAATAAATTTAATTAAATTTATTAAATTTATAAATTAAATTAAAAAAATGAATTTACTTGTAAATATCTGTCAAGAATTCCAACTGCCATATAAAGGGATTCTTGCATAATTTGAAACTCTTGTTGTACTTCAACTAACCAGTCAACTACAACACTACGGTTGGATGGAGTAATATATTTATGATTGGCTAAATAATCTGGTTTTATGATACTTTTATCCTAAATATGAAATGTACAACCAGTATTAGAACTATACTAAATAATTTATTTAATAGCATTTACCTCTAAGGTCATTAAATATTCAAAAATTTGTTTAGAGTAAGCCCCAACAAGAAAAGGATCATATTCATCATTTTTGTCAACAGTATCAACTTTGCAAGCAGAAATCCACTCTTTTTCTTTTTTTTGTGTTTCTGTTAGTTGAACCTGCACATTTTAAATTATAACTGAATAATTTGGATATTTTTTTATATTTTTTATAAATTAAATTTACTAACTGATTTGTTTCGGAGCGATGAGCTTCTGGTCAAAGTTCCTCTAAAGGATTTCACCAATCCAACAGTTTTAGGTCTTGTGATAGCTTTTGGAATATTTGATACATTTTCATTTAAACCAGTATTACCTTTAATAACAGTCTTAGAAGTATTTAATGAAGGTTTCACTTTCACATTGGTTGGAAGGGTTGAGCGATTTAAACTAAAGTGTAAATATTTTTATTATTATTAACAAAAAAAAATAATATATTAGTTAAATATACTTGGTTGCAAGTCTAGTAGTTGGTTTTGTTATTATAATTTTTGATTTTTGATTAGCATTTTGATTATTCTGCAAGTTACTACTCAAATCATTAAGAACAGGTCTTCTAGTAGCTAATACACCACTGCTTTTAAGATCTTTGACTCCTTTTGGAACATTGTTTTCAGAATATACTTTATCTTGTCTCTATAAAATATATATATATATATATATATACAGACATGCATATTAAAGTTGAAACATTTTATTCTTGTTCCAGAAAAAAAATGTCTTATGATATGTATCATAAAACAATAAAAAAAGTGTAAGAACATTAAATGTTACACCAAATTTTGGTGTACCAACATTTAAATGCAGGACATTGAGTCACAAAGATGATTGGAGATGAAAAATCATTATTTTACTATAATTATTACTATGATTAGTTAAGCTTATAAAAGTATATATGTATATAAAATCACTTAAGATAGCGATTATTCCTTAACCTTTTTATATTTGCGCATTTTAGGTTGATAAATGCTAATTTATGGCATATATTCTAAATAAAATAACAGCATCTGTATACTTACAATTTACCTGCTATACTCAGGGACTGACTGGCCCATTGTCTTGTAGGATAATAAGCATTTGAATTACAGGGTCTGGCCATATATCAATGAGCACCAAGGGGCCATTATTAAGAGTTTATAATTTGTACATTTCATTATAATTCTTAGCTATAATTTCTGAGTTTAGTTAATATTATGATTTATGGTAGATTAAATCATGATATCAACCAATTGTCTATTAAAGATTCAAAAACTTTAATTTTTTTTTTTACGTATAAATTCTACTTAATTTACACATTTATACAGAACTTATGGGTAAATTTTAAATCTATCATGTAACATTGATTGCGAAAACATCTTCAGTAAACTGAAAATAATCAAGAACAGCTAACACTAATCAATAGTATAACAAGTAAAAGTATTCATAATGCCTTCTGAAAAAGATTTAGAAGATGCTCATTTCAAAAATCCTCAGTGTTATTTTATAAATTATTGTTAATATAGTTTCCATTATAGGTTAAATATTTTATGTTATCAATGTTAGAAAAGAACTGTACAAAATATGGAATGAAATATATTTAAAAGGAAAAACCATTAGTGATTTCAAGAAGGGTATTGTGGTACTGATTCCAAAAAAGAAAAGAACACAAAAATGTGAAGAACACAGAACATTAAACCTCATCACACATGCCTCTAAAATTATCATCAAAATAATCAAAAACAGGATAGATAAAAAGAATGAAGAAAATCTGGGTAAAGATCAATTTGGATTCAGAAAAAACACAGGAACCAGGGAGGCAATCGTAACGCTGAGAGTACTAATTGAAAAACAAATTAGAAAAAACAAAGATACATTTATAGCCTTTGTTGATTTGGAGAAGGCGTTTGATAATATAAAGTGGAATATATTATTTGATATTCTAAAATCAATTGGAATTAAATATTACGACAGAAGATGCATCTATAATTTATACAAAAACCAAAATTTATTAATAATATATATATAATAATTATAGATGGGAAAGAAGAAATAACAAAAATTAAAAAGGGTATACGACAGGGCTGTAACCTATCACCGATGCTGTTTAATCTATATATTGAAGAAGTAATGAAAGAATTAAGAATAGAAGCTAAGCAAGGAGTTAGAATAGATAGAGGAACAATTAATCCACTGAGATTTGTCAATGACATTACTTTTTGTGCAGAAACAGAAAATGACCTGCAAAAGATTTTAACTAAGGTCAATAAAATATTATGGAACAAATATGGAATGAGATTAAATAAAAAAAAGACAATGGTTATGGTGTGCAGCAAGACAAACCCAGTTCAACTTAATATTCATATAGATAAAGCACGCATTGAACATGTGCATCATTTTAATTACTTAGGAAGTAAAATAACGGAAGATGGCCGTTGTAAAGATGAAATTCTAAGTAGAATAGCACAAGCGAAGAGGGCTTTCCAGAAAAAAAGACACATACTAACCACCAATAGTATGGACTTAGAGGTAAGAAAAAGGTTCTTAAAAATATATGTATGGAGTATTACCTTATATGGCTGTGAAACCTGGACAATCAGTGCAATAGAGAAAAGAAAACTAGAGATCTTCAAAATGAGGTGTTATCATAAAATGTTAAGAATTAAATGGATTGATAGAATAACGAATAAAGCAGTACTAAATAGAATAAAAGAAAAGAAAATACTATGGCATACCATAAAAGTTAGAAGGGCTAAAATGATAGGACATTTACTACGCCATGAGAGTCTATCGAAAATCGTCATAGAAGGCGACGTTGAAGGCCATATAGGAAGAACACCAAGGATGGAGTACATGAAGCAAATCATAATTAACGGAAGAATAGTTATAAGGAACTAAACGAATTGGGTAATGATAGGGACGCAAGGAAAACTGCAACAAACCAATCTAAGGATTGAAGACTGAAAGAAGAATTTTCCATTTTATTTTCATTACTGTTAGTATCATGTTATCTTTTTTTGGTGCAGTACTTTATTGAATATACTTAAATCTATCCTATATAAATTATCCAAATGTACATACAGCAGAAACTAGATAAACAAACACTCTCGGTTAACAAAAAAAAAAAAAAAAAGGAAACTGGCAAAATATACAAATAATGCAATTGTTATTGAATTCAAAGAACAATTATAAAAAAAAATTTGCAATATACATAATCTGAACTTGTTAGAGAACAACATAATTACTCTAACAAAACTAGACTAAAAAAAAAAAAAAACCACTAAAAGATATGATCACTGTAATGATGTAAGAAAATACAATCATAGATTAGCTTTACTGATAATTGGAAAATCCAAAAAACATAAAGCATTTAAAAATTTAAATTTAAATGCACTGCCTGTGAACTTTTATGAAAAAAAAAATACTTGGATAGACTTAACAATATTATACAAAAAAGTTCAATTATAATCAATTAAAACATTAACAACTTTCTAAAGGATAATTTTCATATTAAATTTACATTAGTATAATGAACTAAACTTGAAAGAATCTTAAGTTTAATAATTTAATATTATAAAACTATGATATATTATGTATTTTAAATTTAATATGTAGTTTATATATTTTTTTTTACATATAATTTAACATAGGTAACTATGTGAAAAATTAACTCACATGAATTTATCATATAAGAAGTTTACAAAGTGACTGAGAAACAATGATAATAATATTAATTAATTACTTATTTATGTTTTAAAAATATGTAACTGTAAAGTATTATTTAGGTATGTTTTAAAACTAAAATAATTATTTAAGTAAATAAAGATTTGATAAAAACTATAAAATAATACCTACTACCCTAAAAAGCAAAATAGATTTATTTTCAAGTAATCGAATAAATTATAGAGAAATATATATTATATCACGTTTCATGATGGTAATATAAATGATATAAATATAAATTGATAAATCTGAAGTACCTATTAATAATTTCAATTGAATAATGATTTTCACCAATACATATTTTTTAAGCAATTATTTAATAATAACTATCATTATAGTTGTATTAATTAAATGCATCGAAATATACTACAACATACCGAGCAAATGCACGGCCATTATTATAACTTACTAAAATATAATTGTACTATTGATCTGTGAACTAAAGTATAAAAATCTTACCAAGTGCATGTCACGTCTAATGCCGGTTGCCATTTTTCAATAGATGATAACAATAGTGAACGAAAAAGAACAATTGAAAACCGTTTTTAAAAGAGGAAAACACTTAGGTCCGTGATTTAAATGAAACTAGTATAATTATACGTATAACGTGCTGTTTAACAAGTTTTAACAAAAATAGTTCTGGAAAACCAACGACTAACGTATACAAAAATAGAAAGAAAAAAGTACAAATGTACACTATACACTATACAGTGATTTATTACAGGTAACAAGAAAAATTGTTCAATTTTCGATTCAATAAGACAGGCCATAGAAAGAATATTAGACAGTGAGAAAATTGAATTATTTTAACGGATTTTCTCCCCACTATGTATCTTATATATTATACGCTATATTTCTAGAGTGTGGCCAACGTAAGACATCTTACACTTAATCTGGTATTTATTTTTGATCCGCTCATGAGCAATTTTCCGTTGAAATTTATAAAATATCTCATAACTATCTCTAGAATATTTAAATATTCTATTTAAAAACAGAATAGGTACTTCAATTAAGAACTAAATAATTCATAAATATATTGTTTACTATAATAGGGTTACATATTTATAATTTTCTGTTTTACTTGTAGAGATAGTTATCAGTCATTGAAGAGTTTGATAATAGTGTTTCTATTCGATAACCGTTAAAGTTTAACGTATTAAATGTAGTGATAATGATTTGGTTTTTACTTACCTATTTAATATTTTGCACACATTGGTGTTTTTTTTCTTAATGTAACGTATATATTTATTGATGGTATATTCAATTCATTGAGAATACCTAACCATGAATTAAAAATTGTCTTTAGAACACCTTATTTGAATGATAATTTGTTTAAATTTAAAATTTTTTAAATATCAAACATAAAAATTCCTATTTTAAAATAGTATTGATTTATAATATCTGCCATATTTAAAATATATTTATTTGATGACTTCAACTATTAATTTTCACAAATAACATGAAAAATGGCGTTGATACAATCAAGGTAATCAATTTAATGAATAATATATTTAACCAAAATTTTGTTCATTATTTATTAATTATTATTGTTACCTTTGCGTTAATTGTATACAAATTTATAATTCTGTACACATTTATATTGCAACTGTAAAGAGAAATAATTTTAAAGTTTACAAATTATTTTTGATAAATTAAAACAATTTTAAAATTATTGAGTTTTCAAGTTGAAATTATTTGATGGTTAGAAATTTCAGTATGTACTTTCATACATTCTAATGAATTTATTTAAAATTCAAATATTACCAAAATAATATCGTTGAAATTATATGATATATTTATAAAAAGTTTTTTTTTAGTAACAAATCGCCAATGAACTTAAACGATGGACTTATTGAAGTTGATATCATAAGACAAGATAATTTGGCCTATGAATATCTATGCCATTTAGAAGAAACCAAAGTGTATGTTATTATTTATAATTAGTAAAAATAAATCAAAATATATTAATTACTTATTCTACAACAACCAATGATTGATTTTATAATATCCATTTATCATTGATGGATTTTTAGGTGGTTGGAGTCTTGTTTGAAAACCACTTTACCACCTGTTATGGAGCTTGAAGATCATTTGCGAAATGGTATTTTATTAGCTAAACTAGGGAATTTCATAGCTCCTTCTACTGTTCCAATGTCTTGTATTTATGATCGCGATGAAAGACGTTATAAGACAGCTGGCCTTCAGTATCGTCATACAGATAATATTAATTATTGGTTAAAATCTTTAAATACTGTTAATCTACCAAAGGTGAATATTATTATTAGTTTGTTTGTTTGATTATTAATTTATTATTTTTTTTTTTAGATATTTCACCCTGAAACTACTGATGTTTATGATAAAAAAAATATGCCAAAAGTGATTTACTGTCTACATGCTCTAAGTACCCATTTATTCAAACGAGGTCAAGCACCATTAATCCAAGATTTATATGGAAAAGTTGATTTTTCTGGTGAATATATTTAATTTTGAATGTAAAATAAATTAAAATAATTCAATTATTGGTACTTATATTTAATATTTTAGCTGAAACAATAACTGCTACCAGGAAAGAATTGGCTGAAAATGGTATAGAACTTCCTAAATTCCAAAAAATTGCAGGATTGTTATCAGAAGATATCAAAGGAAACACATTAACATTACATGAAGCAATTTTAGAAATAAATAATTCTATTAAATCTAAGGTTCAAAAATATTATGGTTTTGTAGTATATATTATAATATTCATATATTTAATATTTTAGGATATGAATTATTTTACTAAAAGTCTCTGCAATAAAGCAGCAAAATTACAATTTATAAATTTGAATTATATAGATAAATATTTAGAAGTTTTGCGTAATGCTCAACATTCAAAAGAAGATGCTACTATGAATAAGGTAATTCAAAATCAAGAATCTAGTGCTTTACTTAATAGTTGTTGAAGCTTTTAAAAAAATAGAAGCATAATAATTTTATATTATTATAAATTGCATTTTAATAATAATACATCAAAAGTAATTAACAATTTTTTCTGAAAATAAAAATCATTGATATTCATATTTTCAGTCTTTAAGTGAAAGTTTTGAACCTGACACATATGATGATATTTTAACTCAAAATGAAATACAAGGATATATTTCATCAACTAATAGTAAGTTACTTTAAATTTATTCTATTCAAACTAAAAATTAATTTTTTTTTATAGTTGACCTAAAGTGGAATGAAATGATTGAAGCAACTTGTGAAGATGAAATTATAAATATATTAAAATCAAAATATATCCCACTCATTGTAAGTATTATAAGTAATTAACAAATGCATTTTCTTATGAATATATTACTTAATAATAATTATAATTTTTTTTTTTTTTTTTAGGATGTTCAAAAACAAAATGGTAGATATTATAAATCTGAATTCCAAAATTTATTGCGGACTGTTAATTATAAGAATTTGAATACAATTGATAAAAAATGTTATCTTCAACGTATTGTCAATTCTGGAAACCAATATGCATTAAATTTCCAAAAACGTAAAATATTATATATTTATTATAGCTTATTCATATCATTAATTATGAAATTTATCTTTAGAAGAAATTTCAATAAAAAAATTAAATGATACATTAATCATTAATGACATAGATGGTTTTACACGTATCATAAAAGATCCAGTGTTAAACTTAAATCATCTCATCAATGAATTTGCAATTCCTTTATATTTTGAAGAACTTAAGATAGATCGATGTGATATAGATGTAAGACTGATTTTAAGTATTAATTAATTTTTTAAAAATATTTATTCGTTGTTTAAAAATTTTGTGTTTTCACATATAAATTATATGTAAAATAACGAGAGATGTATTTTTTTTTTTTACAATTTTAATTCATCAAAATTATGCATCACAGCTATTTTTGAATTTTTGCAGCAAAACTTGAGTTATAATGATATTGTACAGAGCTTGCAAGTTCTTAATCTCATAGCAGATGTCACAAAAGCAGTTCTTTCAGAAAATATTGATTTGACATGGGATCGTTTAGCAAAATTAAAAAAATTTTTCCCAGTAAAAATACCCTTTTATTATACACTTATAAAAATCTAAAATATTATATTTTGAAAAATTTAAAAATACTTAGGATCAAGAACTTGATGCTGGGTTAAAACTGCAATATTGGAGTGCATTTGATGCATGTAGACGATTTAAAGTTATAAATAAAGGTAGCTTTGGGATATTATCATTTATGAATATTAAAGACTGTGTAAACATTGTTCATAACCAGTTAGAACAAAACAAAGAAGGTATTTAATTATAAATATATAATTTGAAAACATATTTTGATTTACTTCATTGTTTTTTATCAGTAATAAATGTTTTACAACAACTAAATTATGCCTTAAAATGGAATGATTTTAATACGATGAAGCAATGTATAATGAATCCTACATTAAGATTAGAATATTCAGTAAAAGCAAAAGATTTACAATATGCATTTGAATTATTATTGGTATGAATAAATATTGTAAATATTTACTTTAAATTGTATAAAAGTAAATTGCTATAGTTTTATGTATTATATATGTACTTTTTAGAATCGAAAAAATGACTCCGAAGATGATGTTGAAATTTGGAAAGATGACGTTGAAGATGTTTTAAAAAGAGTGTGCGATGAAGTTGAAAGTATTCATAGAAGTGAGTCTTAAATTATATAAGTTAAAATCTTTGTTACATCTAAGCTAAATGAATATGTTATACTGATTAAGGTGCTGAATGGCTCTTATCAGTGAACTTGTCTTTGGTTAAGAATGAAAGAACTAAACTAGCACAAGAATTCCTTAAACTTGTTCCAATGAGTGAAATGGAACAACAAGAAATTTGTGTTACATTGTTACATTTACTGGAATCAAAGGTAGGTTCAATCATATGAATTTTATCAGAATGCTTATTTTTTATGTAATGGACATTATAAGATAATACATTGTCAATATAGTGGTTTTATAATAACTATAGCATAGATTTAAATGCACTAATATATTAAAATATGCATTTAAGACAAAAAATATGTACTTGAAATTTAGAAAAATTTATTATTTAATTAAAATAATACATAAAAAAAATTATTTAACCCCACTATAAATTTTTTTTCCTTATTTTTAAAGGATTTTACTAACCAAAATAATTTTGTGTAGGTAGTTTTCATCTATAAGAAAAAAAGAATCAATATCAAAAATATATCCTAAATGCAAATTGCAATAATTTTAGTTATATTTTCACAAACCATTGATTTGCGTTTGTCAGTCAATACATTTTTATATCTTAAAAATTATCTTTTTACGTCTACAATAGTGATAGGTGATGTATAAATATATCATTTAATTTGAGGATAAATCTTTGCCAATTTGAATTGATTAAATTTCGCCATTTAAAAATTATTTTCATTTAAAATTAAACTATGTCATAGTCTTCATTTTTTGATAATACTTTTCTACATTTTTCATAAACAGATTTACTCAATATATTACAATACCTAGAATATATTTCAAAATTATCAAAAAAAAAAAAAAAAATTGAAATATACAAAAATATGCTCTAAAAAAATTTGTTGTTTAAATTGTTGTCAAAAAACAAATTTTTTGTTAATTTAGCATATCATACGACCAACCAGAATAAATATGCCAATGCATATAAATCCGTGCTTTAAAAATAACCATTTGTAAAGTTTTTCTTATTATTTTTTTAGAACTTAATAGTTTTATAGAATACAAAACTAATGTGTTGTTAAATTATGAACTATTGTCTAAATTGTATTTTTCTTAATTTGATAAAATAAAGCTCACTACTATGGTTTGAATTCAAAATAGATATTTGTTTTATATATATTCAATATTTGATCAATTTTCAGGCAAAATACAAAGGTCCTTGGGTTGTGCATCAAACACCTTATGGTCGATGTGTTTATTTAAACCTAGAAACTTTAGATTATTCGTGGGAAAAACCAAATTTTCTCCCTACACCGAAATATTTAAATATGGAAGAAATACAGGCAAGTATAAAGTAATTTTAAAAGTATAAATTTAATGTGACAGATATTAATCATTACTATGGTGTATATTATTAAACTTCTATCAAATTTTTCAATTCTGCAAAGTTGGTATTTTAAGATAATTAGCTCAGATATTACAAAAAGTAATTTTTCAATTCTTGATTATTACAATTATTACTTCTAAAATAGTAAAATATATTTAATTAAATTAAATAACTATAAAAAACCTAATCAGTTTGCATTTACACATTTATCATAATAATAATTTTCAATCTAATAAAAGTTTAGAAGATATTAATTTTACATGAATGTTAGATGCAGCAATTACAATAAACAATCTATTATTAAAATCCAATTTTGTTAAAAAAAAAAATATATAGAAGTGAAGTCTGAAATTTGCCTTAATTAAAAATATTATAAATTTACATATGTGGTTTTCTTCTATAATATATAATTGATTTATGTGGTGTTGATCAAATTTTTTATATCAGAACTAATTTTGTGTGATGACAATCCATGTTTGTATGACAATTTATGCTTGGTGGATAAAAATAAATTGTAACATTATATAATTAATCTTTTTTTTTCTTTTTTCTATAGACTACTATAATGAATATGAAAAAAAGTTATCAACATCGGAAAGAATCTGAAGAAATGGAAAAAATGATTACTCAACTTCAAGCACATATTCGTGGGTTTTTAGTTAGAAGGGAACTAAAAAACAAAAATAAATGGAGTAATAAACAAGAATATTATGCTATAAAAATACAAGTGTGTTTTATTTTTATTTTTTAATTAATTTAATTGTCTTATACATTTAACCTATTGACTTATAACTATTTCAGAATTGGTGGCGATGTATTCTTTTTCGCAGACAATGGTCAGCTATGATGAAGAAAGTTAGAAAACAATTAAAACCTTTCCAACGGGTTTATACTACAAGTGATGTTAGTGAAAACAAAATAAAATGTTTATACTGTATGAGATAGCAATAATTTTGTATTCTAGGTGAAACATATAATACAGATACAAGCTATTTGGAGAGGTAAAATGGTTCGTAATAATTTTTATCACTTGTTTCATACAGCAAATCCTCCTTATAAGATTGTTAAACATTTTGCTCGTTTACTTAATTTCAATTTGGAAGACTATCATCGGGAGTTAGAACTACAAGTGAATTTTTTTGCTTTGTTATTCTTAATACAGAATCATAAATAAATGTGTTATTTATTAATTTTTTTTTTTCATATATCAGAACCTTCGTGGCCAAATTACTAAACATATACGTCTAAGTAATAAAATGTCACATGAAGCTGATGAATTAGATATTAAAATAGGTTTACTCATTCAAAATAGAATATCTTTACAGGTAATATTAATGTATTGTATATTTTCTACAAACATTAGTATAAAATAATATTTTGTTTTTATTAAGGATGTTATTGGTCATAAAGTAAAAGCCAATGAAGATATCAATAAAATACATCCATCAAATAATATGCAGCATTCAATTAGCTTAATGTCTTTAAATAAAAATAGCAAACACTTATTAGAATGTTATCAGCATTTGTTTTATATGCTTCAAACAAAACCTTATTATTTAACAAAACTAATATTCTGCTTGCCTTATTCAGTTCGCCATATATCTAAGTAAATATTTTAAATTATTAAAACTTTTCTAAAATAAGATAATATTGAATGAAATATTGCATTTGATTACAATTTATTTCAGATTTTTAGAACAAATTCTTATGTCAGTTTTCAATGCTGGAAGCAATAGCCGTGATGCTTATTTTATGTTAAAGCTATTGACATTAGCTTTGAAGGAAGAAATTAAAATAAATTGTACTAAAGCAGCAGAAATTAAAACTTCAAATTTATATATATTAAAAGCAATTGTTGATCAAGCAAGATGTTTTGATAATCAGAAGCGTTTAAATACAATCTTTAAGACAGTTGTAGAAAAGGTATATTATTAATTATTAATAAACTAACTTTTTCACTGATTGTTTATAATGATGAAGTTATATTTTTAATTTAAATTTATAAAATAACTTTGAAATCCATATTTTCATACTTTACTTTAATTCTCAAATTTAACGCTTACATTATCATTGGTTTATTACCACTAAACAAATAAATCCAATTGTTAATAAAGATATTGTAAAAAAATTAATTAATATTAAACTAATATGTGTTAATAACTGTATTTAGCTGATACATCATAGAAATAATCTATTTATTGACACAAACCCAGTAACAATTTACAGAACATGGCGTAATGAATTGGAGACCAACACCGGAGAAATTTCGTATGAACCGCTTTTATAATTCTAATTTTAAATAATTACAATATTCTATTTTATTAATAGAGATTTACCAAACTCTGTTGACCAACAAACTGCTCTAAAGTATGACGAAGTTCAAAAAAGATTAGCTCATAATTTGGAACAGCTACAGAATATAACAGAAGAATTTTTAAATAAAATTTTAGATTCTAAACCATTAATACCTTATGCTATATTATACACAGCTCGAACATTACGTGAAATTATACAAGAACTATTTCCTGATACACGAGAAAATGAGGTTTATAAGGTATGTATATGATTATTTAGTTAAACTATGTGTAAAAATAATTGTTAATTAATTTAAAATGTTCGTTAAGATAATTGGCTATTTTGTCTATAATTTATACATGAATCCTGTTATTATAACACCTGAAATATATGATATATTTGAAACAAAAATCGAAGATGGAATAAGTTATCGTCAACGACATAATTTAGCTAGTGTAGCAAAAATTTTACAATATGCTTCAAATAAAAAAGGGGTATGAAATTATTTGGATTTTTAAATGTTTGTATAATTTTATATTTATACATGATTATTACTATCATTTTTAGTACAAGGATGAAATTCATTTAAAATGTATGAATCCTTTTATACTCGATTGTTACACAAAATTAAAATTGTTTTTCAACAATTGTAGTAATGTTGATGATCCAGAAATATATTATAATATTAATGAATTTACAGATGTAACACTTTTGACAAAACCAACAATAAATATTACATTACAGGTATGAAATATAATTATATTTCTATATTAATAAAAATGATAAAAATATTTTATGTACTTAATTCTACTTAGGAAATACAAGAAACACATTCTTTATTACTAGATAATATTGATCAAGTTGCACCGGATCCTAATGATCCAATTCATCAATTACTTGATGAATTAGGACCATCGGCACCAACAATTTCACAACTTTATGGATGTAAGGAATTATTATTGTTTTATTTTATTTAATGTTTTTACTAGAATTTATTTATTTTTTAGCTGATGATGATGATATTATGGTCCAAAGACGCATTGCCACAGTTCAAGTTTGTCTAACCCTATCAGATAAATTTGAACCCAGTACTAAAACAGCATCTGTAACTAAATTGTTTATAAAGTAAGTGTATTTTAAAATATTTATGCATTTTAGTTTTTAATATGACATATAAATTTGTAATTTTAGAACAAAAGAGTTATTGATAAGAGTACTTCCATATTTAAGTGGCCATACATTGCCAGGGTCTTTGAGAATAGATTCTACTCCAGATGAAGAATGTCGTTTTGCTGAAAGAGAATCAAAAATAACAATTTCTGGAAATAATGTCGACTATGAAGTGTATGCCATATTTTAATTTATTTGAAGCATAAAATAATATATGATAATATTAATTAGTTAATTATAAATAATGTATATAAAGGGGTACATTAAAAGAAATCAAAGGAAAATTAAGAAAACATTTGAAAGTTTTAGAAGAAGAAGGTATTGTGACAAAAGAAAATGGATATCAAGGTATAATTACATCCGTGGCAAAAGATATTTGTAATCGAAATAAATATCGTCAAATACAAATCAAAGTTGGTAGTGTAAAAAATATATTGAATATGTAATTTTAAGTATTGAATTTTAGGAATTGCAAATGTTAAAATCCACTAAACAGAGGTTGGATGAGAAAATACAATATTTAAATGAAAAAATAAAATCTTATGAACAATATATACAAACTTGTTTAGATAAACAAAATACCGGCCAGAAGTAAAAAAAAAAAAATGTAATAATAGTTTTATTTATTTTAATTTGTTATTTATTTAGGAAACAAAAAAATGCATCTAATAGAGGTAAACAATTAAAGTCTAAGAAAAGTATACGCTATACCGCAGCTAAATTACGTGAGAAAGGAGTCCTTATCGAAGTTGAAGGACTTCCAGATGGACAATTTAAAAATGCTCAGTTCGAAATTGGTCCAACTGATATACATGGAGTATTTTTAGTTAAAGGGAAATTTATGGGGGTAGAAATGGAAACCATAAATATTGATATACAAGTAAGTTATTTTCTATACAAGATAAAATAATAACTGAAATAACCATTGTAATATTAATTATTCTAAATTATACAATAATTAATCTATTATATATTATTTTTTAAAAGGATTTATTAAAACGTCAATTTGAAGGTGCAACTATAATGGATATTTTTGGTACAGCCAAAGTGAATGTCAACTTATTGCTGTTTTTATTGAACAAAAAATTTTATTGTAAACATTAAAATAAATGCACAAATAATTTATGATTTTAAAATTTAAAATATTTATGTAATAGTTACAACATCTGGTTTTACAAAGAATGTTTATATTATTTTTTCATAGTAGTATTATATTTTATAATAATTTTGTTAATTGTCATCACTAATCATGTACTCTGTAATGTATTCAAATATTTTTTTTTTAACTTAATATATAATTAGTATTAATTACTTTTTTTTTTTATATAATTAAAATTACACAATTAGTAATAAACAAGTAAAAACTGCATTGTAATTTCAGTTATAGAAACTAAATATTACTTTATTTTTAATAAAGTATTAGGCTAATTAAAAAAAACTAGTTCTAATATCAATAACTATATAATTATAATAAATAAAAACTATTTCTATATATATTATGTATATCTTATAACTGTATATGCTTAATTATAAAATGCTCTCTAAAAAAACTAAGTAATAATAAATATCAAGTTCTATCCAAATGTATAATATTAATTTAATAAGTTTATTCATTATTGTGACCAAATTATTGATTATATAAATTGGTAATCAAATTAACAACTAATTTTTAAATAAATAAATTTGATCATCAAATATTTTTTTTATTTTAAATTACTTTTTAATTAATAATAAATTTAAAAAAATAAAGTTTATTAAAAATAAATCCCAGATAATACTGTAGCTCAGACCCAGCTCGGGGGGTAGACGACATGGGCCCACGCCTATGGCGGCATTTTTCCTGGACAATTTTTATGTATAAATAAAAATATTTGATAAAATATTTACTCGTAAGGGGCAAAAACTAAATTTCGCCTATGTTTGTTTAAACATTTGAGCCGGGTCTGCTGTAGCTAGGTTTTTGAAGCTTATATCTTGTATAAGTAATTATTTATATATGTCATAATTAGAAAATCAATTATTTACATGTTTATTAAGTAAATATCATTTTTAAAAATAAACTTATATATTTTAAACAAAAAGTACTGAAATAGTGATGTAATTGTATTCTTCAAGTGGTCTAGTATTATATATCTCAATGCAGATTTAAATATTAGGTTTTTATACTTAACAAATTTATTTAAAAAAAAAAAAATAACTAATTACTTCAAATGTATTTCATTATAAGTATATTGTAAAACATATTTTGAAATATCTATTATTCATAATTTCATTATTGTGTTTAATATTTAATATTGAGATAAAATTAATATTCATTATGTTTATCAAATAATTCATTGGAATGATGAATAGATTTCAGGTCAAAGGTATGTGTACACAATGAATAAAATAATCTAGTACAAAACAAATTGTTAACCTATAATCACCTGAATTCATTTTTCATGTTAAGCATAAAAATGAAAAAAGTGGTATTTTTAGGAATATTTTGTATGTTAAACACTAATTGTTTATGTAATATAGGAAGATGTAAGTATTAATTATTTGTGTATTGAATAGTACTTCATAATATATTGTAAATTAATTTTAACAATTAGTTTACTGGATTGTTATTATATAAAATATACAGGACTGTTTAATTTTTAAGATTATGCATTTGATGATGAAGGGCCAACTTTATCTGAAGATAATGAACGTATTTTGAATTTAACTTTACTGACTAAAAATGTTCTTGAACATTATCAAAATCCTGATCCTGTTGGATTACCAGAAGCTATAACACCACCATATTCAGATCCTGAACCAATACCTGATACAGACAGTCCTCTGTGGAGTTTGAATAACTCAACAATGAAAGGTCATTCAAAGTTTAGACTAAAAAAATTATATGTCAATTTGGTTGATTTACAGGTATATAGAGTTAGAAAATACTTATCATCAATACATTAATTTAATTCGGTAAAATTTCTAATTCTGTTATTTATGTTTTTAGTTAGAATTTGGACTATCAATAGATACATTAGTGGTAGTAGGAAACTATTCTTATTGGAAAATGTATGAAGGATATTATAACATTACACTAAAAGAACTGCACATAGATGGCCAACTAACATTACAAGTTAGTAAATCTGGACACTTGGAGACTAATGATTTAAATATGAATATGAACTATGAAAGTTTACACATGGACACAGATAAATCAAGTGTACCATTTTATGAAACATTTGTTAATGGTTTCACAAATTTTGTTGTTCAAACTATTAAGCCAATAATTATGAAATTAGTAAATATAATGATTAAAGATGAACTTGATGAAAAAATGAAACACTTTAAGCGTTTTCCTAATACAATACCACCTGTGGACTTGCTAATAGCCGAAAGTCGTCAACAAATAAAATCCATGGGATATGATCCATGGCGTGTAGAAGATTTAATAAATGCAGTACATTTTAACATATTTAGTTTGGATATCAATGAAATATGGATTTCAGGATTATCCAGCATATACAGATTGGGAGATATCCATTTGAGTATTCAAAATCAAACAATTATATCTGTTATACATATAGGAACACAAGAACTAAACGGTCATTGTCAATGGAAAATTGGTGCTGCTGGTATACTTAAAACAACAGGTGTCTTAAGTTTTTCAATTGATTATATACACCTAGAGGCAAATGTAACTCAACCAATGGATACACGATTAGCACCATATTTAAATGAGTTTGGATTATCAGTAGGAAATATTCAGTTACGAATGGATGGAGCAGGTACAATTGATTATTTAGCTGAAGCACTCGTCAATATTGTTCCAAATATTTTAAGAAACAAAATTGTAGATGCAATGGAACTTCCTATTAAAAAAAGAATACAGGATGTTTTAGACAAAGTTGACGTTCAAGAAAAAGTTGAACAACGAATTCCGCCAATTATTGACAAAATGATGGAACATAATATTACAGATATATTTAAGGAAAATGAAATACTCCATGAAGATATAAATATTGTTAGTAAAGAAGATTTCTAGGAATTCAAATTTGTAAACACTATTCAAAAATGTATGAAATATTTTTACCTTGATATATTATTTCATTATAAATTAAATTATATATTTATTATATATAAAACATTTTTATAACTATTGTAAAATAAAATATATAGAAAACAATTCTCAATCGATTTTATTTTAGTTATAAAACTTTTGAAATATATTTAAAAATGTATATAGTTTATATACATTAATCAGACTTACTCATATTTTGTAACATTTCAAGAACATGATTTCCCAATGGCTCATCTTCATTAGCCCATGAAATTACAATTTTTTTATTATTACAGTCCACACCATCTTCAACAGTTATTAAAATTGATGTCAATGATATTGATCCATCAGACATAGTGAGTTTGCTTTTAAAAATTGGCAAATTATTTTCTAGCATACTATAAAGTTTTGCTTTAGTTTTTTGAAGTGTTGATGATTCTTTAATTTCCACTGTACATGTAAATCTGAAAATAAAATAAATTTTACTGAGTTAACATTGTCTGCTAAATACAAATTTTTCCAAATATAAAATTTAAAATGTAATATTGAAAATAATAGTGACAAGTGGTTTCATTTTTTATAGATTATTTGATAAGATTACAATGTTTTTAGTAAATGGGCATTTAAATTCACTATCTGAATCGTTTAATTTGAACATTAATAAAGATTGCATTGTAAAAATTAATAGATTTAAAATCTATTCAGCAGGACTTATATAATTTAAATTTATAAATTAAGTTGTGTTTAAAATGTACTAATTAGATTATTATCATTATATAGAATCAGATTGTTAAAATAAAGTATAAAAATAATTGGTTTTTATTTTCTTTCGTTCTAAAGAAGTTAGATCATAAAAATTCAGCACTGCCAAATTAAAAAAAAAACATATTCAGTTATTTTATATCTATCTTATCAAATATAAAATGTTCTTTGAATAAATAAAAAAACACATTGATGAGTTAATTTTATAGCTATATGTTTTATTCAATAATGTATTTAAATGTGCAATAATTGAAGTATAAATTTGTTCAATAAAAAATATTATTAACAAACCTTAAAGTATGACGTTGAATATCTAATTCTTTAAAAGTATCTTTAACACTCATAGCATTTAAATTAGAGGATCCATTTTTTAAAAGGAATGCTCCATGTACTAAACGTTTTCCATTCCCCAAATTATTTGATTGGTCATCTAATATTTCTTTAACCAGTTTAGTACTCATATTGAAAGTATGTATATTTGCTGTTTCAATTTCTACAGTTTCTCCATTAGCAGGCATGAAACAATTTATGTTAAACTCTTGCATAATTTTAGCTCGAAGGAATTTCATTTTTTCTTCCTCACCATGCACTAATAACACATTTTGTGGTTCACAATTCTTTATTAGTTGTATGATACCTTTACCATCCGCATGAGCAGAAAATGATAAGTATTCAACAGACATTTTAACATCAATGAATTTGTTTGGTTCAGCTTCAATTTTTTTGGCACCACTTAAGACTTTATTACCAACAGTCCCAGACACACAGTAACCAGGTACAATCAACATATTTTTTTCATCTGGAGCCCATTTTTTAAAAATATTTAATGATAAGCCGGCATGTAGCATACCTGGAGTTGCAAATACAACCATAGGGCCAGGATTGTGCATGTATGATTTATCAAATGGCTTAATGTGTTTGAAATCAAACATGTTTCGTTGTACAAAGGTTTGTCTAACTTTTTGATTCGTCCAAGTTATAAACATTTTGTAGTAACTATTAGCTTTTTCAGTTAATCCTGCAGCAAAATAAACAGGGACTTTCAAACCCATCCGATCCCAATAAGTATCAATAAGAATACACAATTCTTGAGCTCTTCCCAATGCAAAAATTGGTATTAATACTTTACCACCACGATCTATACATTCGTGTACATTTTTCAAGAAATCTCTTTCTCTACATCTTTTTGAATCTCTTATCGTTGTAGCATATGTTGATTCAGTTATAAGTAATGTTGGTCGACATTTATCAATCCAAGCAGCTCCTAAATGACGATCAGGAGTCATTGAAAAATCTCCAGTATAAACCACAGAATCATTTCCAACTTTAATATAAAACATGGCAGCTCCTAACACATGTCCAGCATAGTATGCTTTTAATTCTATATCGTCTTTAACAGTAACCACTTCATGTAAATTCACTGCAGTGACTTTTTTCATACAATCTCGAATTGCACTAGATGTAAAATATTTTGCTTCTTCTTCATATTCAACTAAATGTTTACGCATATCTTCTAATAAAATTGGAGCAATTGCTTTAGTAGGATGTGTCATGTAGATAGGACCATGATAACCAAGATGTTCAGTCAGATAGGACAGTGCACCACAATGATCCAAATGAAAATGTGAAATAATTACACAGTCTATAATGTCTGTAATATTACCATCAGAGGTAATATATGAGAAATCGGGAAATTTACGTTCATCTTGGTAGCCCATATGCATTCCACAATCAAGCATAATATTACGATTACCAATTGTTATTAAGATACAGCTACGGCCAACATCCTGACCAGCTCCCAGTGGAGTAACAATGATGCGATTACTTATATTCATGATAAGTGTTCATATAATAAAGACTAAAAACAAAACAAAATTAAATATAATTATGTACGTTAATAATTTCAACAGAAACAATATATTGACTGTAATAATTAGAAATCGAATCTTTAGGTTTTTACATATTTTTATTGGTTTTATGCAGATTTATGAGGATGAAAAATGTGGACGATTTATCCATCATAGAGTTCCGAAAAAAACATTTATTTTTTATATTTTAGCATATTTTGGACATTAGAGAATATTTAGCCTATTTTTCATATTTTTGAATATATTCAATTATTGTTCATAAAAAAGCATATTTTATTAATTTCTCGAGTTGTGATTTTTCTAGGAAAAAAAAATGTGATTGTTATATTTATACTCCTATGTATGGAATTGTTATCCATTTTTTCCTTTAAATAATTTATCTTTTACTAAGGAATTGTGCATACAAGTTGTTCATTGTTTTTATTTAACTATTTTGTTTTTTATACATAAATTTATTATATTTATACTCCTATGTATGAACCGTTTTAAATTTTTATATTTAAATAATTTACCTGTTACCAAAAGAATGGCCCATAACAATAATTTAATGTTTTTATTAAATTATTTAAGAAAAAAAAAATCATATCATTGCATATTTACAAATTTAAGGAATATTTAGAAATTATTTTAGGGTTTTTTTAGAGCATATTAGCATCATATTTTAAGCTTTTAAGAACCTAAAATTCCGCTCTTTAGTAAAAATGTAACAAATAATATTTATATAAAAAAAAATTAATGCAATAGAAATTTAGTAAATAAGATAATTTTATTAAAATATACTTTAGAACAATTATTATAAATATATAAATTAGTAGTTAATACATAGAAAGTAATAAATAAGTAGTGGAATATTATATTTATAATCAGAGAATATTTCAGTGCCTCGTGCAAATTTTTTTCTTCAGGGTCACTAGGCACAGGTTGTATATTAAGTACAGATAACAGTGCCCCCTTACTTTCACAAAACTACGGCACCTGGGGCAATTGCCCTCCCTTAAAACGGCTCTTTTTGTAATGTATGATTGGATTCAAATTAAAAAGTCAATAAAATCTTAACTAAATATTAAAAAATAAATAATAAATACATTGGTCGTTTTACACAGAGCTACTTTATTTTAATAAGAGATATTATTTTAAATGTGTACTTATAAGACATACGTTATGAAATTAAAATACGTACTTTGATATTATTATTTATCATTGTCTAAAATGTATTGATAAAAGATATTAATTTTTAAAATCGTTGGTACAATTATTTTTCTTTATTTCATAGTGTCAATGTAACCCTTTAAAAACTGAAATTATGTAAATGTTACTTGGGGTATTTAATATTTACAATTATTATCTTGGACATCTGCTAATGTTAAATGTTTTCAAATAATACCTAGTTAAAAAACATTTAATAGATATCTGTCAGATTCTGGTTTCTCCGTATATTAAAAATCACTATCATAAAAAAAATAATTTAAGTTAATAGTAACTTAGACCTTTTATAATACTAATAATAACCCATTTGGTAATAATATAAAAAATAAAAATATATATTATCAATATCTATAAGACTATTTAAATAGTTAAGTAATAAATTACTTACATTAAATTTAAATTATTAGGTGAGTAATATCATAATATAAATGAATATTTAAAAATCAATAATTTAATCAAAAACATTGTTATAGTTAAGTTATATAATAAAAAAAATTAAAAAGCAAACAGAAAAAAATTGTTTTTTTTTATTATTAATAAAAATTAAGATAACACATTTGATATTTTGATTTAATCTTTACACAGTTATTGACTTAGATCATATACATGTAAATCATCTAAGATTTATATATTAAAGACATAGTTATAATCAGGCTTATGTCCGAGCATGTTATGATAATAGAACATACAAAGATAATCATTATCACAGACGTTTAAATTACTATCACAGATTATTATTTTCATTTATTTTTTAATATAATCTGTGATCGTTGTTTAAATATTTGTCTCTGATAATATATTTAACTAATTATTTTTATTTAAATAATTTAAATCTAGGAATATGGAAAATTATTTTTTTAAATTTTTAAAAATCGTGTGCAAGATCAAACGTTTTTATTACCAAATGAAGTCTAAAATTATGAGAAATAAGCTTTACACTATTATTTATTTTTAGTAAATTGCAGAAACAGCGAGTACATTGTTTAAATTTGTTAACAATATCTACATACTACCATTGATTTTTAGTTATCAATCTGTCCTCATTTTCAATTGATCACATCATGACACATTTGAATGAATGAGTTCACTTTAATCTTTTTTCCAGTAAATCATCATATTTAAATAATTTAACTTTTCTGAATATCCAACAATAATAATAGCATAGTTTTTACTGATAAAATAAAATTAGTATAAGTTAAAACTTATTGCTTGTTATTTAGGACGATATTAGAATACGGTGTCGTTGTTTGGTCCCCTTATACCTTATGTGACATGCGACGTTTAGACAAAGTTTAAAACTAGTGATGGGCATTATTGAATAATAACTATCGAATTATTCGATAGTCTTGGAAAGTTATTTATTCGAATAATCTATAACGGTTATTTGAATAATTATTTAATTTTTAATTGAGTATAATTTTATTATTTAATATTATTATTAAATGTTTAGAAATGTATAGTAATTTTATCAGTATTTTATTCTTCTTCTTTGGCTTTTTACAGGCCTTTAAGGCCCATTGCCGCAACAACATAATGTCTCCAATCTTCTCTATCTTGTGCCGTTTCTTCAGCATTCCTTATTCCGAACATCTTTAGGTCTTCTTTTATTATATCCGTCCATCTCTGTCTGGGTCTCTTTGCGTTTGGTTTCCATACAGTTATTTGTCCGATTAGTCCACTTGATCTCCATACATGTCCTGCCCAGCCTATTCGTGCGCTTTTCAAGATCCCAACATATTGGTTACGTTATATAGTTGTTCTAAGTTTTTATTGTTTTATATTTCATATTCTCCTTCACTGTTCTTCCTCAATATCTTTCTCTCGAACACTTCTAAGTTTTTTTCATCTGACTTTGTCGCGTCGCCCAAGTACTGCTTGTATACAGAGCTACTGATTTGACTAGAACTTTATATAATGTTACTTTGGATTTTTTTGATAATAGTTTAGACTTTAAAAATTGTAATAGTTCATAGTAACATCTGTTTGCTGCGATGAGTTGTCTTTTCATTTCTTCGTGGCATCTCATAACGTGGCATCCTCATTAATATCTGCACCTAAGTATTTAAAATTTCCTACCTTTTCAAATATGTACTCATTTACTTTCAAGAAATTTGATCTGTGATTTTGTCTTGATACTTTCATGAATTTTTTTTTTGTTTCATTAACCTTTAAGCCAATTTTTTTCCCCTCCTTCAGCAATATATCTGTTGTGTTTTTTAGGTCGTTATTTGTTTCGGCTAATAAAACTAAACCATCAGCGTAAGTAACTGCTGTTAGATTTTTTTTTTTTAACAAATTTTTATATTACGCTATCTGTTACAATTAATGAACAATAAGCTTAAGTGATAAATAAATAATAGAACAAAACAGACAGAGAAAGACAGAGGGAAGAGACCACCCATCGGAGGTACTTCAGCATGATATAAATTTAAAGTTTTAATCCTAAAATAATAATAATAATAATAATAATGATACTACAATGAGTACATAGTAGTTATAACTTATAAGTAACAAAGATCATACATATATATATAAATATACATTTTTTTTTTTTAAATATTATATAAGCCGGTCACGACACCATTGCCTTTTTAGTCTTTTGTGTGGATTTCCTGGAATAGTTGCAGATGAAAGTTGGATGATATGGGGATTAGAATGATGTGTTAAATTTTTATTGAATCGTTTTTAGTGGAGCTTGGCTAGTTCAGTGACGGTGAGTAAATTGAAGTCAGAATGAAGGGTATTATTTGAAACATAGAAGGAAGCTTTAGAGATGACGCGAAGGACTTTGGATTGAAACCTTTGTAGGTATACGATTTGTATTTGATACTTTGGCTGAGCCCCATAACTGCAAACCGTAGGACCAGATGGGTCTGAGTAGTAGTTTATACAGCAGTATTTTAGTAGGTAATTTAATATTTTTGGAAGTTAGGAACGGCCGAAGAAGGCGAAAACGATCGTTAAGTGCTCGAGTTTTATTTTTAATGTGTGCTGACCAAGTAAGTAGACGGTCAATGTTGACTCCAAGGTAGCGTACACATTGAGCAGTAGGAAAGGGTTGGTTGTTAAGGAGGAGGGTTCGGCATACTCCTTGTCGAAGCGTAAAAGTACAGTGAATCAATTTAGACTCGTTCATTTTAACTCCCCATTCCTTGTACCAGGCTTGGAGAAGGTGTAAGTGGTCTTGAACATAACTGGAGGCTAGATGAGGATCAGGACTAGAGGCTAAGATAGCTTTATCGTCGGCAAAGTCACCAACAAGAGTATGGAGGGAAGAAGGTTGATCAGATATATATATATGTTAAATAGGAGGGAAGCTGTGACTGCACCTTGTGATACGCCTGCATTAATTAAAATGGGAGCAGAAAAGGTGGAGCCTACTTGCACTGTGAAGTGCCGGTCTTCTAAATAGGATTTAAGGATTAAATAATAGTGACAAGGGTGAAGAATCTTAAGTTTATATAAAAGACCAGCAGCTGTTAGATGTTGATTGTTTTTTATTTCTATGCTCTTTGCTTGGAACATTACTGCCCTCATACCTGATTCTAGGGCGATGTTAATTTCAGTGTTTAGTATTTTCGTAAATAAATACTTTGGCCAAATTTTGCATTATATATTTTACAATTTTCACAGTTATATTTATTTTAACGTTAATTTTATATGTAATTTAAATCACTTGTTACACTTCTCGTTTTTGTTATATAATTTATGTTAGATCTTAATTTATATGATTATACTATTTAAAAGCCGAATGGCATGTATTACAATAAAAAAAACAATTTGGTGTTATCAGGGACTAAACCTATACACTTTTAAGGGTTTATGTTCTTTTAATATATAAAATCTGTTCTGGTTTTAACTGGTTGCAAATTTTTTTTTGTTAACACGGAAAAAAGAAACATTCATTTTAATATTATTTTATATTAATTATTAAACTTTTCTTTTAAAAAATCTTAATTTTATCAAAATGTTACAAAATTATTATGAAATAAAATGTATGTAAAAATTAAATTTTATTGTTTTGTTTTTCAACGCACATCCTTAAAGTTATTCTAACATACTTCACATTACTCCAAAAATGTTTTCGTACCTAGTTAAAATATAAATAAAAAATTATGTAGGTAAATTTATAGATATGCATCACAAAACTAAAATTGTTCTAGTATATAGTATATTATAGTATTTAGATAGAAGTAAAAATTATTTTCTAGTTTTGGTGAGAAACGTTTTTGATATGATACTTTTTAATGTGAAACTGTGAACTGTGATATTTGTTCTTTGTTAACATCAAAAAAATACATAAATAGTTTTTATATATTTTAGTTGTAATTAGTACCTACAATCAAAATTATATTTTTATAGTCATTACTTTTTTGTGTTCTCTTTAGAATCAATTTTCTCGAATAATCAGTCAGTAGACACTAATAATTTATCTAGATTTTTTAAGCTTTTATATAGGTATACTACAATTTGCTTTCTAAATGTGCAATACACAATACATGAAATATTATAATAACCCAAAAAACCCTTTTAGAATATAGTCAAAAAACTTTTTTGATTAAGATTTTAGTTCTTTTGGGTTCTTTAAAGTTATGATTAAGTTTGTTAAAGGTTAAGGTTCCATAATTTGGCCAAGGTTCTGGTTCCTTTCCCCACAGGGACGTATTTAGACTTACTTCTAGGTAGAGGTGATTCAAATTTTTTTTTCAAATCAGACTCAAAATTTACAAGTTACATTTTTGGTAATATTTAAATCAGGTGAATCCTTAATATGTGGTTTTTCATTTATTTAATCTAATACCGCATCCACTTAGAATCAACTTTTATGTAATTCTTTTTTAACATTTGCCTGTGTTTTGAAAGTTACGCTTGTGTTTTATTTGATTTTTCACCAAGTATGGACACAACAAAAAGCTCAATTAAGTATTCACAGCAATAGGCAATTTGATTTTGTTATAAAATCATCCACTTTAAAAAAAATTTGAAATATGTATCTCACATATAATCAATTCCTTTAATACAAGTTCAAGGGAGAGGCGATCGCTCTATTGCCCCCCAAAAATACGCTTAAGACTCCCCGATTATAAATATTATAAATAATAATATCATAGTTGTAATAATTAAAGTATTTGTAAATACTATGATTCTTAAATTCTTTCAGAATTCAAGATTAAATTTGAATAAGTATAATTAATAATATTTTATGGCATCATTTAATTAAAATTAGCAGTTAAAAATAAAACATAATGGTTAACTGTTTTAAATTCATACTAAGTATGTATTATTAAGGCATACACTTAATTATAAAAAAAGAATAATCAAAATCAATATCTATTTAAGATTAAAGTATATTTTCATCATTGGCAATTACAAAACAGTCATACAAAATTATAGGATGATGTAGAGACTGACCCAAAACCCAAGGTTATAGGTGGGTGCAGCAAGTAACTTAATTATTTATAAAATAAGTAATGTATTACTTAAATGACAAAAAATAAACTGTACAGTACTGAATACTTACAAAGTCACACATAGTAAAAATGAATAATCTAATATGAAATTTCAATTTTATATAGATATTGTACTAATGGAGACATAAAAAATTAAAACAGGTATTACAAAACAAAATTAAATAGTTGATTTAAAAAAAAAATACCAACATGGTAATGGTTATAAAAAACCTATATAAGTCTCATTTATCACTTAAATTTATATTCAAATAATATATAAGATAAGAACTTAAAACCAGTTATCCATATTCATAATAATTAATAAATAATAACATATATCAAGGTAAAATTATATTTATAAAAAAATAATAACATAACCAATTTCTTTATATTTAAGACTAGTAAATTGTATACTAATATTTTAAAATTAGTAATCTAAGGAGGATCTTTTGTGTAATTCATTTTTAATGATAACGATGTCTATAAGCATGGCGCTCTTTTTCACGCCTATGATTTGAATGATGTTCTCTGATATTAACTAATCTATTTCTTTTATAGTATTCTTCTATTGGTCTGGCATACGTTTCTGGTAATTGTACTGGAACTCGAAAAGATGGCAGTTGCATATCATAATGTTGTACCATCTGTGATCCATTCAAATTATATTGGTATGATGGATATAAGGGTGGGCGTACATAATATGGGTGGGATAACATCCTTGATTGTTTATGTGGTATACCAAGACGATATGATTGTATATATTCTTTACTTGTTGGACCTTCATCTGGTAAGCCAAGCACTCGACGTCGCTGTCGTAATTCAGCAGTACTAATTGATGGCTGATGGTTTTTAGATTTTTTTAAAATGTACTGAAAATTAATTGATTCATCTTCTTGAAACATAGAACACAGTAGTAAACCAGTTCTTGGGTCAACTTCTTGACCATCACGAGCAATTTTTACAGTTTTTCCTTCATTGTATGTATTATATAAATGGGACGTGTCACTAAATTCTAACTCTTTAGTTGAAATCCAGTCGACTTTGAATACACCGGACAAATTGCGACCTCCAAGAAGTACCCAACCAACCGGAGACAAATCATATCTAGCTGCTTCAGAAATTCTAGCAAACCCTGAAGTGTCAGCAAAAAATTTTGGAATAAGTAAATAACAATTGATTATCTAACATTTAATTAAATATAAATATTTACCTGCAAATTTTCCACTTTCCTTGACTGAAAATATTAAAATGACATTCTTACAAGTTCTAAAAGCTTGATTCAACTTGGTCTCATTCCAAGGTCGAGTAGACCAGCAGTTTTTAATTTTAGCTAATTCAATATTTTCATGATTATTACTTTTAATGATAAAAAATCGAGCTTCTTTAAATAAGAATTTCAGTTGAGATAAATATTTTTCAGATGGTTTTTTTTTCGGTGTTGAATCTTCATCAATTCTTATGTATCTTTCTGTGTTCACCTTATTTCTTGTTGATGTGGCATCTATAGAACTAGAACTGGCTTCGCTTCTTGTATCAAATTCTTCATCCAACGGTTCGTCTCCTTCAATAATATTATCAGTTTCTTCAGTAATTTCATCAAGCACTTGTAGATCATCAAATGCTTCAATGGAATCAGCTGTAGACCCATGGACACTAATTGAATCTTCATCCATTGATAGAACTATTTAAATAACAATTTATATAATTAATTATTAATATTTTTTTTTTTAATAAAATAATTTATAAACATGTTTGTGAAATTATTATGGAATGAATACACTCAAAAAAAAAAAAAAAATCATTAAGTCATAATAATGAACATATATGGGTTTTTGAATGACAAATTAAAAACTACTTTTCTTTAACTTTTAAAGATAAATAGGTTTTAACTATTATTTAAATGTCATTATTGATATTAAGAACTATCCACAAAATAATTATATCAAAATAGACACCAATAGAGAATAAATTTTTATATCAAATGTATAAGCTTATGAACAATTAAGAAAATATTTGAATAAATAAGTAATAGGTTATAATTAAAATTATAATGTATATTATCCATAGGTGGTACTTAAGAAATATTGAATTGTACTTTGTATGCATCCCAAGTAAATATCTTACAAACTCGGAAATTATTTAATTATAAATCAAGAAATACAACAAGTATGAAGTAGTATAATATCAAGTGACACCAGCAATGCATAGATTATGCAACAGACATCAGTAGGATTTAAGCAAGCAGTCCAAATGCATTTTTCAAAAACTGTTAATTTTTCTCTAAGAAATGGAATAATTCTTCAAGAAAATAATAGTATACTGTCAGTACAACACCAACAATTTTTATTTTTTAGTATGTTAATGTACTAATACAATGCGTTTGAATACATTTTTAACCAATTTCAATTCCGCATTCCGGGAACCGCGGCCCAGGAGGAATGTATCGCGAGAGAAAAATACAATTAAATTTCGATCGGTCTTTCCAAATATTTCTTATGTTGAATATTTCGGTCTATCGATTATTACAATAACTGACTACGACAATAGGGTGTACTACGAAATCGTTCATTTCGTTGTGGACTTACCACGGATTTAAATCGAACGATTTAATTTGAGGGGAAAAAGCACAAACACACAACGCGAACACGAGCGGAACACAGTTGTCGGAATGTTTTTACCTTCGGTTTCGTATTCAAACTTAATATAAGCAGAACGTCGACGACAGACGCCACAAAAATAATTACAAAAATAATAATAATATAAGCAAATTGTACTTGTGCGGAACAGTTTACATTATCACGCACGCACAAAAATCGACAGGTCCGCGCGTGCGCAAAACGCGATATGATCCATACGCGCCGCCGACGCGGACACCGATAATGAACCGACGGCTTACGAACGGCGGAGCAGGGGAAGAACAAACGTCGATGCAGCACCGGACGCGATGGTAGATAATTTGATACGCACGAGACAAGTGCTGTTATATGCGTATGAATTATATTATCGTAATACGTACACAGTGGTTGTTGTCACCACGGATCCGGGGGCTCGGATGCTGCAGAAGCAGCAGGCTGTGCACCCCCGTCCACGGTGATTGGTAAATAAAACGGACCGAGCTCACGGTTACCGGGCGACGGTGTGACCAACGTACCTGCGCCGGTCGGCCCCACGCACTGCGCACGGTTTGTTTGTGTTTTCGACGTCTGGGTGGCGGCGGTTCCTTGTGCGGTTGTTGTGTTTGTGACGTTTGTGTGTGCCCGCAAATCTGCTCCCTGTCTACTCCGTTCTACGTTTTGTGGTAAAAACCCGAATTTGTCAATCGGTCGTGGTGAACATCAAATATCGGCTGTAGACTGGTTTGCATCCAACTATCGATTCCTTCTTCCCATTTGGTTGGTGCTGCGTAATCGTTGTTTTGCGACGTTACACACAGGCCTGAGGAACGCGTCAAACGCGTAAGTATGTTCTGATATCGTGAGACTTTCCTTCACTTCTCATCTGTTTTTCTCCTCGTGACTTTTGTATTGACTCGTCTCGCACGGGTATCCTCGACCCGACGAATCGCAAACAAATACACATTGATCCACCACCCTTGGCACGGGCGCTCTTGGTGAATATTTTTTTTCAACGTTCCGTCCGACCAACAGGGGTAAGTCCATAGAGTAGTAAGTCGTAATTTTTGGCGAAATTGCGTTGTGGCCACGTGCATTCCAAAGAGGTCAAAATCTGGGTGGCATCGGGTTTGCTATGTTTTTCCGACATGCATGTTTTTTCTCCATAATTTACGTCTCCCCTCCATTGTACATATCACTGGTGGTCCTACATGACAGCGCATTACGAACCGAGTTTCTTATCACCGAATTCAAGTTCGTGTAAACTTATTCGTTAAATAAATCGTGTTCGCAGTGCACGTGAGATTCGTGCGGTTAATTGCAATTTTTCACGACATTCTGATTTTTATAGTGTGATCCATACAAGCTTTATTCCAACTTTTTTTGGTTTTAGCAGTGCGATAGTCTAAACTATTGTTTTTCCTTCTATATCTTTATTATTTTTAAGATTTTTAGAAGTGTAGGTACTTAAGTAATTGTTAAAATATTTACTTTAATAAAGGTTGAAGCAAGGTTAATTGCTACTGATTTTTCTATTTCTATTATTCCTTAATAATATTTTTATTTTTATCATATAAATAACATTTTTGGGAGATTTTGAACTGTCATACTTTACTATTTACTATTATTGAGCAATTTACTTTATGTAAATAAATAATCTTGGATAAAAAGTTGTTTTTATCTAATATTTTGTCTTGGAAATCTAAATAGCTTGAGCATTTTACCTATGCTTTTCTTATTTTTTTAATTAAATGTTCATCTTGTTTTTTAGTCATGATGAAAAGTAAAGAAGTAGTAGCTGATGATTCTGAAAATGAGTTTGAAGTGGATGAACCTGAAGAGGTAGATGATCATTCAGATGACGAATGGGCTCCTAGTGCTGCTGTATGTTAACTATTGTATTTCTAGTATTTTATATTATTGTCAAATAATATATTTATTTATCTTTTTAGACCAAAACTCCCGGTAAAAGAGGACGACCTGCTAGAAATACTCCTGGTAAAAAGAAGAAGCAAAAGACTACAGATGAAGACGATGATGACGAGGAAGAAAAAGAACGAGGATCAAAACCTAGAACACCTACCCCAGCAAAACCACGTGGAAGAGTAGCAAAAGGCAAAGCTAAGAAAGAAGAACCTGAAGTAGAACCAGAAGAGGAAGAAGAATTTGATGAAGAAGATGAAATTGAGGATGAAGAAGAAGATGAAGAAGATGATGAAGATGTCGAAGAAGAAGAAGAAGAGCTTAATCAGGGACCAAATGCAAAACCTGCAAAAAAATTTACGGTATATTTTTTCTAGTTAATGTATACTATTTAATATTTTACTAAATATTGGATTGTTAATTTACGTCTGGTGCCTTTGTTGTCCTTAAAACTGATATGCTTGGTAAAGGCAATCCTCCTGTATGGAAAATTGATGGAAAGGCATTACTGCAAAAATATGTTCCATTCAAACAGGATGGTAAAGTATTATACAAAAATACTTCAGTTGTAAGTATACCATTGTTGAATAAGTATAAAATCAAATATTGTTTCAACAAATGCAATAGCAATATTTTACCTAAGTTGAGAACAAAATATTTATTTTACTTTCTAGTATTCTGGTTGGGGTTCTAATGTCAAAGAGCAATATTACTCTGCACCAGTATCATTTATACAGCAGACACGTAAAGAACACATAATCGAGTTTTACAAAGATAAAATCAAGAAGTAAGTTATGAAACCTGTTTTTTTTTTTTTATATAATATTAATCCCTTCAATGGTTTAAGGGATCCTAAAATTGAAGAAGCTGCAAAGAAAGAATTGGAAGAAGATGAAGAAGCTGATTTAGAAGGTGGAGGTGATGATGAAAAAGTCGATCAAGATGAAGCATAATTGTTACATGTAACTGAATGAGTAATTCACTCCTCAAATATTTTGTGTTCTAATATTTTCAGTACCATTAGTAACAGCTTTTTTCATTTTATATTGACAGTGACAATTTGTATTATATTGTTTGTTTTTCACATAATTAGCACAATAAATATTTGTGAACTTTTATAAAATCATTATTTTGATGCTAAATTTGAATTGATATTTACTGTATAACCTTTTTTATTCCTTTATATTTAGATAAGTGATGATTATTGATGTTTCCATAAATGTATCAATAAGATTATATATTGCATTATTAATAGTTTTGGAGTTATAAAAAAAATAGTAGAAATGTATTATGCAGATAATATTAGTATTTTGTTTCAATAAAATTGAATACTGTAAATATTAGATATTTATGTGTAAGCCAAATTTATTATTAATTGCTTACAAATGAGTGGAAATTATTATTAGTACTACAACAATCCATTACTTAATATGTAAATGTTTAAGTTAATTGTTAATTTTTTGATTTATGTTCATTTTTACTTTGGTATTTATTATTTATTCTACTCTATGTATTATTTATTGGAGGTCAGCTATTGAATTTAAAATGCATACATTTAATTTAATCTAATATGTAATTAATAAAATTATATATATCGACGAAAAGTTTTTCAACTAAAACAATGATGACAATTGTTAATGTCATTAAAATAAAATCATGCATATCCATTGCCACTGAAGTATATATATCTTTATAATTTCATGAAAACAACTATCGAATAAAATCTAGAATTGTAAGGTGGATTGTAATCACAACTTCATGAACATTAAAACTATTTTTATTGTAAAAAAAGAAAATCTGTTATCTTTTTTTATCTGAACAAGATAGGAATTTAATTTTCTTTAATTTTAGAGAAAGTTTAAGTAGTACAAAAATGTAAACTTTTTTTTTTTTTTTGAAAAGCTTGCTAGTGTAATATATAAACTACAATTTTACTTTCATTTAATTCTAAAATCCTAAAATTAAATTACTAGATATGTTTCATTAAATGTTTTATACTAATGATATATTTAGTAGTTTTTTTTATGTAGTTTTTTTCCTTAATTTAAACTGGTTTAATACCAATAAATACAACTGTATACGGTTATGCAAATATTGACTAAAAAAATATTTTGAGCAACAAATAGTAAGTTATTTATGAATTAATTACAATTTAATTTTTTGTATTTTCTGTATTTTGAAAGTAGTATAAATGTTTTAAATGCAATATTTTTACTATAAACTATAACTATATATATATATTAATTAATATGTGAAGACAAATGAAAAATATAATTTAGTTAAGAGGATTATTATTTATCTATGATAAATAATGCTAACACAAGCATTTGTTGAAACAGTAAATCAAATTACTGTATTGAACATTTAATTGCCTATTAAGTAATACAATAGTACTTTAATTTTAGTATTGCAACATTAAAAGATAGAAGCAGTAATAGAAAAATAAAAATAAACATTTAAAACTAGAGAATTAATCATTACTAAACAATAATTTATAATTGTATAGGGTATTTTAAGTGTAAAGATTGATGTATTAAAAGCTGAAATGTTGGTTGTTAATAATTACCCATCACCAAAACTTTACACTAGAAAATATGAAAGATAAAATGAAAAATATTCTTTCCCAAATTTAAACTAATTTTTGCTAATTGTAATCACAATTCCGGTAAGCTCTGCAACTTGCCAGCAAAAGTTTACCAATTTATCTTTGTTGAATATTGAAAAAGATTTATTTAATCAGCTAAACACCAAAACTTTTTTGAATAAATATTGCATGAAACCTAGAAAAATTATGCTGATTTAAAATGTACCAATAATATATTATTTATTTACCAACAAGATTAAGAAATAAAATGTACCAAGATGTTACTGATATTGTAATAAAAAAATGTATTATAAATTTGTTTTTTTTTTTTTATTTATGTGAAGACGTGAAGTGTGTTAATGTGTTATAAAAATTTGAAATATATATGTTACGCCGAATTTATGAAATAGTCGATTTCATGAAGTCAGCAACGTTGTCGCCAAATACATATAATAGGCAATTTGGCTACCAAATTTTGATTACTGATTTCGTAAATTAGGCAGCCTTTTTTTGCCGATTGCACGAATTCGGTAAACACATTATTATAATATAATTACAAATAGTGGCTTATGGCAGTAATTTAAAATGTCCTTCCTCTTTTAAAAGTTGGTGTCAATCTTGTCTGTGGACGAAGGCGAGGTGATGCAGCCTAACTTTTTACAGTTATCACAGAAGAAAAAGATGGCAAATTTCGTATAGGAATTAAAGAAGGGATTTTAAGCACATGGTTGGAGCAGAACAGTTTGGCAGCTACAAAGTATTGTTCCCTGACGACTGCAGACGTTCAACAAAATGAATATTCATAACGGGAACTTGTTAAATTGGGGTCAGTTGGGACCGGACATGGCTATTGATTCGCTATAAACTGATGTACTTGTCGTACGAGTTGCACATCTAAAAAGTGCATATGTAAAAAAATAATATGATGTGTACCTAACCCAGGCCATACTTTCCAAAACATTTAAATATAATCCAAATTTATTTTACACATTAAAATGTATTTATTATTTTATAACATTCCGGTGTTTTACACATTTATTTAAATTAAATTATGCTTTATAATTTTTTAAAAAGGTCTTGCCGATTTCACGCAATCGGCAGTATTATGTACTTTGAGTTGTCGATTTCACGTATTCGGCAACAACATTGCTGATTTCATGAAATCGGCAATTTCATAAATTCGGCGTAACATATATATTATTGTGGGTTTAATTGTGGAAGGGGCGAAGCCCCCACTGCTCTGTGATGCATTGACAGATTTAACATCCCATGTTTTAGATGTCTAGTTGCGCCTATACGCTTTTGTCATTCGATTATCGCTACATACTTTGAATCTATCGATTATATTGCCGCACTAATTATGTCGTCTTTGAGCGACGATTTACGAACAGATAAATCCCCTGCTCCTTCCAAAATTAAATCTCACTTAAACTCTTACCGTGGTTCAGATTCTAATTTTGAGATGATTACCAGTAAAAAAAATACATATAAGTTAAATTAGTCAAATAATAAGTACTACATCTACTACATCTTTCTTTCTTCTCTTCAACTTCTCCCAGTTTACAACAGATTATTGACAAAACCCCGTTTTTAAATATGTCTAATTCAACTTTCACTTATGATAAATCTCTACCAATAAAAATTACACCGCCAGATATGGCCATTGACGATTCTACGATCAACGACAACACTGGGTCGAACAATTCTAATCTCTCAACTTCCGCCGGTTCTAATATTATTAAAAACTGATTACCGCACAATTAACTATCTTTTCTGTCTGACTCTATTGGTCCTACTTTTATTCTCGTAGAGTATTGATACAGAAAAATGTTTGAGTAAATGTCACCCAGTTAAGGCGGCGAAATTTTTTTTCAACTAATTTTATGGGCATCACCAGCGTCGTATATAGGGAGGGGGGGCTAGTTGGCTACAGCTCCCCTCCCTGAAATGTTTTAAAAACTTAAAAATTATTTTAAACGTATGTTATATTTTAATGGTGTTTATGCTTATTAAGAATTTGCGTCCAACGTCAAATCATTTTAGGACATTCTGTAAATGAAATGTAGATAATTACCCAGTGCCGTAAACTGGGCGGTGCAAATGTGGCACTTGCAACACCATATTTAAATGTGGTGATGCAAATATATGTTTTTGCACCACTAGAAAATTATTGAAATTTGTATACCTATATTATTTTCAAGAGCCTTTCTTTATATTGGTTGTTTATATTTAAATAATTTTTAATTGTTTAGCTAAATTTATTAATAAAAGATAATAAAAAAATAATAATAATAATATTAATATTATATAGGTACAATATTAATAATGATAATATTGATTATTCATGATTCATATTGTTTCTATATTATTATTTGTATAATAACTATATTAAAAAAATAATAATGAAAAAAAAAACCTTAACATCTTGAGATTTTTGGAAAGAGGGTGTGTTTTATATCTTGCTATAACTAAAAAATACGCGTATTGTCCATACTTATGCTGATATTTTGCCCAGAAAAATATTTTAATGATATACCAATTTAAAGTTTTTTTTAGGATAATAAGTAGTAATTTTTAATTTATTTACAATTTTTTTATTTCATGTTTTTAAATAACCTTACTTTATAATACAACTGAATTGATCAAAATCCATTTCAATTACACTTTGAAAAGATTTAACCATTCAAAAAATAATTTGATAATTCAAACAGTAGGTAGTATATTATTTTTTAATAGTTGTTCACGTAATATGATTCATATCGTTTTTCATGGATTGAAAATGTAACTTAACTACTGATTTCTTACAGTTGTTTCTACATCGTCGTCACTGGACTCACTGCATGATTCAGTGCTGCTACTTTTATTATAATAACTATTATCTAAAATATGCATGTTAAAAATATATTATAGTATAATAAACTAAACATTTAATAATACATTTAAAACATACCCAACTGATCTAAGTAATGATTTTGAAAAGAAACTATTTCTTTTCCATCTTTACATTCTGCATATCCTTCTAATAATTCTTTATTAATTCGTATAAATGTAGGACCCCAGTTAAATTTGGACATATATAAATCTCCAATTTCCTTGAAACCAGCTATGTACATTGCAGCAGCTAAAGCTTCTACACAAGACAGTTTACTAGGATGACCATAGTTAATTGGATTTGCTGCAACTAGATATGGTAATAATCGTAGGTTTTTCTTGGTTTTTCTATGTTGTAACTTGTGAAATGGAGTGTCATGAAGTCGTGCCCATGAACAGTCCACCACTGCCATACCATATTTGGCTATAATTTGATTATCCTTAGCTGAAACACTCTATAAAATACATTTTGATATTAACAATATCAATAGAAATTATTGAATTATAACATCAATAGTAATAATTTGGTTGGTAATTAAAAATAATATTTTACTTCAGTAGCAACAGGTGTAAGAACTATGCCATTAAACATGGCAGACATTCCAAGCTTATCGATCATTTCTAGTCTCATTAATTTTCTTCCTGTGCATCGTTTAGGATCGCATTGTTTTAAATCCCACATACCAACTCTAAAGGGTACTTCAATTTCTACAGAATCCTCACTAGTTTCTATAACAAGGTTTAAAAAATATAAATATAGCTTTATATCTTTATTTCTTATTTTATTCTAACCACTGCTATGATCAGATAAAGTGTTTTCTGCTTCAGAATCTTCATCATCCTCAATTTTAACTTTTGACAAATTTTGACATGTTTCTTCGTCATCACAACTACAGCTCTCTTCATTCTTATTAGTAGTAGACTAAAAATATTTGATTTAAGGATTACAACATTGTTTGAAATAAAATTATTTATAATTCAAAAATTTTAAAACGCTAAGTCAATAGTATCGATAAAAATTTAGTTGAAAATATTTAACTCACCATGAGTGATTCAATAAAAAGAGTAAGTAACTTAGGTTGAAAATAATTTATTTTTGCTGTTATTAAAATTTATTAGCTTGAAACACGATCGGATTGGAGACCATGCTGTTTTTTATCATAGTATTAATTTATTCTGTGATAAACACTGTCCTATAATTATTCCTGATGATAAGGATTTTTATATTACGTTATCATGTTATCATTTTACAACACCGTTATCACGTATTAACGTAAGCTTCTAAATCATTGAGTACCTAAGTTATTTAACTAACTAAATAGAATTTGAAAAATGTTGTTCTTAAACTATTAATTAAAAATCAATTAGTCGTTAAATCAAAGTGCAGATTAAGCGTTGTGTTCCCCCATTCGCGATCTTTGTTTAGTTATTTTCGTTGCGCTCGAATATGCCAATTGGTTTAGTAGTATTCACTATTTATGCGTAACACGTCGCGTATACAACATTCTGTATTAAATAACCATCACGATGGTCGAGACTAAAAAGAAGAACATTTGTGTTGTGGTTTTGGGTGATATAGGCCGGAGTCCGCGAATGCAATACCACGCACAGTCGTTGATACGCGAAGGTTATAACGTGGACATAATTGGGTACACCGACAGCCCTATACTGGATGATTTAAAAGAAAATGCTACAATTATCGGCGTCAAGAGACCATTTCCGTTCGATGAATGTAAATATGATTACGCTGTATAATATATAAAGTTATAACTTTGAGATTTTCAATATAGTGGGGATTGTTGTTTATAACGACATCGTTTCACACCTGTTGATACGATATGCAGTCATTCGATCATTGTAGTCCCGTAGTAGATATAATATCGGTGACTGATACCGTTCGCCCTGCATATAGAATGTGAACATTACCACATTTACTAAAATCACTATTTTAATGTGCTTTATAGGCTGCTTTTGAATTGTATCTGCTACTAAGAGAATCTGTATTGTGTATTACATGCTACATCTGTTTTTTTCCAGCTTATATAGGTAATCAAAGTTTCGGGTATTGTAAATTTGTGCCAACATTTTCATGTAATCTATTGATGGGAAGTAGAGAATGGATACTTTAGTGTAATTTGGAAATGTAATTTCTTAGTTCTCCAGCAGTTTTCCTATACTTACTATAAAAAATTGCCGAAATAAAAATGTATTATGAATGCGTAATTCTTTTTTAATTTTGTGGCTTTTAAAGCATGATAATGATTTTTATTGAATTTAAAGTATTGGTATGTAATAAGATAATATTAATTTAAAGTACATTGTAAAATTTAACGAAAATAACTTATTTCAAAGTAATATTCTAATATGTATTATTGACGTATTGTATTTACTAAATAATGTTATGCTATAATTTCTGGTTTTTTAATTAGTTACATTTTTCTTAATGATAAATTTTCAATTAATTAATTTCTAGGTATCCAATAAAATATTTGATAATTTTTGTACTAAAATACCTTGTCAATTGATGTTATAATGCATTTATATTTTTAAACTTAGGATTTACTAATAAAAACTATTTTTTTTTTTATGGAAATGACCGAGACGACATGTGGTGCGTGACGGTCAACAATTCCCTGCAGTATCGAAGATAAAATTTCATTAATTTTTATTACAGTACACCATAAAATATTATTGATTGATACAAGATACAATACAAATACTGGCTTGTATATACAAGAAATTATAACTGATTCTGTACGATGTAAAATTATTCAAATTATTCCATTGGTAGACGAAAAGTATAGGATTCTTAACTGATCAATAAGAAATAATTGAATAGTTTTTGTTTTTGTCATGTATGAAAAAAAAGTTTTTGGTGGATTTGGGAGAGTACCCCCTTCCTTTCTTAGATCCGCGCTAATATGAAGGGTTCATTAATTATTATAGTTAACCGATAAAATGATTAGGTACTATCGTAGTTAAAAACTAATTTAATTTTATGGTTGTTTTTGTATTTGATAGATGTGCCACGAACAGTAGCATTTATCTTCAAAGTCGTATGGCAAACGTTGACATTATTTTGGGCGATATCTGTAAAACGAAAATCTAATATTGTTCTTGTTCAAAATCCACCGGCTATTCCTACTCTTGCTGTTTGCTGGTTTTACTGTTTACTTTTCAATGCAAAATTTATAATCGATTGGCACAATTATGCATATTCAATACTTGCTTTGTCTTTGGGCACTGACGCACCACTGGTAAAACTTTCTTTATTATATGAACAATTTTTTGGTAAATTAGCTGATACTAATTTATGTGTTACCAAAGCGATGAAAGAAGACTTAGATAAAAAATGGAATATTAAGTAATTTAATTTATTTATAATGATATTAACATTTTTTTCACAAAATTTAAGTTATGTCATATAACTATTTCAGAGCTACGACTTTGTATGACCGTCCAGGTCCACAGTTTAAAACAATTACATCGATCGAAAAACATTGTTTCCTAGAAAAAATGAATTTAAATGAATTCACTGAGATATCTGAATCTGGTAAAGTACAATTAAAGTCCAATCGACCAGGTCTACTTGTGTCTAGTACTAGCTGGACTCCAGACGAAGATTTTTCCATTTTATTTAAAGCATTACAAAGTACGTATCTACATAATTAAATATATATATTTTTAGCAGATTAAATTAAATGTTATTTTTAACTTACCTTTATTATAATTATTGTTATTATTATTTAGTGTTTTGTCAATATATTTGTCATTTCCCATAACAGTATTTTAAAATCATACAATTGTGATAACACTTATAACTTATAACTTATAATAAAGTCATCACAATTGTATATATATATATATATATATTATTACTTATATGTTAAGTAACGGATTATGATTGATAAATATTTTTTTACGTTAAAGAGTATGATGAAAGTGATGATATTTATCCAAATCTAATTTGCATTATCACGGGAAAGGGCCCTTTAAAATATTATTATCAACAAATGATTTCAAAGTTAAAATGGAAAAAGGTGTCAATTATTACACCTTGGCTCGAAAATAAAGATTATCCTATTCTCTTAGGTAAATTATAGAGATCATTTATTAAGTGCGTTATTATTAAATGATACACTAAATGTTTATCTTATTAATTAATTTCAGCGTGCGCTGATCTTGGCGTATGTTTACACGCCTCCTCAAGTGGTCTAGACTTGCCTATGAAAGTGATAGATATGTTTGGAGTCGGTTTACCCGTTTGCGCTTACGATTTCAAAAGGTAATAATTATTTGATTACGCTCTAGTTGGTTTTGTTATTGTATCTTAGATTATCAAAATGTTTATCAAAAAAACAAAAAAAGGTTCTTCATATTAAAACAGATATTAATTTGTTTCAGTTTGAATGAATTGGTTAAACACAATGAAAATGGTCTTGTTTTTTCTAATGACAAGCAGCTTACATTACACATCATGACATGGTTTAAAAACTATCCTTTGCAGGTTTGCGAAAAAAAACAGAATTTTTGCAAAAACATTGATAGTTTTCGAAAAGTTGATTGGCACAAAAACTGGATGATTAATGCTCATCCATTTTTCTATCCATGAAGAATGATATCCATCCTATTTAGAGTATTCATAATTAATCGTAAATTGTTTTTATTATTCTAAATATTTAATTTTTATAACGTAATATTGTAGTAATGGTATTTTTCAACGATATAATGAAATTATTTAAATTGTTAGTTAATAATAATTAAGAAATATTTAGGTAAGAAAAATTAATGTTACAATGCGATTAATAAATTAATATTTTTGTACAACAAATGTTTATGTATCTTTTAAATATTGCAATGATTAAAAATAATAATGATAATTTTATTTTAGGGAACAACAATTTTGGTCCTAATTTTGAACCAAAATGTCTTATTAAATACTCCAGATACTCCTCTAGTGTGAGACAGTGATGCACTGAGAAAGTAAGTAGCATTGTTTTAAATTTGGTCTTATGAATTATTGTTGAAAAAACCAATTCTGATATAACCTCTGTCAATCAAAAATAGTTAAAATGTTGTAGGAATTTGGTAGATACTCGTACATGATTTTTCATTGCTATTTTTCATCATCAAAAACTGCAATTCTAAAAAATTATATTTCAGCAGCCTATAATATCCATGTGAAATTTCCAATTTTTAAAGGTATTGCATTACATCTGTTGAACTTTATATCGACATTCATAAATCTTAGTATTTCCCAAAGATTGTGCCACGGCATATACGTGTGTGTAACTATGCCCAAAGTTTACCTTGAAAATTAATTTTTTCTGGTCCTAAAAAATATTTATATTTAAGTAATAGATGTATGACAAAATTGTGTCGCAATTTAAAATAATTATTTATTGAATAAACAAATGTGGCTACTGTAGTAGTATAGTCTATGTATGCAATTCAAGAGCTCAAGGCATTCTTATCCAATTTTGAAAATTTAAAAGTTTGGTTTGAATGGTACCGTAATTCTATGTACACACAATACCAGATTGCCGGCGCAAATTTTATCGACGTCCACTGCGGTTTATTTTTAAGTGCAGGACGCTTTTTATCAGGTATATGCCTATAAGCGGATTTATTAAATCCTATTTTCGTTTTCCATCTTTTTACCAATTTTTTTTATAATTATACATGTTGACCATAGCAATTAAAAACAATAGTTGAGCTTAACTCGATTAATATAAAATATATATCAGCACTCATAATTGATAACGTAATATTTTTTTAATTATGCTGGAATTAATAAATATTAAAAAAAAATTGAATAGTCTGCTTAGTTATGGGCGAATAAGTCTCATTAATTGTTATACTATCGTTGGTAGTACTTTTGTAGCTTCAAATTCAACAGATTATATAAGTTCTTCAATTTTCGATTCAACCTTTACTAGTGTTTGAATATTATTTATATTTGTATTAGTATATTTGTAATCACTGCAAGTAAATTATTTTTTATTCAGCTTCGACATTTTTTATATTTTTTTCTGAGATACCCGCTCAAAAAAATGTCTATTTTTTTTTTTTTTTGATATGTTACATTCTAGTGTATCTTCTTTGTGTATTAGTTTCTCAAGACATTTAACACATTCTGTATCCATACTAATAATTGTAAAAGCGATAATAATGATGACTTTAAAGAGAAAAATGATGAAGAAGTCGATGAATAATCGACTATACCGGACAGAGTCTGGATAATTACTGATATATGAATTTTGGTAGGAAAGGGTGTTGTCTAATAAAAATAAATTAATTTGAGGTTTGTGGATCAAAAAAAATTGCGCATCGCTATCTTTAACAACTGCACTAAACTAAACAACTGCAGACTCACGTGACATTCGCATGTGTCTTAAGATACATGACGAGTACCGCACAAGAGGCGGTCAAAATGCACGAGTTGCGAGGTTGATCGACATCGATTGACATTATTTTTTCACATACGTGAATTGGTCATATAGCTAAAAATTCAAATTGGACGTCCGGGTAAAGGCAAAGAATTTGGTTAATTCGCTGTTAAAGTCTGATACCATCTTGACAATATATATTATTTCTAAAATACTTAGTACTTATAACTGGCTCAATATCAAAATATCTTTAAACTAATCACATAGACTTACTCAAATTCCAACAATTAGTAAAAGTTGCATTAAAACGATTAGAAAAATTTAAGTGTGGAACGAAAAACAAAAAATAGCAAATAATTTATTTAATGAGTGATCAAATAATGAAATAGATTAAATTATGGACCGTGAAAAAAATATATAATGTATTTTATGTTTCTGGGTTTCAATTATACCATAATAATAGGACAACGAAAACAATCTACATTATATCGTCTTTTTTAGCAATAATACACATGAAAAAATTGATTAAAATTCTATTTCGTTTCATTTATAGACAAATAAGTAAATATAAAGTGTTTAAAAATGTAATTACAGTTCAAATATAGTAAATAAAAGACTAAAATAAATTCATAAAATATTAAATTATATCCAACATAATTTTTTATTTACCAATTTCGAGTTATATATATTGATTAATATTCAGTAAAATTAACACAATGCTTAAAATACAATGCAATCCTGAATAATGGTGTTAATTATTTTAAAATGCTCTAATTCTAGATTATGACAAATTATGCAAAAATATGCAAAGTAAAATGTTGTATTTAAATTGGTTTTTTCCTAAAACTAATTTGAATTCTACGTAGAATTAACTAATACATCTATTAGAAAAATCTTGCTGATTAAAAAAGTCCGGAGTAATGATTAATAACTGATTTTTTGTTATTCGTTAAATTTACAATAGTAAAGTTTATTTCAGTAATTCATTTATTTCAGAGCAAATGCTCTGGGTATAGATAATATCTGAAGCATAAAGTTAGTGGATAGGCAAAAAGCATTATTAAATTAAAAAAGGATTTTTAATTAAAAATTAACAGTGAAGGTTGAAAATGAAGAACGCGTTGAATCCTACTGCCATAACATTGCACACATTTGTTTAATACATTATATAACCCTTATGTGTATACAAATTAATGTATTGATAACTTTATAATTAAACAACCTCTATTTTATATTATTGCTAAATTTTGAAAAAATACCTATTCAATTTGCTTTTGCTACTTTACTATGTGTACCTAATATGTGTAATTATTTTGCTATTACAGATTTATGACTATTATAATATATGCATAGTGTATACAGTACATATGTAGGTAGGTTACCGATGAAAGTTTGTATTCTCTTAATTCTAAACTTTCAACATACATTATATGTATATTGTTATATGCATAGTTGTATTAATAGCATGCAACCACACGATAAAATCGAATTATGATGTGATTTTCTTATTAAGCTTAGATCGAGATGGTATGTATAAGAAAAAGAGAGAAAAAATATAGGTCTTCTTATGCTTACGAATTTATTACGCATAAAAATATGGCTCTAGATTTGCAAGAAAGAGTCTAGAGAAGGACGCAATTATGTGTAACTACACATACGCGTAACATTGTATCATTGAAAAACGTGCAACTTGAAATAATAATTGGATTAACTCCACAGGTACATCAGTTAATTAAATTACAATGTATTTCATTTATACACTTTTGAATAAGCATTGGGTTTTTTTCATTGTGATTTTCTATAGAGTTAATATTTTAGTATAAATCTGCACAATTCCATTAATTAAGTTCTATTTGTACAAATGATTACCAAAAACAAAGAAAGAATTACAATTTAATTTAAAATAGATCAATTTTTAAAAATTATATTGGTTTTATAAAAAAATATTATCACAGTTTTTCTTTTTTTTTTATAATTTCCAACATTAATTGAAATACCATGTAATAGTCCTATTTATAAATATTTGTTAATGGAAAATCTATATTAAGCAAAACTGTATGGAGGGGAAATACGATAGTAGCCGAACAAATAATGTTGAGAAATAAGGCGAGGATAAAGAAGAAAAAATAAGAACAAATATGTTTGTATTAGAAACATAATTTCATATTTTGCATTTATTACAAACGTGTTTTCAATAATATAGTAAATTTACTTCAATAATTAAATAGTTTTTTTTTCTCTAATTAATAATTATGTATCTTATTAAAATGTTCTTAATTAATCGAATAATTATAATGTATACTCTTTATAATTTTTGAGCATAATAGTTTCTTTTATTAGCTAATAAAAATATAAAAATAATTTAAATTGATATTGTAAAGTTTAAGAAAAATCGTTTGATTAAAGAATGATTCTAGAGTATATGATCGATATAAATATGTACTTTTAAAATTTTTTTTTAAATTAAAAAGAAAAGTAGGAAAAGGATATAAGACATTTTTTAAATATCTTATACATGCATTTTAATTTAATATTTGATTCACTGAGATAGAGTGGATAGAGAGTGGAAAGACACTATAATCATTAGTTAAATAATAATATTTTGGGTAATTATAATTAGTTACATAATTTATAGTATACACTATACTCATAGCCATCCCAAGGTTGGGAGGTAAATGGGGCAAGTGCCCCAAGACGTACAAAGTATTATGAATTTGAGGGGCGCCAAAAAATTAATGATAATAAGAAAAACTAGGTTTTTTTACTTTAGGTAGGTAAACGTTAATTTTTCTTTTCTATTTAAATATCTGAGTACCTATAAAATTGTACAACATATGTCATTAATATGAAATTATATTAATAATGTAAATAATGATTACATGTATAAATATTATCGTAGGATAGAATATTATTAATAAATTAATAATGATCTCAAATTATAATTTTGTAGATATTGTATGGGTAGCAGGTACCAAGTAACCATAGTACATTGATTTTACTTTATATTATAACGAATATTATCTGTGAATCACAATTTCCAGGATTCGGATTTCATATCATTGAAAGGTACTGAAATACGCACTATAATATGGCTAAAAACAACTTAAAATATGCCCTAAAAATATAAATAAAAAGAAAAGAATTGTAAATCAAAATTCATTTTAATTTATTATCTTTTACTGACAGTTTATTTTATACATATATTTTTTTTTTTTTAATTATCATCTATAATATAATCTTATGAATTAATACGTTCATAAAAAAAACTAAAATTACCTGTTAGTAATTTAGAAAAATTGTGTCAAAAACAAGAATGTGGGGATTTTTCTTAATATACATAAAATAATACTATTTTTCAGTCAATATAAATATTTATGATAAATATATTTATATATTTAAATAGTATTTATGATAAATTCTAAATAAAGCATTATATTATTAAGTCTATTGACCAATATTAGTACCAAAACTACGAAAATTATATTAAAATCCTAAAATATTTTAAATATGCAAAAAACTTGTTAAATATTTCTATAATTTAACCAAGATAATGAAATGTCAATTTTGAAATAATATCAAAACAAAATAAATATGACTGGAATAATAATAATAAAAATAAAAATAATAAATAAGTTGGTACCTTAATTATTATATACTATACATATTTAGGGGTGGAGGGCAATGTTGCCCTAGGACATTATTGGCAGTTTGGATCACACTAATTATACTTATCAACACATACTAGTCAGAAATATCTACACTTCTGTAAGAGGAAGAAACATTACATTTAAGGTGTATAAATGTTAATTTAAAGAGTTGAACAAGTACTCAACTGGGAAAATATTTTCGAGTCGAGTTCAAGCATTTAACTTGAATCAATTAAAATAATTTTTTACTCGTAAATACGAGTACTTGACTTTTTTTTCTAATGCTCGACATTTTTTGAGTACTCGAATTTTGAATTTGATTCGACCCGAAGAATAGAAATTTGACTGGACTGGACTCGACGTCAAAAAATAGTATTCGCCCAAAATTAGTAATTTATATATTGTTATTATTTTTACAATAACACGATCTTATTATCATTTATAGGTACATTATTGCATTACATACCAAAAGAACATATTATTTATTGTACCTATTTCACATTTTAATTTAACAGTTTGGTTTAAATCATTTGATACGCATTAATATAATACTATTTTTTTATAACAATTTATGGTTCATTTTAATATTGACAGAAGTGTTTGCGTGTTTTCGTAATAAGATTACGAATAAAAATACTACAATAACAGGACTATCTGTGTCGATAGCCTATAGATATATATTACTTTAGGGTAAGAACCACTTTTAAAACCATTAATTTTAAATTAAAAAAAAATATTCTACTCTACCCGTATCATTAAGAAATCGATTGTTAGACTTATACTATGTTACTCTTTTAACGTATAGGTAAATCTATTATTTATGTTTTTGAAATTTGATTTTTTTTTTTTTGTCATCAAACGTCTACGTTTCGTATTGCAATTTTTTTTTAATTCTAATAAAAAATACATTGTACATTTTATGTACATTTTATGCGATAGTATATATTATGTACAATGATCTTTTTGAGGTCTATCTATTTTAACTAAGTACAGTTTTTTTATATATACTTTTACAGTATCGAACTGTACACAGTCTTTATGTTCAAAACTTAAGAAGAAAATCTGGATCCATAATATTCGATCAATCATGGTCAAGGAAAGATTAAATGCCTTGAAGCTATTTTTTCCATCTGTCTCGTTACATAATTTACGAGGTTTTTTGTCATTTTTACTTACACGTTTTCTCATCTAATCTAATTCAATCTATCTATCTATATCTATCTATATTCAATTAAAATTAAATTATAATCTATGGTTATAGATTACAATTTAATTTTATTTAGAACTTATGATATAATGTTGCAAATAATAATTATATATGATTTTTTTTGTGATATTGTTTATGATATGATTTATACTATTTATTTATGCGTGTTTATCAATGTTTTCGCAATAGCTCAATTGCAATATTTTATAACTAGTACAGTGGTTCCCAACCGATGTACCGCGGCACATTGGTGTGACGCGAGCGCCCTTTCAATGTGCCGCGATAAATCTATAAATTGTTTTATGTATTTACTAGCTTATTATTGATATTCGAGATTAAAACTGATCGAATTAATCGTAGATACATATAATATTATTTATTGTAAGTATGCCTGTCGCAACCGTTTTGATCAATCGATTGTATTAATATATTTCACAATAAATAACCCTCTAATAGAGTAAACTGTAAATAGTATATATATACATATATAAAATATGGTTCACATAATATACGGATTGGTGTTCCGCGAAAATTTTGTTGGAGATGAAGTGTGCCGCATTGTTAAAAAGATTAAAAACCAGTGAACTAGTATGTAGTTAACATATTTTACAATCGATTGTAATATATAAGTACCAATATAAATAGTTTTAAATTTAAATAATTAGTTGGGTTCTTATTGCAAAAATCAATTAGTAATATTTTATAGTTATATTGATACTAATTATTGGAATTACAGTATGAGGACCTTAAATTACGGTGAGGACACTTGAAGGTACGCCGAAGCGAGTTGATGTGCCTGAACAAACCTGATAAAGATCAGATTTATGAATGGTTGTGAGGTTGGCAGGTGCGCAAATTATTGAATATGAATGTATACTTATATTAGGAACGGCGCGTTAATAACTAATTATTAATAAGACTAAAAACAGCTATAATTTAAATGGCTTTTATTGGAGCGCGGCGAAGAGTTAATGCTCCGCCGTGGTGGTACGCGCGCGAAATGACGTGATGGTCGGTGGCGATGGCAGGTAACGTACAAACACAGCCGCTGCAAGACCGACGGTACGGGCGCTGGCGGGAGTCGCGTTTCACGGCTCGTGGGACGAACACGGTTGCCGCGTCCGTTTTCTCTTCCGCCGTTCAGTGTACCTACCTACGCGCCGGGTTTCAATCGTTTTCGCGAAATGTTACGAAAACCGTTCGCGCACAGCCGACGGCCGATCACCGCAATAATATCCCAACCGTTTCGTAAGCGGCGTGCGACCGAGTAATGTACGTGTTTACGGTGCAGAAACGATAAATGGTAATTCGTTTCGGTGAACGCAACAGTCGAACGGTTCAGCTGGCGGCGTGGTGACGGACGATCTCTGGTACGAAACCCGTCACGGTCCGGTCGGCATCGTAGTTTTCTACCACACGGTGAATAATACAGGTGAGGAGGATTCGGCGTAGGTTGTACCTACACTGTGCACCGTCTACCGAATAGTTTCACCGAGGCTCGCCTATTTTGTACGGTATCAGACATTACATATGTACATGCGTACCTACAACGTGCGTTGCATGTACACGAACACACGAGTCGCAAAAGGTTATAATTTTTTGTTGTCGGGTCCGACTCGACGAACGCCGTGTTATTGCGCGACGATGTCAATTATATTTGGTCGAATACCACGTACACTTACTAAAGAAATGTATGCGTTCGCAATAAACACATCGTTTTCGTTCACGCGTTGGCAACTGGAACCGCACGGTAGCTGTACAATTCTGTAGCGATTCCAGAATACTATTGGTAGCATTTTTTTTATTTTCATTTGTTTGTTTTCGAATGGTAACAAGGGGTTTCTTCTCACGGCTATGACGGAGGGTGTTCTTTCTAATGAAATTCGTGTTGTATTAACAGGAACGTCTACCGACCATCCATCAGGCGATGGGCGTTGGATCTGTAACCGAATTCTCAAAACAAATTCGTTGGCACTTTTTTTGACGAAAAAATCCTAACTTTTTCACTAATTCTAATTTTACCTATTATTGTGTGATGACTAGTTTTTAAATATAATTGATGATTCATATTCAATAACAAACATGCGTTGATGGCTGCTTTATCTTTTATCATTTTTTTATTATTGCACTATACTCGTTTATTAATAAGACATTTTGTAATAATAAAATTATTATATTTAATTAGTAATTTTAATCGCGATTTATTATATTTGAAAAATATTTTTAATGTCATTAATTTTTTCATATTTATTTTGTACGAAGATAAAAACTTATTTTTATACATATAGTTATTACATATAAGTTATTAATTACAAACCTATGATTTGACATTGCATAGAAATAATATTTATGTCAATAATTTATATAAATTTAACATATACATATTTCCTAATGGAATTTTCCGGTGTTTTTTAAAAGTTGTAAGTCATATAGAAAACGTGTACTACTATTCATAAAAATCTGTTTTCCTATAGCAGGGGTGGGCAACTGGCGGTCCGCGATCTTTTTTTATCTGGCCCGTACTAAATTTTTAAATTACATCATACAATTTTAAAGGTTATAGTCTATACTCTATCTTATCGATATAATAGTTGCTATGTGGTATTAAACATCGTAAATTGTCTAAATGTCATATATAGTATGTATACGTATAGTTTTCAACCATAGCTGCTTGTATCGAACTATTTAACTATATCAGTTTCTTCGTATCATTGTGTGTTGAATTTATTATTTTCGTGTATGTAAATACTAATTAAAATGCATAATTTGAATTATTTTTTTTTTGTTGCTTTTTATGCTCTGGCCCACTAGATTTTAGTTTTCTAAAAATTGACTCTCTAGTAAGTTTTATTTACCCATCCCTAGAACATGGTTTTTGGATCATGATGAAGATTATTATTATCGTATTTTGTAGCCATAGCGAATTGAGACCTAATAAATGTTTTTTAGATTCCCCTTATAACGTGAAGTTATTAAATAATATTTCTGTTATTTTCTTTTATTTCTTCTTTATTTTGAACTCATAAAGCTATAATCCATAACTTATAACTAATTTGAAAAACAATTTAAAATCAAAATTAGTTTTGGTGATAAATATTGGCATACTTTTTTATTATCAAGTCCTAGGAATAGTAGTTTCTCTAAAACCACGGGACTATGGCTGATCACCTTTACGTCACCATACAGATGAATTGAAGTGGCAAAAGTATCAAATGCATTTCACCCGTAAGAAAAATACTAAATAAATGAGGGACGCTGGAAGTATTTTATAAAACGATTCTAATAAAAACAAGCCTTGTGCAAAAGCTGTTATTAATATAATTATAAATTTCTCATTAAATATTATTTTATAAACAAATAATGATTTAGGCACAAATTAAATAATTAAATCGCATAAAGGAATCAAAATTGGTAGATATTTTCGTTCAGTCACGAATTTCTAACGGAATAATATAAGTTTAAAAATGTACTAAAATATTATTGTATAATATTATTTAACTTCAAAATTTTACATTAATATAATTTAAATTATATTTCGTCTTTTATAAAAAAATGATTTTACATTAATTGAGTAATTTATTTAACTCTCTATAGTAGTAAATCTACTCTAAATGATTCATAATTCACAAATCAGGATCAGAAATCGTCATAAATTATGTTTAAAAATGCTAATTCTTGATTTTTATAATATATACATCACAAATTTAAGAAAAAACATAATAAAAAATTCTACTGAAAATTACTATACAGAGAGTATAGTTTTAAAAGCATTAGTTTTGAATGAAGATCGAAGAACGTATTATACTTTTATAAAATTTTTTATTTAATATTTCTACATAAATATGTATAAATGAGTACAAATTATTTTGAATTGTTAAAGTTATTTTTAAGTCTTAATAAGTTGTCTAAAGGTATGTTTCCTTGGACGTTGAAATATATTGCAATGTTGTGTCTCGACAAAATAACTGGTACATGAGTTGTGTCCCAATGAAAAAGGAGGGTTACACGAGTTGTGTCTCGATGAAAAATGAGAGATATACGAGTTGTGTTCCAACGAAAATGTATGTTTGATGTATGTATAGACAACTATAAGGTGTAATGCAAATTTAATTCAATGTTCTATTAAATAGAACCCAATATCCTAATATTTTTCAATTTATTGAAGTCGTAAGAATTTTAAATGTGATATTTATATTGAAATTAAAAGTACTGGAACCTTATCAAAGATGATAGGTCAAAAAAAAATGTATTAATCAAAAATTAAATGCTTGTAAAATTGAAAAATTACTATATTTTAATTTATAAAAACATTATCAATTACATTTTTGCCGAGTATGTAATTATTTTTATATCAATTTTAAATATGACAATATGACGTTTTATTTGATATTTTTTTCAAAATTAAATTTTGACGGAACATCTTTTATTCTCGTGTAAAATGTTACATACATAATACGAGTATATATGTGTGTAATATTGTATATAACTTATGTAGATACCTGTACATTTTATTCTTCCAGACATCATTCGTGTAACCCAAAAAAATCTACCATATAAAACTCGTGTAACCCGAAAAAATACACCGGATACAACTCCGTATACGGGACTCGACTCGTTTGCTACCTATATTTTATAAAACTTAAAAACAAGTGTCCTTAGTGTTCTATCAATTATTATAATTTTGTAATTCCATAATCAGCTACTTGAAAATTTGAGTTATTTTATATACAGTTAAATAAAAAATTATTTATTTAATTAAAATAAATATCTGAGAAATTAATTTTGCTTATAATAAAATAAAATTTCTTACTTTTCTACTAAGAAATTTGGAAAAATAAAGTTTTTTAAAATACACACTTACTATTTAAAAAAATATGGATGAAAAACTAAAAGGGTAAAAATAATATTGTAAAACTATTGTGTTCCTTTGCTTTAATAACGGTTTCGCTCAAAACTTAGTTTGATTGAAAATGAAGAATAATTTTTATCAACAAACAAATAAAAAATTCATCACAGAAATAATAAGGATTAACATTTTTAACCGGTATTTATATCGTTTTTATAGCCATTGAACGTAAATAAGGTTTATATTTCATTATGTGAACGAGGTTGATGTAATATTAATAAGTATTTAGTTATCTTCTTTAATTATCAGTTGAATCTTTTGAATAATTTTATATTTTAATAAAATTATAATAATAAATTATTTAATAAATTTAATCATATCAATGTTATAAATAAATTTAAAAGTTAATTAAATAATATAGTTTTTCATAACACAAGTATTTAAGTTGGAAGATAAATTGACCTTACTTTATGATAAAATCAAAATATATCAAATTATGATTAAGGTTAAAATGACTGTAGTATGTCAGTACCATAGGCGGACATTTGGTTGAATTTTTTGGGGGGGGGGGGCTATAATAATTTAATGTAAAATAACCCGTAGGGACTTCACCCTCACACCCCCCTTCCCATACATAAGTAAAACTTATTACCATTAAAAATATAGATATGTTTAAATTGTATTAAAAAAACACTAAATATCGTATATTTAAAAATAATTAATATTTTAATTTAATGACAAGTAACTTGTATTAGCAAAAATACTAAAAATATCATAGCTTTTTATATTTTTCGATATATCTTTTTCAATATGTAGTATTGAAAGATTGCTGAACTTATCTTGAACCAACAATGTCCTTAACCAAGTTTTTATTTTTTTCATTGCACTGAAACTTCATTCGCAAGTAGCCAAACTATGTAATTGGTATTGTTAATGCTATTGTAAATAGTTTTTTATTATTTCTTATTTTACGATTTTCAAAAAAATGAACTGATAATTATAAATAAATTATAAAAACAACGAATAAAATTTCTAACAAAGTTTCGATTTTGGGGGGCTATTAAAATATTTGGGGGGTCTAAGCCCCCAAGCCCCCCTTATATCCGCCTATGTTCAGTACTAGTGTGCATTATGTTAAACCATTTTTAACAGGAGCGGACTGGCTAGGGAAGCAAAGGTGCAATCACCTCCCGGGCTGTCGATAGTGTCATATTAATAACAATTATATATAATATACTCGTATACAAAATGTATAGTGTATTTATTGTCTTTATTTGTATATTTTTTTAAAACATGATTGTAAAAAAAGTACAAAAAAGATGAATTGAGTAATATTAACTAAAAATATTTATTAATCGAAATGTGATTATAATAGGTCCAGTTAGTGCCCGCTCGAGGGGTGTGTAGAAAGTCCAATCGCATTTTTGGATCGGTTCTTGGCCTTTGCGCTTCTCTATTGTAGTATATTCAGATCCGGAGACTCGCAAATTATAACTCCGGCATTAAATTCAGTTGATTATCCTCCTGAATTTTCGATATCCAGTAATGGCCGTAGCCATTTTCCACCAAAAACGAAATACCGTTTTCCTCCAAAAAAAAAAAAGAAATGTTGGTTTCCATTTTCCTCCACATTATTTTTGACTAAAATGATATCTATTACCCTTCAATATTTTAGTCAGTATTGTAGGATCACATTTTGCGCGTTCTTATCGACTAGGGAAAAACGCTAGTTTAAGTGTGTCGGACAGCACTCGCAGTTAATACTCGTAACAGTCGATAACTTAATATTGTAACTTAGATTACGATTAATAAAGATTCGTACATATAACATACAGGTATATACGTATATACTTATATTGTTATATTATGTATCATAATTAATCACTGAATATTATGATTACACTCATTGAGTGAGACTGACACAAAAATGTACGATATACTCGTATCAATAAGACTATATTTGAGGCACGTAGAACCAGAACTGCCTTACTCACAAAAAATCAAATTCTGTTTTATGAGACACAACGTTTCAGATTTATATAGCGATTATACGATTTTATTATTTTATTTTTTGAAGGAAAATGGAAAGTGGAGGAAAATGGTCAAGAATTATTATTATTATTTTTTTTTTTTGAGGAAAATGGATCCGCGCCCAGTAAACCTCTGAATTTAAACCATACTGAAAAGGTAGATAAATAAAAAATATACTTAAACCAAGATCAAAAAAAAATGTTTAATGTACACTAAATTTCAACTCAAATGTAAATGTACTGTGTCAAAACAGTACGTCTCAAATAATTATTTGTTTCAATTACATGATAAAAAGTTATTTTATTATAATAAAGACATTTTTAATCCAGAGTATAAACTCTGGAAAAATGGGTTTCTACTTAATATTTATTCACGTTATTGCTTTAAAAATACATTCTAAAATTAATATCATATTGTACAATAAATTATAAGGATTTTGTTTTGTTTTAATAGTTTTATTTATTTAATCTAAGTAACTATTAACCCGTATTATTTATCAAGACCCAAAAATCTCGCATTAAATGTAGGTAATTTATTTTATATGAAAGTCTTTATAAATTCCAAAACTGTTATGTTTTCAATCAAATTTTTTTTGTTTTATTTCAATTAGAGAAATAAATTTTGGGAGAAACCAACTAGTAACATCTTATTTTTTCTGCGCATTTAATTCAATATTATTAAATTAAATTTTGAAATTTTTAATGTAAATAATTTTATATTAGAAATATTATCATGCACAGTATTTGGGCCTCACAACTAGATTATATTTTACATTTATTAACTAATACATTAATTAGAACTATATTTATTATTTATTTAACTAATATCGATGATTTTAATCATATTTATCAAATATTACCAATCCACCAAATAATCTTGTAACATGTATGTTTACATTTTACTCTTTGGAAACGCAAAATGATTTTGATGCATATTATTTTTCATTTTAATGTTAGTATTTGGTAAGTGTTTATGTTATTCGTATATTTATTTATAGTATATTCTCCTTATAAATATTATCCTTGGATATAGTTAATGGCAAACTGTACAGATTTACATTTATAGAAATAACCAACTGGGTGTTTGGGCGTTATAGTTGGTATATGACATCATCGTCATATTAAATTATATTATTATATCATCATGTATTTGAACACCACCAAAATTTTTAAAAAAAAAAAAACATTCTATACTTATATAAGTATTATTATGATATAAGAATCTAAGATTTCACAAATATTTTGTTTACAAGGAATATTTAGTTTTTAATATATAATATATTTCCCTTATATTGAATATCGATGCAACAATAGCGATGTTAGTCATCATGACTGATGGATTATACTAATAATTTAATACAACTTAATTTATTTTGTTTTGTAGATTACGAGCCACGCATTAGTAAATTATTTAGATTTAACATTTTTCAAACAAAAATATCCTCATTAGCATTTTACATTATTATTCATACAGATTTTTATTTCGATATGTATAAAAACGCATCACCAATATTTTCATTTAATATATCTTTTTTCGTTAGTATTAAATATTAATTTTAAAATAGCTATATAAGTTTATAATTAATAATTTATAATACTATTAAATTCCAACTATACTTTAATTCTCATTTGGTATTTGTCCAAATCTTTTAAACAGATTAATTTTAGAATGTCGCCCTTAATACCCAAGCTTACATACATATATGTATATACATAATATTAATTATTGATAAATAATTATTTACAATATGTATAATAACAACTATACCATTTACAATGTATAAATGTATAATGTTCTAAAGGTTAGAATCTAAATTAATTACAACATTTTAAATTATTTAGTTATTAGTCATAAATTATTTAATATTTATGTTTTTATATTAAATGAATTTACTTTAATGAGAGAAAATTTAAAATACTTTGAAGGTGAAACATATCTAATTAAAAGAGAGGATATGAATAAAAGTCCTACAACCTTATTTTTTACAGATGTTAAACAAATGTAATCTTATTATGAACGTCTAACAATAAATATTAGTAGAATAAGTAAACCTACGTCATTTTTTATTATGTTTTGAACGAATTAAATATTGTAGATTGTATTGTTTCTGGTTTAAAATGTGAGACGGCTCAAGGATTCCCGAGATTCAAAATTCTGTCATATGACCTTTCCTAAAAAGGTTATTATATTTCTATCTTATATATAGTTATTATTGGACAAAATAACGAGTAACCGTCATAAAAAAAATAATACCAAATATATTTTTCTGAAACATAGATACTTTAATTTAAATTCTAACGGCAGTATGTATACGTATTAAAAAAAGGACATAATTTTTAAAGTTTTATTAAAATACATTTTGTTAAAAAGGTATTCATATAACTTATATTTGTAATGTATAAAGTTCAAGTCATAATATTATTAGTCATATTTATATATTATATATATTTTATTTATTTAAATAATAAGATTAATATATTACGATTATTTAAACACTCAGAATCCTACTAAAGCCACTATACTTAGGACCCCTATATATTTAAAAATTAATGTTTATACTTTATAATTATAATCACAAAATTTTGTGAAATAAATTGAGTATTATTTTTTTTTTTTTTTGAAGATCATTATGGGTCACGGTAATTCTAGTACGTATCCGTGGGGGCCAGAAGACATATGCCCAGGTGGATTAGTTTTACCGATTTTAGACGAACGATTATGGCCATTCAAAATACGTGTAGTTGTTTATCTATTTACACTGCTATACTTCCTCTTGGGGATATCTATAGTAGCTGATGTATTCATGACTGCTATTGACAAAATCACCAGCCATACAAAAAAGATTTATTTAGCTAATGAACTCTCAGAAAATGGTTCAGACATTTCCCTTCGACCGGACCAACCCGAAATAATAGAAGTACGTGTATGGAATCCTACACTAGCAAATCTTACATTAATGGCTTTAGGTTTGTCGTAATTATTAATTTAATTTTGAATTTTTTTGTATTAAAAGCATTTTAAACTGATTTTTTTTTAAATTACACAGGCACATCATCACCTGAGATTCTTTTGTCAATTATTGAAACGGTGGGCCATCATTTCGAAGCTAGAAACCTGGGACCAAATATTATTGTTGGATCAGCTGCTTTCAATTTGTTAATTATAACTAGTTTATGTACACTAACATTAGGTTTAAATGAAAAGAGAAGAATACATGACTTGAAAGTATAATTTTTATTACCGATAGTTCACCAATATTTTATCAATATAAATATTTCATATGAATTTTAGGTATTTTTGGTGATTGGTGCTTTTAGTTTTTTCGCTTATATTTGGCTTTTTTTAATTATTGAAGTTATTTCACCAAATATCATTGAACTATGGGAAGCAGCAGCGACATTCATGTTGTTTCCGATTCTCGTATTTTTCGCTTACGCTACCGACAGAAATTGGTGTGGAAAAAATATCGAACATAATAAACACCAAATAGATCTCGTCTCAATTGAAGATCAAAGTAAGCATATATTTGTATTAATTAAAATTATACTCATTTTAATATCACTTAAAATAGATGGAACAAAAAAACAACAAATGTTTAATAACGGAAAAATCGACAAGGAAAATTTGATTGAATTCGTAAAAAGCGTAAAAAAATACCCAGGAATAACTGATGCAGATGCAGCAAAATTAGCAGCTACCAAGTTAATCAATTCAATGCACCATGGAGCCATGTGGTATCGTATTGGAGCAGTAAGACATATAACTGGTGGAAAGCAAATACAACCGGTTCTAGAAGACCATCTTAAACAAGTAAAATAAATAATTTTCATAAAATATAATCTTATCAATTCTAGTCAAAATGGTCTGTATAGGTTTATGATGTGATAAAAAAAAATAAACAGAATTATATAGATGGAGATATGTCGAATGTCCCGTTTGAAAATAAAGAAAACAAATATGCAATAGTAGAGTTCCATACTCCTACCGTTGCAATAAGAGAAAACATTGGAAAATTCCCTGTTACAATATGGCGACATGGAAATTTAAATACTAAAGCAATTGTTAGGTAAAACTAATTACTTATCATGTATAATAGGTAACAAATTTATGTAGAATTTTTTAAAATTTACAGAATAGAAAGTATTAATGGAACTGCTAAAGAAGGAGAAGATTATGTAAAAGTAAAAGAAATTGTTGAATTTCAAGAAAACGAAGAAGAAAAAGATGTTAGTTTAATTAGATGGATTTATTTTATTTGTTTCGACGATAATTTTGATCGTTATATTTTATAATTAGATTTTTATCGAGATACTCGATGACAATAAATGGGAACCTGATGAAGAATTCTTTCTTAGAATGTCTGTGGTTCATCATAAAGAATTGTTGGTAAAACTTGGTAGTATTTCAATTATGGAAGTGACAATAATCGATAACGATGGTATAATAATATTAAGTTATACATCAAATATATTATTGAACTTAACTACAATTTACTATTAATTACTATTTTATTTACATTTTAGAACCCGGTATTATAAGTTTTGGTAAAAGAGGATTATTAGTAAAAGAGAGTGCTGGGTTCGTTGAAATACCTGTAGTTCGAACCCATGGGTCTGATAGTGAAGTCAGTGTTAAATGGAAAACTATTGATGAATCGGCAATTTCGGGACGAGATTATATAGGTGGTGAAGGAGAAATTATTTTCAAAGATAAAGAGGTGGCTAAATTGTTTCGAATTGAAATTATCAACGATATGTGTCCTGAGAAAGACGAATGTTTTGAGATCAAATTATTTGGACCTACGGGCGGTGCTAAAATTGGAAATGTGAATAGGATAGCTGTCACGATCAGCAATGATGATGGTGAGTAATTCATCGAGCTTTGCCAAATTATTATAATGTTTATTAAATGTAATGTGGTTTTTTTAAGACTTCGATTCCGTAGTTGATCGTTTAATGTTGTTAACGAACATTAACATTCATGCTATTGAATTGCACCGACTAACTTGGGCGGAACAGATTAAAACGGCAATGACAGTAAACGGAGGCGATTTAGACAATGCGACCACATACACTTACATACTTCACTTCTTTTCATTCTTTTGGAAAGTTTTATTCGCTTTTATACCACCAGCAGCTATGTTTTCCGGCTGGCTGAGGTTTATCACATCGTTAACTTTAATAGGAGTCATGGCTACGGTAGTCGGTGATTTAGCCACAATTTTCGGTTGCTTGATTGGGTTGGATGACACCGTGACGGGTAATTTACTAGTGCATAGCAAAATATGGTCCATATAATTTATTTCATTCTAATTTAAAACGTAACACATCAATTAAAATTTATAATTTCAGCAATAACTATAGTAGCGCTCGGTATGTCTCTGCCAGACATTTTGGGTGCATGTATGGTTACCCGAGCTGAAACCCACGCAGACGAAGCTATGATACATATTGCTGGTTCAATCGCAGTCAAAGTATTAATGGGCGTCGGGCTTCCGTGGTTTATTGCTGCTTTATATCACTATTTACATGTAATTTTTTTTTCCTTTTTATGTATTTTTTTGGTATCTACTAAAATTAAATTTTTATTCTATTATTGTTTGTTTTTTAGGAAGATTTGTTTATCGTTCCGTCAAATGGTATTGGTTTTAATGTTCTTTTATACTCTATCATGACTATTTTGGCAGTGACTGTATTAATGATTCGAAGAAATGTTGAGTTTTTTGGAAAAGCTGAATTGGGTGGGCCGCAGAAAGGAAGATATATTACAGTAGCCATATTAATCTCTCTGTGGGTAATTTATTTGTTGCTCACTTGTTTCCAAACGTTGTGAATTTCAGTTTCAAAATGTTTCAATGTCCAAATATTCTCATCAGACATTAATTCTTATTGAATTTTTCTTTTATTTTTATTGTGTAATTAATTTATAATTATAATTTTAACATTCTAATAAACTAAACAAATGTGCTATTTAATTATGTTTGAGGACAAAACGAGATTGTTTATTTTTATATTTTTATTTTTTTATTAATGATCTTAATTTTATAATTTTAAAATCATGTCAACCAATTGTAATACATAATTTTTGTAATTTTTTTCAACAATAGTGAATATTTGAAACAATGTGCGAGTTTCAAACGAATTGTTATTGTCTTGATAGATGTATAGTTTGAAAATGTATTAATTTTTATAAGTTGTAAGTTATAACATATCTACAACATTTAAAAAAAGTATTATATATATAATATTATTATTTCCTCTCTTTACAATAAAGTTATTTTATTTTTATTTTATTTTTTGTATTATATTGAACATTTTATTGAAAGATTCGATGGTAAATTAATTTTTTTTACCATATAAATTCCAACAAAAAATGTCCCATATCTAATACAAACAACGATTCTAACTATAAAATAGATATAGGACATTTTTATATTTCTTGAAAAGCTGTATTTTATGTCTTATGCTCACATCCTATTTTTTCATTATTTCAATTTGTATTTGAAATAGTAATAAAAGTTATGATATTTTATAATTCATGAAAGATGTGTTTTAAATTTACAAATCAAACGCCTAATACAGTGTTTTTTACAGTGTTCAATTTAATTACCATCTTTCATACCCGTAATGCTTTAAATTTCACTAGGTGTATTTTTTATTACAAAAGCTTGAAGATAATAATTTATAACTCGTATAGATTAAAAAAATTGTATTCTCAAATACTCTGTTAAGACAATAGAAATATAATTAATTCTTTACCTATTATTTACATACCTAGTATTCAGTAAGTACATATTATATACACTGTATAATGAGAAATTAATGATAATTTAGACAATTTATTATTATATTGTAATTCATTATTCATATCTAGTGAACAGTTCATAATTTCCTTTTACTCTTTTTTATTCAATTCCATTATGTGATGACTGTAGAAATTTGACAAATACATTGTATAAATTATATTTTGAATATAAATATTTAAATAAAAAGTTCCGTTATTATAATTTTTCACTTCTACACATTTTTGTTTATTAATATGTTAAATAATATTTTTATTTTTAGGCAAATTGTTCTCGAATTTAATTATGAATTATATAAATCAGATAGTTAAATTTAATAAATATTCAATTTTTGTATTATGTCCGTATACTTAATTTAAATTTTTGATAAATTGATAAGTATTTAAATAGATACATTTTTAAATCAGATGTTAATGTTATGCTGCAATATGTGACTGAAACAGTCATTAAATAAAGTAAATAAAGTCCTTATAGTATTATTCTTTTAACAAAAAAAAAAAGAAAAGTTTTTATATTAGTAAATATTTGATCCAATTGCGGTATTATGCTAATTTAATTCAACAATTACTATCAATTTTAATTATCGTCGCATTGTAACTTGTCCAAAATTCACCTTTTTTATATATTTATCATTTGGTTATTATATTTCTATTTAATCTTCAATTTTAAACGGGTTAAGTTTTCAAAAAACTACAACTTCTTTATTGTTTTTCAACGTTTAGTCTTAGTTTAACAACACTGTGTGTTTTACATATTATTTAACAGAAAATACTTTATAGTGTAGTCCCAATACAATTTAATGTATTAATGTAAACATTTTACTATTGGTGCATTACGTTACTTTTACGGCTGCATCCGAATTTAAAATTAGTACATTAGTTGGATCCCGAATTATTTTAGGTAGTACACTAAATAGGTCCCGAATTATTTTAGGTACTAGGCTAGTTGGGTCCTGAATTATTTTAGGTATACACTAGTTCCTGAATATTTTTTGGTAAGTAGTATATTATACTAACATTTTCCTTCCCATTTTAACAGACTTAGGACTGACTATCTATAATCTATTTAGACCCCAGAGTTATATTTTTTTAAATTCTATAATTTATATTGTATTTTTATATAATAGTATTGAAAAGTTAGTATAGTGTAATAAAAAAATTATACAATAATATTAATACAATTTTAATATTTTTACCAACACAATTCTAATAATTTATATTTTATTAGAAAAGAAACTATAAAAACATTTTTCTCCATACCTGTGGTCTAAATAGATCATAGACAGTCCTCAATTCATATATTGATAGATTTTATCAAATAAATAAAAATAAAAAAGTAAAATATAATGAATATAATATAATTTAATAAAATATAATTTATGTGTACAACTTAAACTTTATTTTTGACTTTTATAATTTTTTAAAAAAACGGATGAATAGAAATCGATAAGTTTCTAAATTGAAATATTTTATACCCGAGTAAACATTTTACCAAATTGGAGATAGTGACATTGTAAATATTAAACATTAAATAAAATGATTGTAGATTAGGGTAGGTAATCAAGTGAATTTATTTTAAATTTTTATATGGCATTTTAAATAAATAATAATATTATAAAATATGGTGGAATTTGTTTGACAATATACAATAAAAATGATAGTTCAATAGTTTATAAAAATAAAATAAAATGTAAATATGGATTTATGAAAATCTTTATTCGTATATAAAAAAATATTTTACTCTAGAAACTAATCAGTTGAAACAACTATATCATATAGAATTTAAGTTAAAATAAAGTTTAAGTCGTGCACATAAGTTCATAATAAATAAACTTATGGGTACACGGCATACCACTCTAAGACGTGGCATGCAATTCGGACATTTTTTTTTTTTTGGCATGCAATTCGGTTGCAGCCATATTAGCTTGCTATTTGATTCATGTTATTTAATATAAAATTATAAAAATTTACTTTATTAGTGATTTTACTAAGTTATAACAACTTAACGAATTATTGTTTATTTGTAAACTACAAACTGTTAAATAATAAATTCCTATTAGATACCTACTTGAGGTACTTAAGAATTTACTTTTTATGTATAGCCAGCAAGGAATTAAAATAATATTATGTTTAATATTAGTAATTCGACAGTGAACATATTCGTCGAAGAATGTCAGTTCACACTCACTCTATTATTTAAGTTTATCGATTATCTGTAGCCTGAAGTCGTAAATATTAAAACAAAGTAAACATAATTTCCGGTAATATTTTTAAATCCATGTACATTTTATCGCTATGCATTTTATATACATACTTACTGATAGTAAAATGTAATAGATTTATTAATATAATAGACTTCTATATTTATAGTCTTTATTTATCAAGTTTTCCTTTTATTTTTAAGGGCAAGTAATAAAAGTTGTTCCTCGTTAGAACTTGACATTATTGTAAAATGGCGATTATTAAAAAATGAAATCAAGTGAACAGATGTAAATAACTATGTACTAGATTACTAGATTATGACTGTAGTAGCAGACCGCTCACAAACTATCGCTGCTTGTGTGCCATCATCAGACTGCTAACCGCCGCGACAGACCACGTTCTGTGTCCCCGAGCTTTTAATGTGAGAAGGCACGTGGGAAATGTGAGCACTGAGCAGGTAAACAAAAAAAAACTGATAGAGTTTACACTAGACCTTTTATTACCTTTTTATCTTTACCGATAATCTGGCGAAGTTTACAATCGCCCTAATAAATAATATTTTTTGAGAATAAGGGTGATTAGAATTATGTGGTATTATAGCATCAGTTTGTTTAAGTTTTCTGTAAACAGTAAATTCTAATTTTTTAGTTATTATGGAAACAGTTAGATCACACCTGAATTAATTTCAAAAGCCTATTCAGAAATATTCGAAATTTCAAAGAAAACTAGCCATATACTTTTAATAGACATTTATTTTTTATGATACTAAATAATATAAATTATTTTGTAGCATAACATTTATATTTTATATAATTTTAATGATTCATAAATTATTTTCTATTAATAACGCGAAAAAATCGATTTGGTTTAGTTTAGAATCACTGTAAAAATATTGCCGCCCCATAAATATTTCAGAGGGGATTTTACTACCCCGAACCACCTCTTAAATACGGCCCTGCTCGGTTAGTTAAGACACTTAATTTTCTAGATTCTTATGCTGATCGTGATAAAGCGACGGATTTTCTGATTGAATAATTAAATTCATGGATCCTCCTGGACTTCTGCCGTACAAACTCACTTTGAAAATCTTTGAAAAAGAATGTTATTGAAGTGAAAATTCTGACTGGCTATGCCATAAACTATATTTCAAGATAATTTTTCTTAAATTTTTCTCTTCTTATTCTATGTCATATATATATATATCTACTCACACAAAGAATTAAAGTGAAAACTCACCGGTTAATTGCATACTTGAATTATGTAATAAAATTAAAACTACACATTAACACTTAATTCATAATACCATATGTAAATCTACTTATGTTTGATATAATAATTTTGTACTTATTGTGTACCCAAGAACAGATTGTAAATAATAACTTAATAAACAATTTAAAAAAAAAAAAGTTATAGTTTTTTTCTTAATTGTACGGTCTTACATTATGTATTTTGCTAACTGTACTATATGCCTTTCAATTAATAGGCATTATCATCGTTATTAATAAAATAAATGTAAAATATAAATATATTTTATTTCTTAACGTTATCAATAAATTATAAATTATACTCTGCTAACATAGATGGTGTTACTTTAAATTTGGGATCCATGAATGCCTGTACTTTTTTCTTATTGATCCTAAATCAGAAAAAAAAAATCAATGACAAAAAAAGTTATTTTAAATGATAATTCGAGGTTGATTTACCTAAGTTGTTTTTTGCCAACTGACAATATATTACGCTTTTGTAAACTTTCAAAGCAGTCTTTGAATATATTTCCTTGAGGTTCGGTTTCTCTTAATGTTCCTTTTAAATCTTTTGGTAAAGTGAAAGTATCCATTGATTCTGTAAATTTATTGGTCCCTAAACGTCTGGTGCTAATGTTACCCATTTGTCTTTTTTGTAATCTTTTAACTTTTTTTTTATTAGTTGAATTTTCTAATTCATCTAGTTCTTTGTTAATATAACGTAATCTAAAATACAAAAACAATGATAGAAACTGAATATAATATAGTTTAAATATATAAAAATTAAAAATTATGAATAAAATTAATGAACCTGTAAAGATCTGATATTTTTTTCTTCTCAATTTTTGCATTCATTCGCTGTCTTTCTTCATTTCGTAGTCGTCTCTGAATCTTGCGTTTTTTTATAGTTTTTTTATTGTCCCTTGTAGTTGGTGGGTTAATGGCCTTAAATTCAGAAGTATCTTCATTTACTTCTATATTGGAGTCATTAGTGAATCCAGGTAGACCTTCAGTAAGTTCTTCAATGATCATTTTCTTTTAAGAAAAATAAAATTAGAAAACAAAAACAACACATTTACTTTTATATTATAATATTACTTCGTGTTTATCTTTGGAAACTTGTTTAAATAAACTTTGTGTAACTCGATTTATGTGAGCTTCATGTTTTATCAAAGCACTTTCTTTTTCAGCAATATTAGACAACAGTGATACATGATCTTCGATAGTAGGATTGTATGATAAACCAGGATGTGGACATTTCATATCATCTGCCTCACATGTCCTTTGGTTTGGATGAAACATTTTTTTATTACTTAATTTTGGAAGAATTTTAGCATTATGGTTTAATACTTCATGTGGCAACCATTTAATAACATTATTTATGAGTTTTTCTTTTTTTTGTCCTGGCTCTATAAAAAAATATTTTATATTACAACTATGAAACACAAAATTATACATTTTAAAAATGCATCATACTTCAGTAATTTATAAATGTATAGTTATATAATTACATAAAATAATAATATATAATACAATAATATTATTATATAATGCATAATTATATAATTACATACCTCTATAGCTTGACCATAAATCCTTATTAAAGACATCTTTGGTAGAAGTTTCTTTTAATTGCAACATTTTAACTTTAGATTTCAAAATCTTATTCAATTCTTTTGCATCCTTTTTCTTAATTATAGTCTTTTTCAATGGCTTAATGTTTTTATCAAAGTCTTCATTTTTTTTATTTTTATTTACTTTCTTTACACTTCTAAAAATGACACAAAAATAATTTTATATTAATTACTTAAATAATTTCACTGAACTAACTATTAAAACATGAAAAAATGAAAAGCATGAAAAATTCATCGTATTCTTAAAAAAGGTAAACTACAATATTTAAATTCATACAAGGCTCATTGTATAATGATTCATATAATTTATTAAAAATAAATAAATGTTTGTTCCTTTATAAGAATACTGATTAAGTAAATAAATTAATATAATAATAAATTAATTAAATACAAAGATCTATAATATAAATTAAATTAAAATTAGTTCTGTATAGTTTAATTGATTCAGAAAAATTTTAATTGAAAAGGAACTTTTACTAAGTATTACATTAAAAGAGTATAATATTATCAATATGACTATTTTCATTGGATTAAATATCTATTTAGATTACCTTTTGGAAAGTGGAACTATAGCAGATGACGATTGTAAACTTGACAAGCATTTAAGAGGAGCTTCCAAAGATTTCTTAGGTTTTTGAACTTTTCTTTTCTTCCCACTTGTATCAATATGAAAGAGTTCTTCATCTTTCTTGTCGCTGAATGGATCTCTTTAAATAGAATAACAAAATTAGATACTGACATAGTAATTAATGATTTAAATATTATATATTAAATACCCAATACGCTCCTTAAGCCTTTTTTCTTCTAAGAAAGTGTCAACATCGGTTACATCAATTTTCGTACGCCAATCACGTTTTAATCTTCTTCCTGTCTTTTTTTTAGTCTTCATGGTCAATAATTTGAACACTTGTAAACTGTGTAGAATATTAAAACAAAAATCTAAAACTCAAGACACAACGTAAAATTCACGTGGTTTTATCAATGATAAGAGATAATAAAATAACAGTGCTACACAAATGTGTAAAATATATGTCTGTGCATTTCATGTTTACATGTTAATGGTGCAATTTTATAGAATTTTGAATTTAATTATTATTTATAATTCCATCACTCAAAATAATTGCTGCATTACTAAACAAAATATTTATAAGCTACTTAATTCTTATTAATTTAATCTTCGTATTCTATCAGTTAGTAATAATATTTTATGTAATATTAATAATGATTTTTTATAACTTAATTTGATATTTTAAACTA